ATTGTTGGGGCCGACTTTCGGTAACAGACTTTTTTTTAATTGAAATTGATAAATTTCTGTTTTCTACACACAGTTTTACCACAAATAATGATTTTCTTTCTTATTTTCACTATGTTACTTTCTTTGTCATATAATATTTTCTTACCAAATTATTAGGCTCGGTGTCTTCATGTTCCGATATTCCGTCGGATCTCAGAGATTCGCAAACTGTACTCAATTTAAACCAATTCGTTTAAAGCAGCAATGTGCGGTGACAGTCAATTAATACGTTTCCCTACACAAAGATAAACCTTGACCTCCGACTGCGCCAGTTATGTAAGTTATGTAATTGAAATAAAACAAACGTCTTGTTTGTTTAAAGTGTCGACTCAAACTGAGACTCTTTATTCATTTTCTTATTCTCACTTACTTATTACTTCTTATTACTTCTTATTACTTCTTACTTGGGGAATATGGGAATAAGGGAATGTGGGTTTCGGGAAGGGTTGGTTGGGGAACTTGTTCTAACTGGGGAACCTGTTCTAACTCATGTGTCGTTCGTTCTATGGCAACGAGAAAATATCCAATTTTATTTTTCTGCTGGTGTTGGCAAGAAATGTTTTTCTTACATTCTTTTTTTTAAGGGGAAGGATGACAAAACACCAAGAAGATGAAAAGGGAAATGAAATATATGATTATGGGCTGAAATTGTAAGAAGATCTCTTGACTCTTGTTCTGCTACGATTTGTGATTCTTATCCTTTCGTTTCTCGTTCACAATGCAAGTTATCGTTTCTTGTTGAGTGAGAAATGGAAAAGTATTCATCATTATTATTATTTGTTGCCATCGTGTGTGAGTAGCACTTGATTATATGAAAGGAAAAAGCATATTTCATGGATCGACACAGTCTCGATACTTGTTAAAATTACCATTGTGATGCTACATAAATGAAATATTGGAAAATTTTCCAAGTTCTTGCACATTCTCTTATTTCCTCTTTGTATGTATACATTGTATACATGTACATACTGGAACTCCGAGGGAAATATATCTCTAAACAGTTTTTGTGACACAAATTGATAATCAATGGTCCCCACCATCGATAAACTTTTTCTCTTCTACTCAACTCCACCGTCAGATGAAACCGGATAACAAATGGCTCCAATCAATTTTAGATCGCATTTTCGCCATGGGTCTATGGGTAATTTTTCAGTATCCAGTATATCGGGATCATAGCATTGGGAATAAAAGAAGGAATTGAAGCAACAAACCGCACTAATGAGAAAACAACATTCCCCTTCTACTTTAGTTAACTCAACTTGAAAGTGTCTCACAAATTCGAAATTAATTGGAGCTGATCTTTTCATCGGGACTCGTGCTGGTTTCTATGTGATTATCTCTAAAATCTTAACTAATGTAGAAAAGCAAATTAGAGACATGAACAAAGAAGTTTTGGAATATTTAGTCGAATGAATTATGAGACCACGACGTTTCAAAAGAATCAGTGTTGCTTATTAGCTTCATAAATATTCAAACATTGAAAATAATTGCCCCGATTTCATTCGATCCTTCACTCTTGGAGTCTTGTGACCAATGTCGTCTATTGGTTTATCGATCAAACGATTTATTCAGATTAAACCGATTATGAAATGCGGCAAAGTAAAATAGGGAAAAAAATTAATTACAAACACTTTTCATATCAACGCGCTCTGACTTTTGATACCACGCACATTTTTTAATTTACATATTAACAGCATTAAGCTGGACCTTTGCTTTTCGATTAATTTTCTTAATCCGTCGTCGTAACAATGGATATCTTATCACGAAATTTAATTCAATAAAAGTTTTCCGCTTAGCGAAGCAGCTCAACTGTTGAGTTAAAATTCAACAATGACATTTGTACGCATTCGAGAGTGACATAATTTATGAATGTTCCTTTTGAATATTGCTATTTAACATATTTAATTATAGCAATAAATATCTGAATGAACAACGTCCGATGGCTAAACAATCGACAAAAAATCGTCGTCCCCAATCGTCTTGTTATTGATTTTCATTAATAATTTCTCATGAATGGAAAACGATTCTCTACGTCGAAATTTTTTCTCATTTTGTCTTAAATGGCATTTCATTTATTTATATCGATAAAAAACCGCTGCATGAACAACAATCCAATAAAGATTTTGATTATGTGAGAACAAAATGAAAAAGACAAAAAAAAATCGTCTCGAATAAATTTGGTGTCGCTTCAAGTCACATGTGATGAAGTCGAGAATGTTCATTTGAAATGAAAGAAATTTAATCAATTTGTAATTCTGTTCATCGGAATTGACTTTTAGAATGTGGGCAACCGCACAGAAAAAGCGACAAAAGCATTAGTGACCATCGATGCAGAAAATGTTGGATCTTTAAATATCCAAGAATTTCTTTTTCTAATTTGATTTCTGGGAATCATTCAATGAAACCATTCGAACGCGACGAACATTGACTGAATGTTGAGTGTCTTAGATTGGAACTTCTAAGGTTCACATGAATTTTCGATATTCTCGGAAAATGTGGAAAGATCTAATCATCCTTCGAAGTTCATTTCAAGCACCTTGAGGTGTTATAAAAAGCTCAATGAGCTCTCGATAACTGAACAGATTTTCTCTGAAGAACTTTTTCGTAATTTAGTAAATCTCGTAGTATTATAGAGTTCGTAAACAGCTCTAAAGCTAAGAGCATAAAATTATGTTCACTATCCTGTAACAAAACCTCTTGAAACTTCCACGACATTCTCGTTTAATCTTTGCATCGAGATAAAAGCTTTCGACAAGAAAAGTCTGTCGTTCAGATCCTGAGTGATGAAGACAATGAACGTTTGTAATTCTTGAGGATCATAATAAAAAGTATTATCTCCCATTGTAGTTCGTTTTGTAATCTTAATCTGGAATATCGTAAATTAAGATAAAACCTGAAGAATTTTTGCGATAAGCTTTGCAATTTGCTTCAATGTCTTAAAAGAGATTCGCGAAGTTGTTAAGATTTTATTCTTCAGAGGCAAATTTTGTCTTCCAATCTAAGTTAAGACGGAATTCTTTAATTATCTTTATTCAAACAAAATATTAGTCAAAGATAATTTCTATTGTCTTTTAAGAATATTTCAAGTTCATTACATCGAACATTGAACGTATAAATAAACGACATTCAACTTTTCATCTTCTGAGAAATCAAACGTCAAAATGTCGATTATGAATTGTTTACTGAGAAGTTCTCAAATAATTAATCTGAGTCAAGAATAGACACATGTTTGCAAACAAAACTATTTCCATGAATATTTCGTGTCTCGAAGTTAGCAAGAAAAAATTTAAAAAAAATAAATTAATTCGATGTTTAGAACGACAAAAAAATATTCCAATCGACTTCATTTTAAAATGATTGTAATTCAATCAAATCATATTTATTAGATAAAGTTGGAAGACCGCGTCGACGACGCCCAATGTGTATAAATGTTAAGAAAAAAGAATCAAAAAACTTCACAATCGATCAGAGATCATGTCAAGACTCGAATCTCAAGTGATTATTCAATTTGATTTGTTCAAGTTGCTTTCTCATTTCAATTTTGGTTTTTAATTTTTTTGTGATCTGATACACTCACTGCACGCGAGTTCAAGAAACTAGATTTGATATGTGCATGCGGGGCTTCGCCTTTTGTTGGTTGGGAAGAAGAAATCGGAGAAAATCAATTTTGTTCGTGCGTTAAACATTCCAATGATTGATTAATGAAATTGACAAACACTCTGAGCTGTCGAAGCGTTTAAGTCTTTAATTTCTCGTCCATCAACAGAGCGATGTCTGAGTCGAGGGCAAAAATGAAGGAATTTCGATATTTATTGCCAACAAACTCAAATAATTTTCGATCAATTTTACATAATCAATAAATTTCCAAATTTACCGTTCGACAAAAAATTATTTTTCCCTTCTTTGTGTTGCATTGCCCTTTTGATTAGCTGTGCTAATGATTAATGATCGCTGATTAATTTATTTGTTAGAAATCTGAAATGGAAAAAAACCGAAATTAAAAGACTTCATTCCATCACATTTGTGAGTGATTACGAGTCTTGGCAACATAGAATATTTTTGTGGACACCCCATAGACTGAATTTATGAGTTCATGTTGTTCCAATCATTCCATGATTTCTCATAATCGATGGAAAGAATATTTACAACTCAATTATGTTATTTATCATTTTATTGTTCGATGAGTGAGATGTTTCGAGCAGAGAGATGCAATAAAAGTCATAAATGACTTGCGAATTTGTTAATAAACAATAAAACGACGAAGATTTTATTGATCTTCGGCTCATCGCACAGCAAAAAAAATCTCGAAACATTTTTTTTATGGTCTTGAAATGTTTCCATCTCACTCAACAAATCGCACTTAACACGATTTTGGAAGCGCTTGCTTTCCGATTGATCTCATTATGAGATTTTATAGATTATTCAATCGATGGTTTTATGATCTCATCATCGAGGCGTTTCATTTCATTTCCATTTCTCCAATTAATTACCAACGAGAAGCGCTCAATATGAATGCTATCAGATGCTTGGGAACGACGACTGTCGTCGTTAAAAATCATTATGAAAATCACTCGAATTTTTATGGTCAAACTTAAAAGGAAAAGCATCGCAAGCTCAACTTTAAACAAACATAAATTATTTCCAGCGGATTTCACTCCGTAAAAAGAGCGTTGAGCGACACATTCGGACGGGGGATAAAAAAAACTTTGAATGTAGCATGAAATGACGTTTCCATATAAAAAGTTTTTTGTTTAATAGCTTAATTAGAGAAATGTGGATGAGATTCGGGTTTTCAGCAATTAAGCTGAAAGACTTTTCAGATTATGTGGCTAACAGAGCAAGCAGATTGAATGTTCGTCATAAATGCTCGTGCCAAGTTTACGTTCAGAGAGTAATTACTGCTCAATATTTTTAAGTGACCGACATAAACATTAATGATAAAATTCATCATGCAGAGTTCGCAATAGGCTTTGTTGAAATTGCTTTGTCCGATGGTTATTTTCGAATATAAAAATGAAAACAGATAAACTCGACTCGTAACTCAAATTATTAAATTTTTGTTCGTTCATATTTTCCAGGCAATTAACAGATAATCAGCTGCACACAATTGAGAAGGATGCGTTTGCAGATCTCATTGGATTGGAACGACTGTAAGTATCATAAAAAGGGTTGGTTACGAATACTTTGACGGATGATATGATGGATGCTTTCAATTAAAAACTTGAACAGAAATAAAATTTTTCTGACCTCACTTGAAATGAAATTACAGTAAAAATTCTTTGTTTCGTCTTAACCACTGGTTGTTGGAAGAAATGCAAAAGTGTACAAGAGAAAACAGAAATTGAAATTCCATTTTGGTGAATTAATTATCTTCACTCAGCAAGACTTGAAGTACCTAAATGCAATAAATTTCTTATTCAATTGACTGCCAAAAGATTCAAAAAAGAGGGAAAGAAAATAATACAAAAAAAGTTTTTTATGAACTTCTAGGTGATTAAAAGTTTGTCTGTTTTTTCGGTATTTTTTTTGCAGACGATTAAACAACAATAAAATTAAAACACTTCCTGATAATCTGCTGTCCAGCATGTCCAACTTGGTTCGAGTGTAAGCAAAGTTTCTTCTTATTCTCTCTTCCAACTTTTCCATCACTTTACGTGACTTCTCTTCATTTTCAGTGATTTATCAAATAATGAAATCGCAGCAATCTCCAAGCGGATGTTTAAAGGCGTTCCAGCTCTTCGCAGCCTTCAACTGGATCACAATCAGATTGTTTGCATCGATGAAGTGGCTGTTAAAAATCTTCATGAGTTGGAAATTCTGACACTTAACAACAACAACATTACAACATTGCCTCGAGAGATGTTCTCAAGCATGCCACGACTAAGAGCGTTGCGTTTATCGGACAATCCATTTGCATGTGATTGTCATCTATCGTGGCTTTCAAAATTCCTTCGCAGTGCTCCAAGATTAGCACCATACACACGATGCCATTCACCAAGTCAGTTGAAGGGACAAAACGTGGCTGATTTGCACGATCAAGAGTTTAAATGTTCCGGTAAGTATCTTTACTTATTTCTTTTGCGAATTGAGAATGCAATTCAAACTTCTCTAAATACTTAAATAAGAAAAGTCATAAACACAACAGCCATTTGGCAATTGTCTGCCTCTGCTTCTCTCCTTTGTCATTTTATCATTTAAATACTAAAGTTTTGGAAACTTCTGTAGAAGCAATTGTTGTCGTTGTTGTCTTTCTTGTTTACCATCCATTCGAAGTTGAACTTCACAATGGCTCTTAAATATTTGCATAAAATTCCCATTCGATCTCTTCGAAATTCCATAAATTATTATAAAATGTTCTTCGTGTAATTTGATTCGTGTTTTTGATGGGCTCTTAGGATTAACTGAACATGCTCCAATCGAATGTGGCGGTCGAAGCTTATGTCCACATCCCTGTCGATGTGCTGAAGGAATTGTCGATTGTCGTGAGAAGAGCTTGACGAATGTTCCATTGACCCTTCCTGAAGACACTACGGAAATGTAAGTGCTATAAATTACTCAATTCCTTCTCTCAAGTGTTTGACAGATAAAAAATAAAATAAAATTCTTTCATTCATGCATCTACAGTCGTATGGAACAAAATTACATAACAGAAATTCCGGCAAAAGCTTTTGCAAACTACCGTCGATTAAGAAGAATCGATTTGTCGAATAACAACATTTCACGTATCGCTTACGATGCATTTTCCGGATTAAAATCTCTCAACTCTCTTGTGCTGTATGGCAACAAAATAAAAGAACTGCCGGCGGGAGTCTTCAAGGGATTAGCATCATTGCAATTGTTGTTGCTCAACGCCAACGAAATCTCATGTATTCGAAAAGATTCCTTCAAGGATTTATCGAGTTTGAGTCTTTTGTCGCTTTATGACAACAACATACAGTCGCTGTCGAATGGAACGTTTGATGCTCTGAAGCAAATACAAACAATGTAAGATTTATGACGAGATGACGTAACTTTACTTTCTTTACATTAATTTCATTTTTCTTTTTTTGTTCATCGAACTAAATTCAACAGACATTTGGCACGAAATCCATTTATTTGCGATTGCAACCTTCGTTGGCTGGCGGATTATTTACACAAAAATCCAATCGAAACGAGTGGCGCCAAATGTGAAGCTCCAAAGAAGATGCACCGAAGAAAGATTGAATCGTTACGAGATGAGAAAATAAAATGTGAGTTTGTCATCGATCAAATTGAATTGAATTGAAATGATGAAATGAAAGAGTTCAATTTAAAACCAATTTCCTTTTCCATGAATCATTTGATTAGGTTCTGATGACTTCAAAAGCAAATACGCAGCTGATTGTCGTGCGGAGCCGCTTGAATGTCCCGCTGTTTGTCATTGCGAGAGAACAACCGTTGATTGCTCAGGACGTGGCTTGAAAGAAATTCCACGGGACATTCCGCTCTATACCACCGAACTGTAAGTTTCCATAGAACATAAATCACGTTGCACGTCCCAAAGAATTTTGTTATTAAAAAAAATTTCTCTACACTTAATTACAGTTTGCTGAACGACAACCAACTCAGCCGTATAAAGTCCGATGGACTTTTTGGACGTTTGCCAAACCTAGTCAAATTGGATTTGAGACGTAATCAGATTACAGGCATAGAGCCTCAAGCTTTTGACGGAGCTTTGAAGATTCAAGAGATGACGATAAGCGAGAATAAAATGACAGAGGTGCACAACAAAATGTTTATGGGACTACACAATTTAAAAACTTTGTAAGTTGAATTTCTATTCATCATTCAAACAAGTAAAGGTCGGATGAACGCTAAAGTTATGTTGATATGCAAATAAAGCCAACATATATATTTTAATTAAAAGCTTTCATGTGAAATGAAAGGCGCTTTTGTTGTGACGTGCAATTCTTATCGTGTACGCTCCATAAACGAAATTTAATTGCACTTTGGTGCGACAAAAAACGCCATGAAGTAATTAGTTTTCAAAGGAAAATTACTGCTTCGAGCCAGTATTTTATTGAGAGAGCTTAGAATTGCTTTGAATAAGAACTTTATGGCTTTTATTGCTTACATAATTTTATGCTGTTCTTGAAAAAAAATTCTAACTTGTTATTATGAATAATAAAAATTTCGCAGGTCGATGTACGATAACATGATATCGTGTGTGATGCCTGGCAGTTTTGATCATTTGTCGTCATTGACGCAGTTGAATCTTGCATCGAATCCATTCACATGTAATTGTCATTTGGCTTGGTTCTCTGATTGGCTGAGAAAGAAGCAACTTTCTGGTACTCCACCGCGATGTGCTGCACCAGCAAAGGTGAAAGATGTTGCCATCAAAGAATTACCTCATCATGAGTTCAAATGTACAAGTGACAGTGATCAAGGATGTCTTGGTGAAGGATATTGTCCACCATCATGCACATGCACTGGCACCGTCGTTCGATGCTCGAGAAATTCTCTTAACGAAATTCCCAAAGGAATTCCAAGCGAAACGACTGAACTTTATCTTGAATCAAACAACATTTCCATGATTCATTCCGATCGCATTCGACACTTGAAGTCGTTAACACGTTTGGATTTGAGTAATAATCGCATTAATATTCTATCCAACTATACTTTTACTAATCTCACGAAGTTATCAACTCTGTAAGTATTTTTGCAATGTTGACGCAGTGTTGTTGAAAGTCTCAAGAAAATGTCTTCAACTTATCAGAAAATTAATTAAGACTTGTGAGAAAAACCAACAACACTGGAGATAGAAAAAAAATTAAAACTTCTTCTTGACACTTGAATTATTCTTTCTTTTAATAGCATTATAAGTTACAACAATCTTCAGTGCGTACAACGACACGCATTGACGGGATTGAAGAACTTACGTGTTTTATCATTACATGGAAATCAAATCTCAATGATACCGGAGGGTTCGTTCAATGACTTGCAATCGATAACTCATATGTAAGTCTCATCTTTTTATTCATATTTAATTCATTATCTCAATTATTCTTCATCTCTTTCCTTCTCGTTCACAGTGCTTTAGGTAGCAATCCGTTATATTGTGATTGCTCTTTGAAATGGCTTTCTGAATGGGTGAAATTGGATTATGTCGAACCGGGAATTGCACGTTGTGCTGAACCAGAACGAATGAAAGACAAACTTATCCTCTCAACACCAGCGAACCAGTTCATCTGTAAAGAGAAAGTCAGTAATGAAATCTTGTCAAAATGTGATGCTTGTTACACATTCCCATGCAAGAACAACGCGGAATGTTTGGTGAAGACAGAACGACAGTACGAATGTCGATGTGCTCCAGGATATCATGGTCAACATTGTGAACATATGATTGACGCTTGTTACGGAAATCCGTGTCGGAATAACGGAAAGTGCACCGTGTTGGAAGAAGGTCGTTTCAGTTGTGACTGCTTATCTGGTTATCAAGGTGCACGTTGTGAAGTGAATATCGATGATTGTGATGACCACAAATGTCAGAACAATGGAACTTGTGTCGATGGAATTGAATCGTACACTTGCAGTTGCTTGCCAGGCTTCACTGGCGGATTTTGTGAAAAGAAAATTCAATTTTGTGCCACAGAATTCAATCCATGTTCGAATGGTGCCAAATGCGTTGATCATTTCTCGCATTACACTTGTGAATGCACTCCAGGTTTCCGTGGTGTGAACTGCACAGAAAATATTGACGATTGTCAAAATCATATGTGTCAGAATGGCGGAAGCTGCGTTGATGGCATCAACGATTACATGTGCAAATGTCCGAGTGATTTCACTGGAAAATTCTGTGAAGGAACGCCAATGGTCGCAATGATGTATCCACAAACTTCACCCTGTCAGAATCATGAATGTAAGTTTGGTGTCTGCTTCCAACCCAATCCATCGTCATCAGACTACATTTGCAAGTGCGCTCCAGGATATACCGGAAAACGCTGCGAATATTTAACATCATTGACTTTCATTCACAACAACAGTTTCGTTGAAATGGAACCGTTGAGGACGAAACCGGAAGCCAATGTCACCATAATTTTCAGTACAACACAACAAAATGGAGTTTTAATGTACGATGGCAACAGCAACAACGAACACTTTGCTGTCGAACTTTTTAATGGTCGCATACGCGTCAGCTACGATGTTGGAAATAATCCAACTTCAACAATGTACAGCTTTGAGATGGTAGCGGATGGAAAGTGAGTTTTTTTTTTCATTATTTTAATGTCATGACTCGATTTAATAACATTTTTTTATTACAGATACCATATGGTGGAGCTTTTGGCGATTAAAAAGAACTTTACATTGAGAGTCGATCGCGGACTTGCACGTTCAATAATCAACGAAGGTTCGAAGGAATATCTCAAGTTGACATCGCCAATGTTTTTGGGTGGCTTGCCAATTGAGCCAGCACAACAAGCATACAATAAATGGCATCTCAGAGACTTGACAAGCTTCAAAGGATGTATGAAAGAAGTTTGGATTAATCACAAACAAGTTGACTTTGTTAATGCTGCAAGACAACAGAAAGTGACACCAGGATGTGCATTGTTAGACGCTGAAAATGATGGAGAAATGGAAGATCAATTTGTTCTCGAACCACCTGAAGAAACTAAGGAAGAGGTGAGATGACAATCGAAAATTTTGCTATTGAATCTTCTTTAATGATAAAAAATTTCACAGCCAATAAATCCTTGTGACAACCACCAATGCAAGCGTGGAGGAAAATGTGTTCCGAACAATAAAGGCGGCTACACATGCAAATGTAAGGCAGGTTCGAAGGGTCGGTTCTGCGAACAAGGTGAGACAAGCTTAATGTCCCAAATCATGGTGGAGGATATCGATGATCTTTCCAATGAGCGAGCCACTAACGGTATAATGCTGTTTCGTAACTAATTTTCATTTGCACACAAGCAAACATCTGGCGTGTACTTAAAGCAATTCGCATGCATTTATCAATTAAATTTAATTATTCAATTGTCATTCTTTCTCTCTGTCTCTCTTTCTTATTCTCACTTGCAATAACAAAGAATGTTTTCGTCTTTTAACTACACGCCTGATTGCTTAACTACTTACATAATTTTGCACACATTCTCATTTGTTTTGATCACGCAATTTCTGATTGTTAGTTGGTGGCGCTTTAAAAGCGAATTAATTTCCCATCAGACATTGTCAAAAGAAAAAAATATGAAGTTTAATGTGGATGCGCTCAAAAGTTAATGTTGCTTTGTGAAATTATTTATTAACATGCTACATGTCTTATGAACGTGTCCACCATTGCTACTTAAATTATATTTTCGTGTCTAAAGGCAAAAAGATTTCTTAATTAACTTTCGATTTTTTTCCTTCTTCTTCTCTTCATCAACAGCTCACACATGCCGCAAACAACAAGTGAAGGAATATTACACTGAAAACAATTGTCGATCACGACAGCCAGTTAAATATGCGAAATGCGTGGGCGGCTGTGGTAATCAATGTTGCGCACCGAAAATCACAAGAGTACGTAAAGTACGGATGGAGTGCAAGAATAAAACAAAATATATTAAGAATTTAGACATAGTACGTAAATGCCATTGTACAAAGAAATGCTACTGACTGCTAGACGCGACTACCCAACAAAATATAATTATTAATAATATAATTTCTAGTAATAGTAATGAAACTAATGAACAAACTATATTAAACGGTAATAATAATGATAATAATAATAATAATATGGATGATTTATATATGATGATGATGGGTGATGATCCATTAGTTTATCATTCACCATCCCCAGTTAATCCCATTCAAGAACATGCAGAACAATACGATGGGAAAAGAACTGGTGGAGATGTTATAACGACGAACTCTACTAATCAAATGTTAGATGTAGTTAGTGATAGAAGACAAAGAAAAGGTAATAGAAGACAAAATAATAGTCAAAGAAATAGAAATCGACATCGAAATAACAACAACAATAATAATAATCAGAACGACGGTACGTCGTTTGACGACAACAATCCCATTAATGTTATCTCAGCATTTAATCGAACGAGTAAAATCTACAACAAATTGCGTAAGAATGATGCTGTGAAAGTCATTGATACTCCAAGTGGACGAGCTGGATTTGTGTATCAAAGTAGCAGTAGCAGTAATGCTAATAACAACAATCAAGATTTTCCCATGAGTCCATCAATCAAAGAGAGTAACGCAAATTGGGAAGATTCGTATTCACAAAATCAATTTGTCAATCGCAATGCGAACGACGTTAAGTTGGTTTCCGATGATACCAGTAATAAGAAGATTATGCCGGTATTGACATCGGATGGTAAGATTGCTTTAGTTGTTCGTGGTGACACGAGTCGCTATTTCGACGACCCTCAAAATAATGGAAGTGGAAATAGCGTCAGTTCAAAGAAATACGAACCAATTACGAATCTCACGTCGATTATTACGGCACTTAACAGTAACAATGACAATAATATTAATAATAATCGTAATAACAATAATAAACAGAACGACAGTATTAATTTAGGTGACGCTTTAGATCCGGTCAAGACGGTGCAAGAACAAAATCGTCTCATAAATCGTCTCGATGAATTCTTTGCTTCGGTTACCAATAAAGTGAAAAATATGGAAGAAAAGATTGAACACGAGTTGGGAATCGAAGATGAAGAAGAAATCGATGAAGATGACGAAGAAATTTCAATTACAACACCGACAACCACAACAACAGAAGCGCCTTATGATGAAGAAGATCACAAGAAGAATTTGTTGCAAATTAATCGTCCATTGTCAGAAGTTCTTGGACTGCCGAAGAAGACGCATTATCATCATCCTCAAGATCCACTGCATACATCATCTGAGATGCCATTCACGAGACCTTCGTCAACAACTGAGGTCAGAAGAATCAACACTCCACATAAAGTGACACCACATGTTGAAGGTGTTCTCACGACAACTGACATAAATCAGAGTGACGAAATCGATCATGAAAGTCCCGAAGTCATCAACATTGCAGTGATTCCAGGTTTTGACTCAGAAATGGAAGAGCGACTCTTTGGAAGATCGAAAGATTCCAATCGTAATCTCAGTGAAACTTCAGGAACGAGTGGAGCAATTTCATCGATTCATTGTGCTATGCAAGCGATGGTTGCCGTTGCTTGTGCTTGCACAGTGTTCGGGGTGTTGGGTGCATATTATAAAATCGAGATTGTAAACCAGGTTCGCGTCTTCTACTGGTGACTAGTCGTGCTGTTTCATAATCAAAGTCCCACGGCTCTCTAACCTTCATTGTTGAAATTGATTATTGTCTTAATTAATGCTGCTGCTGTACATTAAAATCATTATCATGTGAAGCTTTCATACTCTGCTTAAAACTCATAGTTAGGGAATTTTAAAAATTCTAATCACTGATAAAGCTCAAGAACTTCCACTCTAAAATCGAGCCTAAAAGTTTATTGGGATTGTTGAAAAATAAAAATAAATAAATTGTTGTTAGTCTTCTATTACCTTTTCTTATCTTATGTGACAGATAAGAAGATTTCTCTAAATATCCAAATGTCTTATTAGAGAAGAAAAAAAAACGAAAAACTTATGTTGAAGAACATCACGAAAGAAAAATCATCCAAAAAAGAAACAAAATAAATCCGTTTAATTATACAACATCAAAGCATTTCTTTTTACAAGTTCATTAAGTAAAAGAGAAATGTATGCAAAATGAACAAAATAGTTTTAGGGTAGTCGCGCGCATTCAGTTTTATAGAAATCTTTATGATTTTTTTATATCTCTGTATTATTTTTAGTTTTTCATTTATTTGTTTGATCTTTTTAATCAATTTTTTTTTGTAAATTTCCTTAAATACGACGATTGGATTATGAATCCAACATGAAGAAGTTTTAATTTCGCAATACTTACACAGAAGGAAATCTTTTTGAGATTTTGTCGATAAACAAACTTCATGATTTTGTACATTTTATGATTTTATTTGCATTTAACAAAAACAAGATGTTTTGAAAGAGAGATTGGATTTTAATTAGGTATTTTTTTTATTCTTATTATTAGTTTGTAATTAATTGAACAATAGACAATAGAGCACCATGTGAGAAAGTTCCGTGTGAATATCCACAAAAAAGAAAAAAATTTCATCCCTCAAAGCTTTTCCGTTTTTCACGAATAAATTTTTCGTTTTTTTTTAATTAAATTAATCAATTACTTATCGTATTTCCCCGGAAAGCAATTAATAATCACAGTGCATGGATAATTCAAAACATAAACATATATTTATCATTATTTGTCGTATACTTCTGTATTTATTAAATTATTAAATGGTAAAACGTCTAAATATGATTTTAGATTTATGTATTAAAATCTATATAAATATATTCGAGAGAAAATTAAAAATAAATAAAAAAAAATTGTTTTATATGGAAAATGAAAAATCATAGCTGTAATTAAAAGAAAATTTATGTAAAGAAAGGAAAAAAAGTATTTTTGTTGCAATCATTTATGTTTCTTTTATCCTCCCACACCCATTACAAGAGATTCTCATTCTCAATTCGTATTCTTTGATTTGCTAGAGATGACAGGAAATGTTTAATTAATAAAATTTAAGCTGTCTTTATATGATGTAAATGTATATTTCAAGAAAAATAAAAAAACAAAAGCAAATCCGTATAAACATGACAGATATGCCTTTATCCAGTTCTAATGATCAAGCTTCTTCTCTATTCTCATCCCTGCCAATGTTAAATGAATTGGAAAAGAAAAACAACAGAAAATAATTAGGAAATCCTTTTATTTGATTCAGAAATTGAACATGACGACATTCATTAATCAGCATATGTCTCGACAAAGAATTGTTTCCATGATAATTTATTAATTGAAGTTTCAGTGGCTTTCGGCTTAAAATCGTAATCGTTGAACTTGTTTCTGAATTCAATCGTGAAGAATTTCGATCGATGAATGAATTCTTCAGTTGTTGTCAACATTGTGTCGTATGCAGCAAAGATATCTGGTTCAAGATGAAGCGCTGGAGAGGTGAAAAATGTTAATGGAAATAAAAGAATACATTAAGTGAACAAACCTTCAATTGTTTCCATCGAACGGATGTTGAACATGAAATTGTAGTAATCCAATTGCATGTTCAGCTCTTGATTTGTGTAAATACGTTGTAAGTTTCCCTCCATGCATGTCAAACACATAAGATTCGATGATCCATCGATTGGCTGTAAAAAAAGAAGAAAAATCTTCAAAACTTTTCCACTAAATGACTTTTGTCAGTTCGCTTTACCCAAGCAAAATTCTGTGTGCTGTTGTTGCACATCGGATTGTCACAGATAAACCAATTTTCATAGAATCTTTGAATAGCTTTCGTAATTGACGCACGTAAGTGATTTTTTATCGACGGTAAGTAGTCTAAAGGTTTGACTTTGCATTCATTGTTGATGCATTTGTCGAAAACTGAAACAACTTTCGATGATGAGTCACGTTTGAATGGAGCAGCAACAAAGTTTATCGATTTGCAACTTGCACAAGGAAACATAAACTTTTCACAATCACGAAACTTCTTCTCGTTACTTTTTATCATCTGATCAGTGTCGTTCTCTTGCTCGCTTCTCGTGACTTTGACTTTAGCACGGAAATCTTTCGGATCCAAGCCGAGCTTTTCAGCAATCACTGCACTGTCGATTCCTTCAATCGGTTCCAACAATCGACAAATTACTGGATGGATTTGTTGTGATAAATAATAAAATTTATCGGGTTTTAAAATTTTCTTCTTGTTCTTTGATTCATCATCATCAGGTTTGTCATCAGATGCAGAAAGAGAACTTTTAATCTCGTCAATATGATACCCACGTTTGACTGAAGGATTTTCAGTTCCATCATCGCAAATAATGTAATCAATCATGTCGCCTTTCTTAAAACGTCGATTTCTTTGAACGTTCATACGATCAGCGACTTGAACATGCGGCAACGAAGACATATCCGCATATTCCGATGGTGCCTTCGTTAATTGTTTTGTTATCACCAACATCGGAAGTGGAACTTTTCCTTCTTCGAAATCATTTCGCAATTCAACAAGAACCTCAAAAATATTCTCAACACGTTCTTCCATTTCCTTTCCATTGTTCGATAACAAAATTTCCAGCACTCCCGTACCAGTTGAGCTGGCAATTTTCGACCAGTCACGTCGAACAATGTCTAAGCCTTTATATTCGTGACAATATTCCAGCTTTCCCGGTTGCTTTTGTGTGACAGCAACTGCTGCGTATTTCTTTTTCTTCAACAACAACAGCTTTTGGTAAACACCGTCAATATCAAGTTCAACATGTTTGTAAGTTGAATTGACCGCTTTTTTAATATTCGCACCAATCTTGTAGACCTCGTCAAAATCTTGAGAGTTCGTATTGATCATGATTGAGTCTGTGTCGCCATAAATCACATTATGATTCAATCTTTCAACGAGTGTCTTCGTTGCCATTAAAATTTCACGACCTTTACAAGTAACGAGTGCTGCTAAGTGTGGTGCATAAAAGCGAGACTTTGAAAAGCCAAGACAACCGTACATTGAGTTTGCTGTCAACTTTAAAGCCATTTGTCGAATGTTATATTGCATTTTTAATTCCGATGAAAGATTTGACTTTGCCATTAACAATTTAACATTACGACGACTTTCAACTAATCGTCGAATTTGTCGTGGTAAAATTCCGAGTTCTTCATTGGGATCCGGTGGTGATGGGAGTTCATTCGGATCATTTGGTTGTGCGATTGTTGTATAGCAAATGTTATATTCTTGAATAATTGAAGGATAAAGAGAATTGAAGTCCATCAACAACACAAAACTTTCATAAAAGCCTTTGATTGGATCAAGAACTAAACCACCAGTGTAAGCTGCTTTCTTTTTCGTTCCTTGTTGTTGATCATCATGCTCTGTCGCATCTTTATCTTTAATCATCTTTTTATCGGGTACAATGTACTGCTTTTCATGAAAAGCATGCATCAAGAGAAACTCGTTACGTTCAGATCGACCGCCTTGAAGTGTACGAGACATGAGATTACCAGCGATGTTAGTAATCTGAAGTGCAAGTGGAATAATATTCAACTCAACCATTAACTTGCTGATGTAGATGCAATCTTGAACGTTGATCTCGATAAAGTCAATAATCGACGTGCTATTGTCGTAAGCGAACGGAATGTTATCATAAATTATCTCTTGACGTTCATCCTCTTTGATTTTCAACACTTTCTGACACAAAGCACCTAAATCGTAGCTTCGACTCTTGATAAGTTCAGTGGCTGAAAGTTTCACGTCGCAAATCATTCGACCAATGAAGAATTCTTGAACACGTTTGCCAGGAATTTGATTTATCTTTAAACGTCCAATACGTGACCACATTGGAATCTTTAAAAATGTTATTCGATTGCAAATGATGTCGAGTTGACAATCATTAGAATCAAAAGTCACCACAAGATCAGGATCAATGTTCTGATAAATGCTTAAGAACCAACTAAGAAGCGCTCGCTCGTTATCAAACTTGAAGATTTTAAATTTTTTGAACTTTCCTAATGATGCCGGTAAATCAAATGGCCAACTTTTATTTGATGGTCGACTTAAGCCACAAAATTGTCGTGTAACGAGTTGCGTGTTTGGTTTGTCTAATTGAAATTTATCATGCACCAAACAAGAAATTTGCACAATTTCATTGCGATTGTTGTTGGAATTTAAAATGCATTTGACATTTATTGTTGCGACCACTAATGGTGGCGGAGGGTTATGTTGTTGTCCATCAGCAATCGAGACACTTACACAATTCATATCAGGACATGAGATTTGCTTCTTTGTCCAACTTGATTGTGCTTCTGTGACTTTGAAATTTTTGATGTCAAGCCAACATGGACCTTTAATCTTCCGTTCTAGGAGGAGAGTTTCGATTGGCGATGTGTTGGAGCCAAAAATATGAGCGATTGTTGAATAATTGTTTTTAGGGTTTGGTGCTTGATATTTCCCTGCATAAGAAACTTCTAAATATTCACTTTCGATTGGAACATCAACACCGGGAACAGTAAAAGCGAATGATTTGAAAACTTTTCGACTTTTAAAACTCGAAAGTTTCAATTCTTCTAGAATTCTCCCTTCAAACTCTTCATAAACATCAGAAATAGTCACTTCCTTGTCAGTCTCTGACTTTGTTCTCAAATTATAAACATGACTTCTTGGTAGAAGGAAAAGTGTTCGATCAACGTTCTCAATACGAACACAAATCGAATTATAAGTTGTTTGCTGATTATTTCCGCCAGGAACTTCAATTTTTCCAAACAAATACACTTCACCAGGACGATTATTAGCATCTGCCCAAGCATCGAGATAATAAAATTTCATCGTTTCCTAAGTTATTAATAAATTAAAAAAAAATCTTTATTAATTGAAATGAAATGAACACTTACAGTACTCCAATCAATATTCTCATCAACTTCCTTAATTTCTGCATCAAAATCAATTCCCTGAAGTTCATTGAAAATCGTTGATTCACTGTCAACCGGTTTGGCTGTTATTGTCTTGATGACTGGTGGTGATTTAACTTTTATTAATTCGATTTTGATTTCCGATTTCTGAACATGTTTTGACTCTTTAGACTTTTCCAAATCATTTAATTGTTCAATTGGAAAATCATCGTCTTCATCCATCAATGAAGCTTCCAGCATTTCTTGATCTTCCTGATCTACATTTGTCGATGGTTGAAGTGAAATTGAAATTTCTTTTTTTACTTGAACATTTGAAGATATTTTCACATTCTCATCATCTTTTCTCCCTTTTGATTTTCGTTCTTCTTTAAGCAAATCTTCGAGGATATTCTGTGAAAAAATATTTAATGAAAATACATTCATTTTTTATATATTTAACTTAACTTACATCAGCTTTGAAATCTTTTTTCTCTTGCGCTTTCTTCCCAAACTTTTCCATGTATTTTTTCACTTCAATTTCCGATTCATTTGCTTGTTTCCTGATAGATTTCATAGGTTTTGGAGTAATTATAGAGTTTGATTTCGAATCTTCTTTATTATTTGATGAAGTGTTCAACTCCCCGAGAATATTTTTTAACAAATTGTCATCTTCCACACTCGTTCCTTCCTTTTCTTTGCTTTCTTTGGTTGCAAAGAAATTCTTGAGAGATTTCTTTTTAGCCACTGGTTCATCTGGCAGTTTTGATCCACGTTTATTTTGATGACTTTTCCGCTTGTTTGAATCAGAAGATTGCAGTTCGTAATCTTCTTCTGCATCATCAAATATCTCACGTCCATCTTCTACATAGCCTTCACCATCTATTATGAGTGAACGTATTCCATTTGAAATTAGTCAATAAAAATAAATCTTAAATAAATTACCATCATCAACAATCCAGTTACCAGCACGAGATGAAACAAGCTTAGAGTATTCTTCTTCATCAACTTCATCATAAATTTTTGACGACTCTTCGGGTGCCCACTTATTTACTCCTCCTTGTTTGGATGCTCTTAATTTCTCAAAAGCCGAAGCATTTTTCTTTTCAATTTTACGTCTTTTGCCACGACCATTGGTTGAAACTGATTTTTTGTGTAAAATTTTAGTTGGAAATAAAATAAATTGAACATTTTAAAAAGAAAACTTACGTGAGTCATCCATTTCTTCACTCATTGATATTTTAATTAACTTGAAGCACAAATTATCAATAAAACTTGTTAAAATAGTTGATTTTATTTGAATATTATGAGGAATTATCAAATTTTAACTTTATTTATTTATTTCTTGTTAATTTTTGAGCGGGAAATTTGTCAGCCCGGCCGGAATCGAAAGTTCTCAAGAACGGAAAAATAATTTCGACTATCGACATTTCATTCATGATAGATTCATGTCTTTATTATGTTTTCTTCATTTTTTCAGTATTCTATGAAACGAAAAATGAAATGTAGTATTAAAATACTATAACTTATGAATGCCATAAGTTTTTGATATTAGAAAACAATTTTTATACAAAACATTCGACAATATTCCGAACATGATTGATTCGGATCAGTCTTTCGTTGCATAAGTAAATCAAAAATTTTCTTTTCAACTTCTACCAATTCAAAAGTAATTTAAAATAAAACAAAGTAAGTTGTTTTAAGAGTTAATTAAATTGCGACATTGTACAACATTCTTTAATTTCATGCAGAATGGCTGGAGCTGACAGCGGCAGCAATGCTAAATTGACAGGATTATCAAAAATATTTAATGGACATACTTTTATGGGAAGAGCAAATGTGAGATTGAAATCGAATTAACAAAAGATATCAATACGATTAACAAATTATTTTTATTGTCTGCAGGTCGCAAAAGCAACGTATGCCTCCTTTGCACTCCTTGCCATGTATTTTTATTTCAAACCTTCAAAGAAATAAGATTTCCATGTATCTGATAAAAATATTACTTATAATGTGAAGTTGTGGATGTTGAGAAGGCAAATAAATTGAAAATTAGAAAAGAATTAGTGATTATTCATGGAGATTTTAATTGATAAGTTTTAATTAGCATGAAACATTTAAAGACGAAATTTATCATTTAAGATTTTTTCTTGCATGTTCTGATTTGTCGAAAAAGTTGAAGTTTTGCAGCGGATGTGACCACAACAGGAAATAAATAAACGCGAACAACAGTCGATGAATTTCTCAAATTCAAATTGTGATAAAACAGTGCCTTAAACCTTTTTCCTCATTTATTTAATTTTCATATTAATCTTAATACTGTAATTGATGATTTTGGTGTAAATTCATCTAATGAAATGTCAGATATATTAGACACTTGTTCTTCTTCCGTTAGTGCCAATTATGTAAGATAATTTATCATTATGTTTCTTTTAAATTTAAACCTGTTTGTACACAGATGATATCTGCAAAGGATGCTTCATCATCGATGGGTGTTGTTGCACCAGAAAATTCAAAATCTAATGAAAACTTGCAAGATGAAACTTCAAACGTGTTTTCTTCTTCCTCTTCGATAAATTCTATTAATGTAACTTAATATAACTTCAATGTTCCTTTCAATTTTATTTATTGGCTTTTAAAAACAGATAATAACTGACGACAATAACTCATTGGCCACGAAGAAAGAAAACTCAGCACCTGAGACATCTTCAAAATGTTGTTATACTGTCTTAAAGACTGTAAAATTTGATGATTTAACTGTTGAAATCATTCATAAACATAAGAATGAAGAAGAAAAAAAAACTTACGAATCAAAAGCAATGAATGAAGATAATGCGAGTGAAACGTCAACCTTAGAAGAGGAAAATGAAGTTCCTGATTCAGATGCAAATGACCACGACGACGGTAGTGATGCTTCGACTATAGCACTTGATGATGATGAAAGAATTGAGGTTAAATTGAAATCCACTTTAAATCTTGATGAGAATGCTTCGTGCTCAACTGAAACTCCTTTGGAGAAAATGGCAAAAGAACAAGAGAATTATGAAGGAGCTGTTGGCTTATGGGGAAAGGATTATCAGCTTTCCTGCTTCAAGTTCGGTTCTGAAAATCATCAATTCAATTTTGCAATGTCCCAGAAAGTTGAAGTTCAAAGATCAGCAATTTATAACGACAATCCAGCTATGTTTGCAGCTTTAAATTTACTTGCTCAAACAGATAAAAACAAAAGAACTTGGACAGGAGCTCCAATTAAAACACCTCAACAAGGATTAATATTCACAAAAGAAATCTCTGATTGCTCGGTTTGTAATCGCCAATTAGATATTGGAAGAGGAATCGCCCTAAAAGGTTGTTTACACGTTTTTTGTCGTCTTTGTTTGGTTCATTCGGTCGAAAATAAGAAAGACGTTCTCATGAAGTGTCCAACGAAGCGGGTTGCATGTCAAAGTGAAGTTCGTGACGATGAAATCAAAGAACTGTTGACTCAAGAAGCTTATGAAAAATATACAAATGACACTCTCAATAAAATTGGAATCTCAGATCTAGCCTCAGCTTATGAGGATTACGATTATGTTGAGAACATCAACAGATTTCAGTGTGAAATTTGTACTAAGGAAATCAACCCTGGAGATGGAATCGTTTTGAAGAATTGCATTCATCAATACTGCAAAGTTTGTTTATCCAACTTCATCGAAGCAAGTGAAGAAATTGTTTTTGGTTGTCCATATCGTGATGATGATGGCTTGAAGTGCATTGGAGTCATCACAGATACTGAAATGCGTTCACTTGTTTCACTTCAAGTCTACTTAAAATACTTGGGAAGATCCTTGGCATTTGCTGAAACAACAAATCCGAATGCTTATCATTGCAAGACTCCGAATTGTCCCTATTGGGTGGAAATTGAAGGAGAAATTGATAATTTCCGATGTGATGCTTGTAAACGTGTAAATTGTGTTCGGTGCAAAGCTGTTCACGAGGGTTCAACATGTGAGGATTATCAGGAAGTTATCAATGGACCTGGTCGACGAGCTCAAGAAAACGCACACACTCAGATGCAAATTCAGAATCTTCTTAGAACTCGAACTGCACAAAACTGTCCAAGATGTGGTATTTTGACTCAACGAATCGATGGATGTCGTCACATGACATGCTTGACATGTAAACACGAATTTCAATGGGAGGGAGTTTAAGTTCATCATTCAAATTCTGACTAATTCTTGAAAATTTGTTCACATCGCATTGATGCGATAACAAAACAAAAAATCTTATTGAATTAACAAATATTTTCACTTTTCTTATTTCTTTTTTCTTGTAAACATGTAAGAGAGAAGGAGAAAGAATTCCTTCCAATAACAATGAAATCCAATAAAAAAAATAAGAATCAAAGATTTCGTCATTATCTTATCAGAATTTTTATAATTGTCTGCAACAGTAAATTATTTCCATTTTTTTTCACCTAAATATTCAGTCGATGTTCAGTGTTGCTTGTCGTCGGTCATCATGTCTAACAGCGGAAAAAGTTCAGAATCTAAGGAAAAACCGAGAATTTTTTATTTTCAAAGTTTAAGAATTGAATTGTATAAAGATCACAAGGTTAAGCTTAAAAGACGCTGGCATAGAGATGACGAAAGTCCTGGAAGTTCTGATGAAGAATTGGTTCAATTAGCAAATAGTATCGTCAATTTCAAATATTTTTATGAAAATGACGACGACGAAACTGCTAGGCGAAGGATCAGGGAAGATCGGGAAGCTATAGATCAATTAAATGAAAGAAATGAGAGAAGGCGAAGAGAAGAAGAATTGAAGAAACCAATTGTTTGCAAATTGTGCGCGAGTACCATAATAAGAGGCGACGAAATTACTTTAGAGGGGTGTAATGACGTTTTCTGTGATATCTGCATAAAATCTTCAATTTTAAAAAGCACAGATTATGCCATAAAGTGTCCGTTCCCTTACTGTGTTCAACAAATTTCCAACAATGAATTGAAAAGAATTCTTGGCGATGTTGATTATCAAAAATTTGCTATTCATTTATTAGAATGCAAACTCAATGGCCTCAATACTGAAGAAAAAAATCTACCTGAGAAATTGTGAGTTAAATTTATTTAATCATGTAACGAGTTCATTTGAGACATTTAGATATATGTATTAATCTACCCTCTTAAATGTAGATTCGGCTTAAACTTGCCAATAAGCAACGGAAATTTGATAACTAGGTACCTAGCCCAAATGTCTTATCTTTTTTTTTATGGTGATATGAACATAATTCGGAGAAATTTGTAAACTTTGCAATAAAATTTATGAAGAAGAATAGATAAGAGATATTTTTAGAAATGTTTTAATTCAATTGTTCCAAGCCAGAAAATCATTTAATTTCTTGATGATTAAATTACCTAAAAGGGATTCTCTACAAACAAACGAGTGTTAGGTCAATTTTCTAATTCCAATTGTTGATAACGGTTCAAACTTCTTTTGAATCTTTATTCTAGTATAAATAAGTATCCTTTGAACACAAAAGCTAGTACGAGATGAGCGTAGTAGACCACTTTTCATTCAATGGAAAAAAAAGTGAATTTCCTATATTTTTGTCATTATTTATTGCAGACCTCAAGCCATGTCAAAACAGGATAATTACAATCCCCTAACAATTAACAAGCCTGTAACCATCAAACAGGTAAGAAATTATTAGTTAATAATTAAGGAAATTAAATTGAAAAATGATTTTACTATCTTCTCAATAATGAAAGGAACGAACCACAGATGAACGTTCCGAAACGCCCTCTGATTCTTCAGAAATGGGAGCAGCCGGATTGTGGGCCAAAAATCAAAATCATTCAAGTTTTGCTGATGATCAACTTATCAACATAAATGAAGAAACAGAACCAAGGGAAAAGAAAATTAAGATTGAAAATCAGCTGACAATTCCAGCTTCTGGCTATCTGACCAACCCTGAAGACTTTGTTTGTTCAATTTGTTATAATTTTGTGAAAGTAGGAGATGGTGTGGCGTTAAGAAGATGTCGACATCAGTTCTGCCATCCATGTTTGATAAACGCAGTGGAAGTCAATGCAAGTCTTCATGTCCTTTGTCCAATGAAGATAACAAAATGTGGAGACGAAGTTCTTCACACAGAAATTCGATCTTTGTTGAAGAAAGACGCATATGACAAGTTTATAGGGTGAGACAAATTGGACAGTCAAATTTACTGCGATTCTCAACATAAACTACATTTTCGAGTTCTTCCAGTTCCAAAAGAGATTTTCTACTGCTCATCGTGTGCCTGCTTTGAACTGATTGATTGATTAATCAATCAGTTCAAAGCAGGCACACGATGAGCAGTAGAAAATCTCTTTTGGAACTGGAAGAACTCGAAAATGTAGTTTATGTTGAGAATCGCAGTAAATTTGACTGTCCAATTTGTCTCACAGAAATCAAAATTGGTGATGGAATTGTGTTGAAGAATTGCTTGCATGAATATTGTAAGATTTGTCTTGCTCGAACAATTGAGACTTCCGATGAAGTCATTGTGCCATGTCCATTCGTTGCTGAGGATGGAATTCATTGTGCTGGCACAATTCAAGATCTTGAGATGAGATATCTGGTCGCTCCTGAAGTTTACGAAGCACATCTTCAGAAGTCTTTAACAAGAGCTGAAGCAATTATCAAAGATTCGTTTCATTGTCAAACGCCAAACTGTCCTGCGTGGGTGGAACTTGCTGGCGCACAAAAATTTCATTGTGTGGTTTGTAAAAAGGAAAATTGCGTGAAATGTAAGGCTGTTCACGAAAATAAGACTTGTGAAGAATACTATTATGAGACAAATGCTGATGCTCGTAAATCTCGTGATATTCGATTGACAGAAACAAAAATTCGTAGTCTTGTTAGCTCCAAAACAGCAATGCCATGCCCAGGATGTGGTATCATCATTCAAAAGAATCAAGGCTGTAATCATATGAAATGTACACAATGTAAACTTGATTTCCAATGGTTTGGACTTCAGTAAACCTTCAACCTTCTTCCTACTTGTCATCAAATCAAACTTTTTCATCTTCTTTCTTGATTGACATGAAACTGGAGGATCTTCAATATCTACGCAATATTCCACCGCTTAATTTATCAACGAAAGGGAAAGAAAAGTCGGAAATTGTTTTCCTTGTAACATTTAATGAGTTCTATGTCCGCCTTTCCCTCTCGCCCTTTCTTTAATTACATCGAGAAATGTGTCAAATAAAACTTTTTCTTTTTTTCATTCATTGCAAAATATTTTATTGGATTTTCTTATCATTTCGGGCTAATGGACAATGATTCGAAAGCTGATGAAGGGCGACGTTTGATGAAATGTAATTAATTTCTCCCTCACAGATCTTTCTCACTGCTTATCACTGATGGCAACAAGAAAAAAGGGGGAAAGTGTTGTTAGATATTTCCAACTTAACTGTGGTAGGTATTTAGGACGCAAAAGTAAGTGAATGACCTTTACTTATATCGTCTGTGACTTGAGAGTTCATATTTTCTTAAACATTTCATGCAGAGAGTGCACTTGTTGCTTTTAAAAGACTTTAAATTGAAATTTATTACACTACGAGCAATGCAATTGCGACAATAAAACGCTGTTAAGATCACAAATTATAAACCCACACATTTCGTTCATCTACACCTGGGTAAGTCATAATCGTCGAATGTTGTTAACCAACAAAAAAATTGCGCAATTTATTTAAATTATGATGACTTTATCGTTCGCTTTTGCGATTGCATGTTGCACTTCACACGTTAATTTCATCTTACACTTTGCTTCGCTAAAAAGACATAAAAACCCACACGTTTGTTGTTGAATTGAATGGACATGAGAAGTATCAAAGCGCAATTCAAATTCATGTATCAATAACTTTTTTTTCGATAAATCATTTGATGATTAAGATAAAATTTGATGAATGTTGTTTAGTGAATATTATAAAATGTAAGCAATGTTCATACCATGTCATTAAGTTATTTATACTTTCAACCTTTAGATGTCTATAAACATCTTGGATTAGATTTCTCAAGCAGCATATCGCTGCCTTCCAGCAGTTTTCTGTTTTAGAAAATTTATATTTAATTGGGTTCATTTGAGTTTTCCCCGTAAAGTGGATTTGATTATTAGGAAAAGGAATAAGTTCAATTCTCAATCTACCACCATCACTGCTACTGTTAAAATGCTTTTCCTTTTTAAAAATATTCATGAGAAATAATTGTAATTATTCTTTAGCTTCTGGCTTTATTTTTTTTTTCTTCTTAAAATGTTCATCGTCTTTTCATCGTTTTGATGCTTATAAATAATTCTTGTTCATCGCAAAAACAGAGTAGGCAATACAACTGTCTGCTTGCAGCATTATCGGATCATATCATTTTAAATTACTTTGGAAATTGATACGTGCACAAGGTATAATGTGGTAGCATGAACACGTTTAAACAAATTGAGTAATGAAGAACGATTAACCCTCATTTTTTCGCTTCTTTTTTTCTGGGATATTTTCTTTGCCCACAAGCGGCAATCCAATTAAAAGAAAGACTCGTCACTTTTATGCACTAATAAGTCTTTTAATCGAAACGCCTCAAAGTTTCTTTGTAAATATTTCATCTCACGTGCCTTCAGTCTAAATTAAGTTACGACTTTCTCATGGTTATTAACGGTAATTAGCTTGTCAAATTAAATTTTTTACCACCAACAGTTTGACTGATTTTAATTCCACTCTGAATTCGGCTGAAAACTTAATTGAATATCTACAATGTAGAGATACGGAAATCTGGTTTTTGTCGATCAATGCTTGAATCGTAGCGACGCTAATCCTATTAATGTTTAAATGTAATCAAAGTGTCGTACGTTTTCACATGATGTATGATTATATCAATTAATTATTCACAATCCTTCCAAATATGATCTACTTCTGACCACTGCACAACCCTCCTTTAACGCTTCCCCGCATTAAATTCAACACAAAAAGTGTGAAATGAAAATTGATTAATAATGCAAAACAACTGCTTAAGCTACGGCACATCAAATTACTAGTTCAACTCCTTTTTTCCCGATTACGATCTGGATCTACACATTGAAACGCCATTCATTCCTTTTAATTGACACATCGTAGTGAATAAATTAAATTAAATCTTTTACATATTTAAATTAACTTTTTCCTCGAATCTTTTCAAATGTCCAAGTGTTCATCACACATCACATCAGAGTATCTAAGAACGTCATGGGGGAAATTGTGAATGGAAAGCTTCATTCGGAAAAGTTCTGATGTAAACTAGTTTCCTAGATGCTAGAATGGCTGACCATTTCAGAATGTTAACAAAGAGTTTGCGATGTTTTAAAAGGCATCAAAAATTGTTTTTATGTAGTCGTCCTTTCATCCCTCGAACGAAAGTAAAAAATAAAATTTGTAGAGAAGAACCCTTTCATATGTAAATAATTCCGCTTACACTCATCAACATTAACATTAACAGTCATTGTTTGAGAATAAAAAAACTTTTTTATAGTGAAACGTGCAACTACGTCGCTTGTTGTTTTATTCAATAAAATTTTATCCCTTTTAAATGAACGATGTGTTTTAGCATATTTTTTCTGTCTATTTAAAGTTTGAAATTTAGTGAATGATTCTGATGAGATTAAATTTTTCGGAAATTAATGTTTCAAGCAGAACTGGTTAACAAATCCCTTTCGCATTCTCATTATAAACAAGTTGATAGTTTTTTTTTGTAAAAAATGAGATCATTATCCTTCAATCAAATGATTCTGATGTTTTGACGTGAATTTGATATCAAATATGTTTTGTAATTTAATCTTTTTTGCTTTCTGATGAAATAATTCGAGTTCTGCAAAGATTTTGAACATGATAAAGATGACCTACTTCTGAAACTTTAATAAATTTCTTAGAAACATTTAACTAGTTATGAAAAAAGAAGTCCGCAATATTCCATTTATTATAATCCTTAGAAACGTGTTGAGGGTTTAAAATGAAGCCATTCATAATTTTCTGTTGTTACATTTTCAGTTGCATGAAAATGGAAAATGGAAAATGCCAAGAGAAAGACTGATGTTCATTTTTGAAGAGTAAAGAAGGAGAACATTTCATGCATTTTGTAATACTTTAAAGGCTTCCTGTCTGTTCTAACTAAACAGATTTGCCTACAATGCAGTAACTTTGCATATAAACAAAGTTTCGTGAGGGAAGAAAATAATTTTTTATTCAAGCCTGGTTTGTGTAAATATTCACATACATGTTAGAATAATTGAATTCTAAGTTGAATCCCTGTCAGAAATGAAATCATATGAAAAAATATTTTGGTTTTCAAAATCATAAATAGAAATCCTCTCAACGTTGCATGTAGAGTACAATAAATTTTTTCTATTCTTTCAAGGATTCTCTTACAATATTTCATAGCTTCACTTCTCTCGGTTTGCAATAAAATTTTGTTTTATATCAACCCCAAAATTAGGAAAAATATATAAGTGGATAAAAGGGGTTGAAGAAGTTGAACTCTTGTTGTTATTTAGCTTAAAGTTTCCCTTTAAATCCTCAAAAATATCTGAAACGGTTTCAGTGTGCAAGTCACTTACATTCAGAAAAAAAGAACAAAAATCAAAACTTAAAAGGAAATTGAAGAATTTTTCTCTATTTCAATTGTTCGCCCTATTTATATGATAAAAATTTGCTGCTGCAAAATCTTCTTTCAATAAACTCTTAAATTTGAATCCACCCTCACTTGATACCCTTCAATTACGCTTTTAACATCTATCCAAGTGATTGTTCAATTTTTAATTTTTCATTTTGTGGGTTTTTACGAGATGCAAAAGAGATGAGAAAACAGAAAACACAAAATATTCATTTGCGTTGATGATAATGATAATGTAACGTTGTTGTAAATTACGATTTTGAGAGTACTTCAGCCTTGTTACTTATACAAAGATATTTTAATGAGCATTCATTCAACTTGATATCAAATTATTTTATGACACTCCTTCCAAAATATCTCCATCTTTCGTTCGTTTGTGCTATTTGAAGTCGCTTCCCTAACTCACAATGTTAAGAAACCTTCTACGCTTTCAACTTAGATAAGTTTCACCACAATAGAATTTTCATAATGTCGTTTAAGTACTTGCACGAACATCTCTTTAATATAAACGTAATTTGGTCTTCTACATCAAATAAAATATTTTGGGTAATCCAAAAGTTATTCTACACTTTCTGATGTTACATCATTGATAAAAAATCATCAGCTGTCTAAACATATCTTTATAAATAAAATATCTTTCACTTTATGATCCAAAGAAGTCTCGTGTTGAAATACCGAAAACCTTCTTTATGCTGTAAAATCGAGGCTTGAGAATGAAAAGAAAAGAAGTGAAAACATTTTTGAATTGTGTTGTTATCGTGATGCAAAAATCACTGAGAACCCTCAAAACAGTATCAAATACTTGTTGTCATGTTTTAGATTTCTCTTGTTCAGTTATTGTGATATTTTGTTACATATCTGACAGCAATCATCTTTCTTTCTTTTGAATATTTCAAAGTTAATAATATCGATCTCTTCTCCAATTTCATTTGCAATTTATTTGTTCTTAAATATCACAAAAGTTTTATTTTTTTAAGTTTCAAATTCTATCTTGTTGACATTAAATATGATTAATTGACTGCTAAATTTCAGCAACCAAAATGATACGAGAAACAATAAAAGGCAATTCGTGATTTCAATTAAACAACTACAAGAATGTTACTAACTGGCTTTGACCGACTACTCAAGAACAAGGTCAATGTCAGGTGAACGTTTGCGATGTAATTATTTTTTTAAAGGTTTTGACCGTTTATTAGCCTTCATGAGTGGCGTGTCTTATTCTTCTCTTCTATTCCCCATGGTATCGCTCACCATAGGAAGTTCAGATCCGTCCTCTGTCTAACATGATTAAATCATTTGATAGATATCTGCAAAAAAAAGAAATACTTAAGAGAAAAAAACTCACTTTTTAAAGCACTCGACCGTGCGAAACTAAACACTTCGTTCTACTCTAAGAAGAATCATGACACATCACTTATTACAAAAAGTGATTATTATGTTCAACTCGTTCTGTTTATCTGTGACTTAATAACTTATTTGTTCTGCAATTCATATCTAAATATCTGAAAAATATAAAATTTTCCACTCAATTTATAAATGTTCTTCGCTGTTGGATTGTTATGCAAACTAAATTTACCTGCATGCTTATGAGATGAAATAATTTTCATTGTTAAAATTTATAAAACTTTGCGAGATTTCTTGCTAGTATTTGACAAAGTTCTTGTGGTTGAGAGAAATCGGATGATTATTGGGAGTCAAAGCGAAGAGAATTGAGTTTAATGAATGCTCTAATAAGTAATGGAGAACTTCTTAATTTAAAGCATTCAACCGACAATGCGAAGTAGCAAATTACAAAAATCAAAATAACAAACAAGTAAGCGATCAACAAATGTATCGACTCATCAGCTTGTTTTTGGTTTTCCAAAATCTTTATTCTGACTCATGATGGATGTAAGAGAAAAAAAATGGGGATTTTGATCAACAGGTCGTCTGGTCGTTTGGACTTAACAATATGAAACGAAACAAAAATAGTTTTGTGTGAAATCTTGGCACTTATATAAAAGAGAATTTTCTTGAAACGCTTCTCATTAGAACAAAATCTGTTGAAGAAGTTAAAAGTGAATCGCAAGCTGTTAAAAAAATAAGATATTAACAAAAATGAAAGTTCTGGCAATCGTGTTCTTTGTTGCTGTGGCTGCAGTTTGTGCAGTGCCTGTTGATGAAACCAACAAGCAAGATAACGTGGATACTGTTGTCGTTTTGGAAGATGATTCTTCTCTTGACGTTGCTGATATCGATGGTGGATTAGTTCGTGAAAAGAGACAGTTTGGTGGTATGTTTAAATAAAATATTCAAAGACTTGTAGTAATATGAATGACTTTAATCTAACAATGTTCTTTCATTCAAGGTTATGGTGGATACGGTGGGCGAGGTCAGTATTGTATTATGAAAAGTTTTACATATCGAAGAGATATTTGATTGTGTCTTTCTTATTGTCTCGAAACAGGTTACGGTGAGAATTTTTGAAGATCTTTTCGCCCGTCATATAAATAACAAATAAGCAATGAAAGTTGCTAATTAAATTAGCATCTCTCTGGGAATATGAATCAGTGAAAATCACAATCGATAAATGTTAATAGTCAATGAAGCTTATGAAGTCACAATGTTATTTAAGAGAATTTTTCTGTTATATTATCTGACTGAGACGTATTTTCGACTGGTTATTATTCATTAATTTATTCTTTTATTTTTTTAATACGATTATAGGTGGATATGGAGGTAAGCTTAAATGTTTTCAATTCTTTTAAATCAGTCATCACAAATATTTTACTATTTTCTTAGGATATGGCCGAGGTGGATATGGCGGGTATGGAGGTTACGGTCGTGGAGGATATGGAGGTTACGGTCGTGGAGGATATGGAGGATATGGCGGATACGGACGGTGAGATTCTTTAAATAATTTAATAAATTAACTTTTAAATTTATAAATTCTTACAATAGAGGTGGATACGGTGGATATGGATTTGGCCGCTAAACACCAAAATCACAATCTCATTTATATCACCATGTTCATTCAATAAAGCTTTAAGTTTGCAAATGTTAAAACAATTTTCATTTTATTAGAACCAATTATTTACATGAAATCTATCGACAGAGATGAAAACGAATTGAATTAAGTAAAAGTGAATGATCGATAAGATGCCATTACGGCTATCAAATAAAACAAACTTCCACCCTCTTAGTTATATTGTCAGCCCTTAATCGAAATTGTCTTGTAAATTTCCCTTCTGTCGACACGCCATGTTGCACCAAATATCCTTCAAATATTGAAAATGTTCAGCATTTCGACTCCTGATAGATATCTACGAATTATTTTACATTTTTATGGTGATTTTATGAATGGCTTTAATTGGAAAATTTCCACAGCATGCCCTCGCTCTTACTGCACATTTACTTACTCATCGTTGAAACGAATGGAAAACTATTCAGGGAAACTCACCCTCAACTCATATGGAATTTCATTACGGAACATTTCACCGCATTAAAATGTTTCGCTCCTTCTGTTGATGTTGAATAATTTAAGAAGAGAAATTCTATAAAAAATTTAACTTTCAGGCAAACCTCGAAATCGTCTGTGAAAGAAAATTCTGAACAAAAGATTTTTAAATTATTTATAACAATGGAACAAGTGGAAACTAATCAATGTGATTCAAATATTTATTAATTTACAGAGTTCAATTTTTTTATCCACTTTTAATTCACTCATTGTCCATTCACCTATCAAAATAGAAACTGAAAAGATTCGATCGATTCCCATCATAACATCGTCTTGTTATTTATCAAGATTGTTTTGTTTTGTATTAAATCAAAGATCAGCTGTTAATCTTTAAATAAGATTCCCTCAAAACACTGAGAAACTTTTCCTTTCAGTTTAAAACTTATGAGAACTTAATACCTGCCATAAACATTATCTCTTCCCTTTTGTTAAAGAACTCCAAGCGAACGAGCGAGCGAGAAAGGAAAATATCAGATTTCTTAAGTAATAAATTCATTCTTAACCCTCGCTTTGCTTCGACTTCATTAAACATTTCTGGTTTGAAGGAAGAAATTTTAAGAAAAGTTTTAAAATACTTAAACATGTACTCAAAGACTTTGAAGAATTCTTTTCGTGGATCATTGGAAGAATGTTATGGAAATTTCTTTCAAAAACAATAATTCACTCGAAGCTGTTGAAGGTAAACGAAATCGAAGGCGTTCTTACAAAATATTTCAAATAAATCTTTCAAAGTGTTGCATCTCCCTATGCAACAACAGATAATCCTTCATTTCTCTACAATTTATTGATGCAAAGCAGAAGGGAAGAAAACCAATGTTATCATTGCATTTTAATGGCGTGAACCGAAATGTCTAAGAAATAAAATCATTCAAGTGCAAGTGATGAAGAACAATATTAAAGAAAACTCTAATGGAAGAAAGAATTCTGTTCAATTACATTTATTGATGAAAAATATATTTGTTCTGTGAATATGTCAGTAACAAATACGTGATTGTGAATTCAACTTAAATCTCAATGTCTTTAAGAAGGATGAAAGTCTGGTTAAAATCAATTTAAATAAGTATTTTGAACTAGATACATCGATATTTGTGTTAGATGGTGGAGAATGTAATTCAAGTCATTCAGAGTTTTACAAACTTCATAAAATTGGTTTCCAACAAATCAACATTCATGGAGAAAACTATGTAGATATTCTCCCTGGGGGAATATTCTGACGCTATATCGATGTCGTCGACGTCTTATCAAATATGCTTTTATATCAGGATAAAGTATTTTTATTCTGACAGAACGAAAGATTGTAGAGCTTCATATTTTTTTTCAATTTCCTTTTGAGTTTCCTTTTTTGAATCGAACAATGAAGAACAGAGTCGCTGTTCATCAACGACTCGATTCGACTCAACTCATCTTCATCTCCTGGCGTCAACGAAGTTGAAAATTTCCTTTCCTACGCGTAACAATGGTTAAAGGATATTCAAGAGTAGGGTTGGCGGAGGAAAAACCATAAAATTGTATTTCATATGATGAACAGACGGAAAGCTTCGAAAAAAAATGTAAACGATGGGAAATTTCATTGCAAACTCAACTGAGATGAGAAGAAAAAAAGTTTGGTCAATGTCATTACTCTCGTTCTTCATCTGATGATGAAACCGGAAGGAAATTGACGAGAAAGGATCTCCAAATTGATGGAATAAATCAACATGATTAAAACGAAATGCGGGGACATTCTGCTAGAAGCATTGAAAATGTTTCTGTTAAGGTCTTAAATATCTAAAGTAAATTGTCCTTGTGTCGTTAATTTTTAGTTCTCAGATTGGGACAAAGTATTCTATTTTTATGGTAAATAATCTTTCATATTTTTTATGATTTATGTCAAACAACAAGAAATTAAAAATAAGAAGAAAAAAAATGGCAAAGCTAACCTTTCCCCTACCAAATCGTCATCGCATAACTCAACATCTTAACGAGGATCAACTTCTTTTGCATTTTTCTTTTCTTTGGGTTATAAAAATACTCACTTTTTAATATTTCTGCCTTTCCTTTCATTCTTCTTTTGAGCTTTTTCTTATCATAATTTACATAAACGAGGGAATGAAAGCGTAAACATTCTTATGATGTGTTTTTACTCTTCTTCCATTTCATTTCGTTTCAACATCTTGGCTGAATGAAAGATGACACTCATTCTAGGAATCTTCAAGCATGACAAACACAGAAAGAAAATATAGAAATGAGTAAGAACTGGTAGGGAATCGTGTCAATATTTATTGCATAACATGATTAAATTCCTTTTTTTTTCTATCAGTTTCATCGCAAGAGAGAAGGAAAAAAACGTCTCAAATTTCTAAAAATATTTACAGGACTTTGAAGAATTTCTTTTAAAAGCAAAAGGAAGTTTAAAAGTCTTGAATAATAATGAAGCCTTAAAAACTGATTCACTGGGTGTTCGTTTAATATTTTAAAGATAAAAAAGCCAACATAGATGTGAAGAAAAACTTATTTAGCTCAAGAACGGCGTAAAACTTTATTTGAACTTTCTTATTTACTGCAACGTGTATCGCCGCTTTCTTTCGGAAGTTTTTAAACTTTTTCTTTCTCAATTCTTTATGATTTTATGTGAGCAAATAAACATTAAGATGAATATCAAAAAATAACGTTCTCCTGCTGTCGACACATTTCTCAATATGAGAATCGAATAAAAATTGTGTTCATCATATTTTCATATAAAAATTTCATCACTGAAGTTAAGGAACCCATTGACGAACAAAGAATCGCAATAACGAACAACTAACAGATTAACCGAGAAGAAATAAATACAAGACACTAAACGATACTATCAGTTTTAAGAAATACTTTACTGCTTGTAAAAGCGACAAATTCGCTTCGCAATTCACATGGAAAACTTCGAGCTTATTTATGCACAGAGAGCAGAGTGTTAAGGTCAAGAAAAGTTCGTATGCTTCATATGTCTCACGATATGACCATTTCGTGAAGCATCGAGTGGAACAAAAGACTTATTTGTTATTGTGAATAAAAATAATCATCAATCATACATAAATAATTCATTCGTTCAAAAGAAAGTTTTTGCATCATAAATTCTTCAGAAATGAAAAGTTTTTCCTCTGATCCTAAGCTATTCACAACTTCTTGATGAATCTTTTCCACTACACTTTTCAAAATGTTATGCTGAATCAATCAACAAGTATTGATGAAATTGATAAAGTGATTCCTGAGGAAGCACAGGTTAATTTAATATTTATTATGTAATATTTCTCCCCCTTGGTATCCCCCAGATGGTATTTTTGTGAAAACATTGAAGAAATTGCTCCAAGTCCTGTTTTCAAGGCAAATTTCCATTTGTCTGGTTTAAAATAAAGCTAAATTAGCTATCTGTGTACTCAGTTGGTGTACGACTTCCTTTTAAATTGTAAAAATTAGCAATTTTAAAAATAATAATGTTTTCTAATGTTTTGTTGCTCAACAAGTATTGAACGTCAGCTTAATTTGTGATGTTTTCATTCAATGTTTCGTCAATGTTTTCAAAGTTGTTTTCATTGTCATCATCGTTGTTTTCATAATTGTTTTCCTGAGAAATTCAAAACATCAAGAGAGGAATCAGTGTTATTTTGAGAGAGAAGAGAGAGAACATTAAACACAAGTAAAGATCAAGGTAAAGATCAAGGGGCAGATCATCGTCAAAAATAAGCCGGCAGAAGCACTATTTTGAAAAGAAGCACTAGACAAATTCCAAGAAAAAGTAAACAAATTCTTGGAAAAAGGCCATTTTTCTTGAAAAGCACTAGTGATTTTCGAAGCATCATTTGGAGGCAGCCGGCAGAAGCACTACCATGATTTACCCCTTGGTAAAGATGCATGTTGAAACAATTTTTTAAATTATTCTTTTATGCATCTAATTAAAACGAAGGATTAAATATTTTAATTACTTCCTAGAACTATTCTTTTCATATTTAGAGTTATCAATGTAATTTTCATGCAATTTATTTATGTTTGTAGGAATAAAATAATAATAATTTTATTCACTTAGAACGTAATTCTCAATAGCAATAAATTTTATTCAAATTAAAACGAACTCAAAATATTCTATATCAATTAGGTACCATTTTAAATCAAATATGACATGTTTTCAACATTTTTTGTTATTGAAGAAAAATAAATTGTAACAATAGTTACTTTGTTGAATAGAAGAATATTCAATTCATAACAAAACAATAATTCATGTTAAGCTTGAACGATTATTGGCGACAATTGATTTTTCCGGATGAAATGTGCTATCATAACAACTCGGTCATCCGATGTTTGTGGTAAATCTGCACTTCGTATTCACTTACTTATTGCTGCAAAAACAATTATGATTTGATGCATTTTTACCAAATACCTACATTTAAAAATTTATGGCTTTTTATGTTCAGCGCTTTATTGTTTAAAAATTCTTCAATTGTTTTTTAACATTCCGATGGTTGTAATAAATATAATGTGTGCTTTATGCACTTACACGTTGTATGCAGTAGAAAGCAATAATAATATACAACAATGATATCAAAATCAGTGTTGGGATATAATTTATGGTACCAACAGCGAATAAGTAATTCAAAACTTTTTCAAGCCTACAAACGCATCAATTTATAAAAATATTTATTTGTACGTTGGATCTTTTTCATGCATTGCCAGAAGCCGTTAAAAGTTGTTCTTTAAATTTTCATTAAATCGAATTGTTGTGTGACTTGAACCTTAACAAACCATAAGGTTAATAATTCCTTTTTATTGTTATTCTGTCTCGTGCACATCCTCCGTGGCCCATGAAACATTTGAGGTAATTTATGATAAATGGTCTCAAATATCAAGACAACATACTCCCACTCACATATTTCCCTTTTCCGTCGTTTTCATTGCCGAAAAAAAGAAACGAAAATTGATGATTGTCTAATGCAAAACGGAATTGAGCGGTCATAAATTTGAAATTTACATAAAAATTTCTCTGAACAAACAAAGCATTTTTATGCATCTTCAAGGCATTTATGCTTGTTCAATCGTTCATCATAAAAAGTACAATTTATTGATTATTTTAAACTTCTTTCTCCTCCCTTTCCTTTCATTCGGTTTGCTAATGCTTTTTCTATTGACGATTTATTTTGAAACATTAGGCAAAGCTTTTGTCTCAAAATCGATTTTTTATTTTTTATTTCATTGGCCGCTAATTGAAATTCAAATCGATCGAACCATGCGGTTTTTTGTCTGATGACTGTTAATAAACATTGATAAATTGAATCGCTTATGAAATGGTGAATCATAAATATTCGAAGTCATTTGCTTTAAAAGGAAAGCCTACGCCTTCTATTAACATGACAAACGCATATGCACAATCAGCAATCACAATCACCAGATTAGATTAATCGGAATCTTCACATCCCATTGATTGACTGATGATGTTTAACATTATTGATATTTTACAGTAATCGCTGAAAACTAAATTTGATACACCATTCTTTAAATGTTTATTCTCCATTAATACCTTCAACGTTTAGGTTTATTTGTTTGTAATATCTTCTCAAGTGTTAGGTTCGACCCATATGTAAACCTATCTGGCCCTTATGATCACCATTTATCTAACTTCGATAGATACAAATAGAAAATCTATTCAAATGATGCGTAATTTATTCAAAATTTGCTATCCGATCCAAGATGTATTTATTCAAATTTTCGTGACCATGCTAACATCTGTGATCAATAAACAACTAATAATTAATAAATATTTGTCGATTATTGAGGAAGTTCTTTGAACCTCTTGAAAGATTTTCACCCGATAGTCATCAATGTATCTTTATTTAGGTACTCAATTGAAACCTGCTCTTGATAAAATTATATCTGCCTTCCATCTAAAATTATTTGTTTATTAAGCATAATGTGTTGGGTGGTATTTGTCTGCAAATTTCAAAACTTTATTTGAACTCGAGACGAAAATGTTATTTACGTCTGGATTATCAGCTCGGAATTTTGTAGCAAATTCTTTTGTTTAAATATAAAATCATGGACAAGTCACAAAAGACAGGATTTGTACCAAAAAATTCCATATTCCAGTCATCACTTTTCATTCTTTTTTCTTCATTTCGGAATTCAGCATGAAAGCTTTTTCGGTGGAGAACGAAACGTTATTACATCTTGCAGACATTTGCAAACATGTTTTGCATCACGCTTGGTGAATTATGAATTTCATTCCAAGCAGAACTTCCGAACTCAGTTGGTGTGACAACCAACAACATTTTTAATACTTATCAAATACAACTCGTTTGTAAATTGTAGCCCTGCATTGCGAGAAAAATGATGATTAAGAAAATTAATTTATTACAGTCATGTGATTTTGATGTTTGTTCACAAAAGCGAAAAATATATTTTTGGATCACAAGCAACATCGGAAAATGCATTGCAAGTGAATCCCTTGAGTTATTTGATCAACGTGAAGTTTGAATCTTTTTTATCTTCCAGTGCAAAGGAAATTAAAATGTTTTTCCGGAGCCTAAAAAATTATTTCCCAGACATTTTCCAGATGCTACCAAAATGAAATTTTTAATATTTTCTCCACATTCTTCTATTGCTTATTTTTTTGAATGCTCGTTGCTGAACTTTTCCTGAATCGAATCATCAATTGTTTTTATTCATTACTCAAACGTAGCAGGTGGAATTAATTTTTTTCCGAATCGTTCACATTACCTCTCAGCAGGAAAAGTTTGCAAAGAATTTGCATTTTATTCATTCCACACCTCATCTCACCACGTGATATCTTATTGAATGTGATTAACAAATGCAAAACTTGCTCACATTTAAAGCTCAGCTAAACACTTTACCCTCTGCGTAATAAAGATATTAAAACAAATGGATTGTCTTAATGAGGCGAGCGTAACTTCGAAGACGAGAAGAAAAGAGATTCAGACATTAAAATAAAAGAGTTGAAAATTTTACGACAAGATGAGTTTTAATGTTCGAATGAAATTGAAAATAAATGAACGAGAAGCAACAACATCTCTTTGAATTTCATTACATCTACATTATAACTTTTATTGTTGTCATGTACACGTTCCGTTTCGTTTTTGCGTGAGAGTTGAAATAAGCGTTTCGTCATGCAATGCAGTAAAATAACAACATTGCTGGAAGACAAGAATAAATGAGAGAAATACGTTTCTGCAGGTCGTGATGCTGCTGAATGACTTTGTCTTAATCAATTTCGTAAAACGTAGCTATGAACGAGAACGTTAACGTTTTGTTTTTCCAAATATATAAATGAGAAATGACGTCGTTTGTTTGCATTTTATGCACAAGTTTCGTCCTTAAAATTGTCTTCCTTATCTGATGGCAACAATAAACAGATAAAGAACTTTTACTCAGATATTCATGTTCAATTGAAAATATTCAAGATAGGGAAATGCACATCAGACTGATTCATTATTAATCATAATATTTGCGCTTCCATTAAACACTGTTTGTTCCACATCAAATCATCATTAATTTTCTTCTTCTGCTGCCCCATTTTATGAACAGCTCATTGCAAATGAAAAACATTTTCAAAGTAATCTGTCGGGAATGAGATTCATTCGTTGAATGAACGCTCAATTGAATCGACGAAATGGGAAATTACGCAATTGTGCCTTGCAATTGTAATCCCTTAAAATGAGATAAATTTTAATGTGGATTAAGGATGAAAGTAAATTATCCATATTCATATATTTTTATTCTCATTTATTCGACTTAGACTCATTAATTGATGGAAAATTGTTATGGTAGTTGAATGACCCATTAAATCAGTTCGAAATGAACATTATTTGATTTTATCTGACTTGAACTATCTTCATCCTTCTCTGTCAAGATTTATTCATCTTCTGGAAGTAATTATCTAATCAGCAAAAGAGCAATCAAGACAATCTAAGCGCAACAAATCAAAAATGAAAGCCCTTGAAGTTGAGAACGTAGACATAAACATATCATCAAGCATAACGCAACCCTTCGTGATGTATTCGGAAGATAATAGCCACATATATCCACTTAATGTGATTGTGAAACGAACTGGGATGACGAGCGAATATTTTTGTGGATTATTTCAAAAGAGTAATTTTGTTGAATGTTAAAAAAATCTATAAATAATATACAAGGGCAAGTGGAGGAAAATTCTTACATATTCACTTTGATTCACTTAGATTTTCCTTAAGTCTTAGGGGAAAAAACCTTAAATCACTTCATTCGTTCCAATAACTGGAAAGACTTTTCAGACTCAAAGTTTTATTTCGTAAATTCAAAATTGAATATTTTATCGTGAATTTCAGAGAAGAAAAAAAATGTCGAAAAAAGTTCTCATGAATGAAAATCAAATCCAACTCGTGTCGATGTTTTGAATATCGAGAACAATAAGCAATGTTCTTTTCTAAGCTTTTATGTGAATGAATAAATTTTTGAGGGTAAAGCTTTGAGATTTTCTCTTCACACTTTTGATTTTTCCAACAGTTTTTCTTTCATTTTCTTTCAAAAAACGTCATGTGTGAATTTCTCCCAAACAATCGGATATGAATATACGACACTCAACACACATTTTTCTCTTTCCCCAAACATCGATTTTCCATTTGAATAACGCTTAAAAATTTCATTGAAAATTTGTTTTCATTTCCTTTCTCTCCGATTGATATGCCATATCATTCTTAAAAGGTTTATGAATGCATGAGAGTGAGAATATGTGATGTGTTGATGGTATTCAAATAATTAGTCATCATCGCTTGAAAGAATCTCGAATCTCTGTCGTGGGAAGCTAAATGTGCATCAATTTGTCAAAAGATTCCTTATGTCGTGTCGCCTGAAGCTGAGACGCCATAGGAGACATAACAACAACAGCGTAAAAAATGAACATAACATCTTTCTTATACGTTTTCTCTTTTCCACAGGATATAAAACTTCATCCACCCTACTACTCTGTATCTACTCGTATTTATATTAAAAACAAGGGGCAGATCATGGTAGTGCTTCTGCCCGCTGCCTCCAAGTGATGCTTCGAAAATCACTAGTGCTTTTCAAGAAAAATGGCCTTTTTCCAAGAATTTGTTTACTTTTTCTTGGAATTTGTCTAGTGCTTCAATGCAGCAATAGTGCTTTTGCCCTCCAATTTTTTCCGATGATCTGCCCCTTGATTAAAAAGGACATACACATAACACGAGGTAATGATGCAAAGATCTTCTCACTAAAAGCTTCTCCCTGTGGGCGCAGATAAATTGTCACTCAAAAATACATTTTTTTTATCTCAAGGCACAACGATTTAACGCACAGTTAGATTTCGGGCTACATTTATTATATTTCTTTAGTCCCCGAATAAACAACCAGAAGCAGAAAGTAGAAAGTAGTAAGCATTCTCTCTCTTCTTCTCCCTGGAGTTGTCTTCACATTTATGGGATTAAACGAGTGTTGACACGTAATTGATGAAGCGCAATTTGTCATAGAATGTTTTGATGTGTGTAAATAAAAGCGAATGACATAAAAAACGCGTCATGTAACTCAGCACACAAACAAATTCCTTCGATTGATGATGATGCAGGTGAAATCGACCCAATTTATTTTCCCCCATGATAAAGTCGTAAAAAAATACTGAAGCGAACATGTAAATTCGATCCGTGAACGTGATGATGCTGCATTGAAAACGGTAGTAAAATTTATGGAAACAGAAACATTCAATGAACTTTGGCCCATTTCTATTGCTAGTTCTCACTCAAAGTGAGTTTTATTTTTCTATTTTTTATAATATCCACCATCAGAGGGGTCAGGTTGTTGTGTTGTTGTTGCTTGTTGTGTTTTATATCGGATGAAGTACACTTCAGGTTTGGATGGAACTGTTGTAGTGGGTGTTGGAATTACATTGTCAGGTACATCTTCAGGTTTTTTAACTAGCACATAAACGATGGTTTTTTCTTCTTGTTGGGGAAGTGCTTGAAGAGGCGGAAGAGTTGGAACAGACAGAGTTGGAGCTTTGATGAATATTATTCGGTAATGCTTTTGAACAGGTGACGGTGCGGAGACAGCTTGAGGTGGTGAATAGTCAGGTTCAGGTGGTGGCACATGCACATAAACATGTTTAAAAATAATAGGCGCAGGAGTTGATTCTGTTGGTGGCACGTAATCAGAAGATTCAGTTGGCGCTTCATAATTTGGTTCAGCTGGAAAGCCGTAACTTGTACTTGGAATTGCTGGAGGCAGTTGAAATTCGCTGTCAGTTCTCACTGTTGGCGTGAAATATTTTTGAGATCTGCTATTGTAAAACATCGATGGAGCTTCACATTCGATTTGTCGAAGAATTTTTAAAAATATCACAAAATACATAAACTGAAAAATAAAGTTTTTTTATTACAGATTTAAAAGAAGCAATAAACAAACCTTGAACATTTTAACGAAACTTTTTGCTCGCATCAGTCGAAATTTAACAACAATACTAAACGCGATTTAAGTTTTACTTTCACTTATATTTCATCATAATGCTCAGAGTTAATGAGGAAAATTAAAAAGCCAGGAATTAAATAAACAATGAATGCTCGTTACATAAATGCAAAGTCTTTTGCAAATAACGTTTTAATCGACTCGTCATCGCCATAGAAATGTGGCACTTCCTTGTCATTTGCTAGCGTAATGATTCTCTCAATTAAAACTTTTAATCGTTCGGTTGAGAGAGTCTCATGAGTGTGGCGTGGTGTGAGGTGGAAAAACAGAATTAAACAGTGTTAAACTCCGACGACGAAAAGAAAGCCTCATGAATACATAAATTAAATAATTAAAAAATTTGCATCCAATTAGAAGTGATTTTCATTTTAATAATTCAGCATTAGGTGAAGAAATGAAGAATCGTGATGATGGTAAGAATAAGAAGAAAAACTTTCAAGAAGCGACGAAAATTCTGTAAATTCGGCTCATTCTATGAAGATATTTAGAAAGTTGCTGACTCAATTGTTTCTCACTTTCCGTAGATGTGTGTGGTTGAGTTCTTTAAGTGATAAGAAGTGAAATGTCTTTATGGCTTTACGTGACTTCGAGAGGATTTCATACTTTGAGTTGCCTTTTTGTTGTATTTAATGCGAAAAAGTTGCAACCACCCAAAAATATTCTATTAAGCAATTACGATACACTTCCATTTTCCATTTTCTTTCACATTTCACGTAAGTATCCAGATATCTGCGGTGAAATTGAAATAATAAAAATCTATGTCACGTTGGAAACGAAGAAAATGAAGAGAATGTGTGAAGACATGAAGTTATACGAGCAGAAAGAAATGGAAAAACCATTTTTCCATTTCTTTTGTTTCAAGCTACTTTTACGACTCACTTTTATTTTTCTTTTCCACTAACTTGAGTGTTTTTTCCGATTATCTACTAAATATTCTGAGATTATGTTTTTTTTTGCTTACAATTGTTGCTTTGTAAGTTGAAATCAACACAATTTTTTCTGGCCAATTGGCAATTGTTATTCACGAGTGAGAATAAGAAATCTTCGCATAAAAATATTTATAAGATATTCTGCTTAACATCAGCTTAAAATTCAAAAGGTTTCAAACAACATATTGTTTTGTGACTTTGAAGTTTTCTTACTTTTACTTCCGTAAAAAGAAAAAGTTTCCAAAATTGCTTCTCTTGTTAGAACAAAACTGTTTTCGACAAAAAAGTTTTACATAATGATTTGATGGAAAATTATTAACATATTAACTTACCAAAGAGGATGAAGAGGGGAAGTTTAGGTGAGGGCGAGGCAACAAAAGTTCTGTGAGATGAGGTAAGAGTTTATTTTATGTAAATTTGAGTTCAAAACTTTTTTTCCTTCTAAATTATGTTAGATACGTTTTAGAAAGTAATTTTCGACTTTTGAAATTGATGTTAAAAAACTATGAACCACAGAGAATCTGGTAACACCACAAGTTACGGGAGGGAAGCGTAAAATCTTTTCTCAATCTAATAAAACTTCTCAGCTTTTGAGAAAGGCGTTCAACAGTCGCTTACACACGTACACGTTGATTCCCTGAGGAGCAAGTATTGGAATTTTATTAAAAGATGTTTTATATGCAAATTACTTTTCGATCTTTCCTTAAAAAAGTTTGGGTAATAAAGGCGATACTGACATGGAAAGTAAACAGAAAGAATGTTAACTCATGATTGTTAAGAGCTAAACAGTCTGTTAATTTGCGAAATTGTGTACCAAAATTTGTCTAAACAATGAGGGGAGCACGAACAAATTATTGAATTTCTGATAAGATCACGAAAGCCATGATTTTTAGATGATGCAAAGTAACGAGGGTTGAAATCTATCAGAAAAATATCAAACCTCTTTCAACCATATCTAACTCGCACACAAACATATGAGATGCAATATTTATTGTTTGATTGCTATCCAAACAAGTTTTCCAATTTTTCACCCTTTTCAACTCGTTTTTTGTTTTCCCCAAAAAATTTCCTTTCCATTATTAATTTTCTCATTTCAGAGATCAATGTTTTCTCTCCACTAGAAGGCAACTTAATATTGCCCAGGCCCAACCATTCTTATCCCAGACACTTACATTGTTGATAGTCAAATCACATATAAAATAATCCAGCAGTTAATCTCACATTGAACGTGATGAAACGTTAAATGGAGATGAAAGTTTACTTAACTAATTAAAAATAAATCTTCTATGAAGTGATTCAAAAAAAAATTATTTTTCCACTTCAGTTGTTATTTTCGTCTTTTTTGCAAATATGTTGAAGCTATAGCAAAAGTTTTAATCTATTCTTAAATTCATTAAGTCCTCTTTCTCCCTGAATTTCTAGGAACAAAGAATAAATATCTGCTCAGATGAACCACACAATTTCCACTTTCAAATACTTTCGGAAATTCTTGCAACCACTTCTTTGTTCTTTCCATACTTTCCACACAAAGAGAACAGCAAGAAAAGGAAGGAAAAACATTTTGAAAATTCTTTAAAGAAAACCCAAATGCGGAGGGAACTTCATTGCGCTTTCAACTTTAGAAAAGAATTAAAAACTTTTTCCTTACTCAAATGCAATGAAAATTACTTTATCGTGTTCTTGTTCTCGAAAGACGTGTTCGAAAGTAATGTATGATCTTTTTCTGTTTGAAGTAAATAAATTTATAAATTTGTATAAGTAACTCAGTGAAGAAATCATAAGATAGTTGCAAAGTCGCTACACCCCCGCATTATAAAGCTCTTTATTTATGAAGTTCATTGATGGCAGTTCAGTCTTTCTTTGATAGGAAAACTTCGTAATGAAACTTAGAGCGGAAGCATTAAATATAATTAAATGCAACATATATAGTGAAGTTAGAAATTAATTTAGAAGCAGATTCATTAAAAGTTCTTTCACAAAGTTCATTTATATCAATGAACAACAAACAACTCTTCGACGATAGTCGCAATGCTATTATAAAAATTAATTTATCAAATGCTATTTCATTTAACTTTCAATCGCATGCAATGTTTTCAGTTCAATGGATGATTTTTTAATTAACGCTTTACACACATGAAATGTTTTTCATTAGTAACATCCGTTGATTGCTATCAGAAAGCTCCATTAAAATTACATTTATCACAGTGACCTATCCTAGAGCCTAGAAATGGTATTTGAATTGTATAAATGGGAAATTTCCATTCACATAAATCTTGATCATAAAACTATTTCATGTCGATTTATTTTTGGTTTATTTTCAATTATCACTTGTCAACAAGAAACTTAAAGATACAAATTAAGTAATTATTTTGTATCTGAGAGTTTCAGAAGGTTCGCAACATAATAAGAACTTTGCCATTTAACTTATCATAACTTGACATGAAATTGTCTTTCAAACGTCTTTTAGTTAATTGAAAATAATATCAAACCCATTAAAACTTTTCTTTATTTTACTTTAAAAGCTGAAAAGTGTTTCAAAATGATTATTTTTCTTTCCACCAGCGAATTTTTATAAAGAAACAAATATGAAAGATTTATTTTATCATAACTCATAATTATCATAATGTGCTTGTGTATTAAAGTTCATTCTCTGCTTGATTCACTGTATTAAGAAGCATAATTCATTTCATTATGACTTTGATATGAAAATTTTCACTTCTTACTTTATTTGAATAAATTCTTGGCTTGAAAAGACTCGTGACTTATTTAAATGACGACCGGTATTCGTCTTTTCAAGAGTTCTACTTTCCATTTCCAAGACATTTCAATTTACTTAAATTAAAATTCAAGTGCATTTATACCATTCCTGAAGTGACTAGATCCATAGACTTTAATTAGTTGCGTCGTTCTTATTTCTGTTCTGGGAAGTTTAGAAAAGTGAAGTCAGTTTAAATTGCATTTAATTAGTTTCAGTAAAACTTGTTTCGAGTTTAATATGATTTTCCGCAGGAAAACTTTCCAAGAAGAAACATAATTAGAATTAAGTAATGAAAAGATTGTCACTGCGTCTGACAGTGTTGAAAATGCTGCTATGGAAAATCAAAGCCTTTCAAATCACAAAGTCGCCTCCAGATTTCTCACCAACGTTAAAAAGTAAATTAAGTGAACAAACCGCAAAGTTTAAATGATTTTTTCAGCTTTCTGATAAAAGTTTCTCCTTTTTTCAAATCTTATTTTATAATTAGAATTATCTACTTTTACTTCCATAGCGATACATAATTTCCTTTTTGTTTCCAAGTCATCATCAATGAATTTTCACTTGAGAAAGCATTTTAATTTAAAACAATGTTTCGTCCCATCCTGTTTTCAGAATTCTTGTGGTGCTGTGAAAAATGTTTAAATGTGTTTTCCAATAATCCCACAAAAAGATTACTAGAAATATTTGTGATAAATAGAGCGAAAGAAACAATTAAACACACTATATGTTTGGAATGTTCTCGGAATTTTTCTTCGAATCAGAAATCAGTCACCGAGGTGAAATGTATTCAACCGTGTAATTTGACTGCGACGTGAACGAAATATCCTTTCAAATATTTCCTCTGTGCGTTGCGTAGTAATGTGATTGGTATAGAAAATTCAGGAAAACAACTTAAAAAAGTATCGATTGGAAATTCCATCAAATAAAATTGGGGGAGTTTGAAACTTAAGGGAGAAGCTTTCAATGTAAAATACTTTTAAACGTTCTCTGATCATTTAGTTGACACACTTGATAGTCAAAAGTAAGTTAAAATTAAAATAAATTAAGCTTCAAATTGATTTCAAATTTAAGAAACAATTTAAATTCGTGTCTCGTGAATTTCCTCATGCTTCCTACACATTTGATCTGAATGCGCATTGCGTTTTAACTTTAATGTGTACTCGCAGTAGATTCAAAACTTTTCGTGAATCCACAGATTTGATATCTTCACGAAACAATCATCTTGAAGGTCATAACTTTTAAATGTGTTTCTATCTACAGAAAATTAAATTTCGCTTTGAAAAGGTTTCAATTTAAATAATTGTTTAGACACAGACAGAATTTCTACTAACGTTTATACACATTTTAGTGTCGCAACAAACAGACGTTGCGATTACGAAGCAATAATTAAATGTCTCAAAAGAATCACCATAAATTTTATTCGCCACAAGTGGAGACGAACAGCGACACCAGCAAGAACGTTTTCTTTTTATGGTAGCCGACACAGTGTCTTGTGGATATTCATGGAAAGAAAATAAAAGTCTAAAGAAAGAAGAAGAATTGAGAAACCTTTTAATTTAATCTGTGCATAATTGCCAAGATTTGAGATACTCGAAATAGAAAGTTTAAATAAATACATTCAAAGACATCCAGCTGAGGTGGAAAGTGGAAAATTTAATCTGTGAAATTAATTCAATTTTCTTCTTCGTTCATTTCAATCATTCATAATAATGAAGTTAACTTAATCCTAGTTTTCTTTTTCTATGAATATATTAAGGGCAGCTTCTTAGCTTGTTTGTAATTTACAACGAAAATGTTCATCTTATTGATTAAGAGAAAATAGATAAACAGGATGGGAAAATTTTTGAGACAACATTCAAACGACTACTGACAAATTGCCCGAAATCTGTTTTCATTCATTAAACATTATTCGATACAAAATATTTCATAATATTTATGAAAGTAACTGACACGAAAACAAATTGAATCTAGAACGTAATAACTTTGCAGAACGAAGCTTCTCGCTTCTTTTGTTTCTTTCTGTCGATGCATTAATAATTTAAACTTCTTATATAAATGTGTCAGAAGCAGATCGACAGCAATTTATGTTGATGAATAAGAAAGAATTTCTCTTTGTGATGCTTGAATAATATTATTCATGTTTCATCTAGTTTGAAAGCTCAAAGCAGCTCATCATTCATTTGAGGCACTTTCGTGTCCAAATTAAGCTGTCTTAAAAGATTTGTGTAAGCTTCAAATTGAACACTGAAGTGCTTTAGTTTCTTTTTATTGAAATCAAATAGAACAAGCGTTCAATTTAGATTTCCAAATCTGTTTACCAAAATAGATTTCAATTTAAATAAAAATATTTTAACATAAACGAATCTGAAAATTTCTCTCAATTTTCATCCCGCAGAAAAAAAGTTTGATAAAAATAATTTATTTCCTTAAAATTAGATTACAATTTACATCAAGCTATGTTGTTTTTACTCATGAAAACGACATTAGATGTTTAAAAACATTTGAAACAAATCAAATCAAATCAGTTGCAAAGTTACAGGAGAAGTGACTTTAAAGTGATGGAAGCACTTTGTAAATCAATTTGTTCAGCATCGAAATTTATTGAGTAAATCCGTTATCCTATTTCCCTCTTACGCCCCCATTTTTCTCTCCGTCTCTCTCCCTTCTTCAATAATTCTTTTCAGAACCTTGAAGAAGCATAATCTAAGATTTTTCTTTAACATTCTTGCAAATTGAGTACACATCAAATATACATGAAGCAATTTTCACAATAAGTTTCCATCCGAAAGTCTTATCTCAGATACACTTCTATGCTTACTGAAGAGGTGCCTCAACAATAAAGTTTTGGCAACATTTATAGATACATACAAGTGAGAATGTAAAGCTCATTTTCCGACTTAAGCTCCAATCAATAAACATGAAGTACATAAAAGCTTTTTCTTGATAACACTCGTCTTGTTCTCTAAGCGTAAATATTGATATCGATTGGAAATAAAATTGGCTTCCGTAGTTTAAGTGCAATACGAGCACATTTTTCATGATTAAATATTCTTTTCCCTTGAAGAAGTTCATTTGTTTTATATTGGATGCATTTTTGCGTAAGTAAAGTTCACATATCTATGCAAGAGATCCAATGTACAGATATGCGACATCATGTAGCGTGACTTGACTGAATGAGAACAAATTTCATTCAATGCGATCAAGAATAAAAGACATTTAGAATCAAAAGGAAAAAAATAGCGTTCTTTAACATTGGTGACACAAGTTGAGTGAAAATAAATCATGAAAAGAGAAGTTTCTTTCATTTTTCCTTCCCCATCTCAACATAACATAAAATAAAATCTCAGCTCAAAGAGAAATTCCAATCTCTATGAAAAGACTTTTTTTTTACTTTGGTTTCGCTTTTCAAAGTCATTCAAACGAAAAATCATAAAAAATGATACACGCAAGACACGACAGTGCTTGAGGCAAGTTGAAGTCGATGTTTCCTTGCAGGAAATAAAACCGTCGCTTTTTTCTTTTCTGGAATCCAATTTGGAGGAAAAAAAGGGTTTTCTTATCGAATGAAAAGAAGAAGAGTTGATCAGGATGAGGCCTTTCTTTCTTCCACACATATTTTCAATGAGATTAAACGATGAGACTTGTGATAAATAATGAAAAGGTGTAAGGAACGAGAAATGTGTCTGATAACGAAAACCGAAGTGTAATCAATGAAACATAAAATATAACCTGATGTTCAACATAGCAAGAATTCCAATGAGTTATGATTCTTGTTTGTTGCCAGACATAAGAAAAAAATAAATAAGAGGCATGGGAAAATACTTCAGTTTCTCAACGAATTTCCAGTTAAACAACTTTAAATTGATTCAATTACGCTTTCGATAAGAAAGAAGGAATTGAATTATTTCACGTATTTCTTCAGTTTTTTTCTTTCTTTGTNTTATTTTAATACGGAAGTCATTTTAGAAAAGACGAAAACAAATAAATTTGTCAGACAAACATTTATACTTAATTAGAGTTAATGTAGCAACAACTGATGCCACCATATCATTGTTATTGCATTTTTATTTTCTATCGTTCTACTCGCTTTTCATTTACAAACATCTTCGAATGTCATTCAATGTTGGAATAAAGATTTTATAGTGAAAATAATTTCGCTTCTTTCTTTACACCCTTATGGCTTTTAGTGACTTAAGCACATTTGTAGCATACTTTGCACCATATCATTTCTGTGGTTTCTTTTATGTGCCGGAGGATTATGTACGCTTGACAACCAATGTCGATATGTGATACGACCAACTTTATGGTTATTTTTTCTTACCGTATTCAGCTATTAAAACAATATGTTTTGCCTTTCTCTGCTCAATAATTGATTTTTTGTAGCAAACGGACGATATCGTCTTGAAACAAGCAACAAAAATTAAGCTTTAATTTTCTTCATTGAAAACCATTTTAATATGAACTTGAGCATTACTACTTTTATCAGTGATTAAGAATTTTATAGCTGAATCTAATTACGACATAAGAATTCACGTTTCGATTCTTGTTGTGCTCTCAACATGTGTTCTTATCTTTAAACAAATTAATGCATTTTTTTATGTGTTTAATTAGTAGCTTTGTTTTGTGATTGTGTCTGCGTCAACAATTTATCTCTTAAATTATTCCACATTCACTTTAAAGAGTTTATTCAAGTGAAAAGCAAGGACATAAACATCAACAAAGAGTCGAGAAATGAGTGGAACAAAGCAATTTTATAATTATTATGAACATTTAAAGAGAATGAACGTGTGCAACATGAAATATATTTGGGGGAGTTGAACATAATCTATGGACTTGCTTACATATTCATAGCATGGATAACGCCGACAATGTACGCCTCGTATTTGTTTCCTTTCACTGCAATTTACACATTTTCATGATCCCTACAACATAAATGTTTTATCATATTGAACCTGGCATACTAAACGTTGCTTTTGAATGGGAAAAGCTTTGTTTAACATCTACAAGGGATATCAAATATAAAGATATCATGTTAGTTGACCATTGTGTGTATACATGAAATTTTGACTCTTTATAGCTTCCTGTATTTCCTTTTTAACAATGTTTTGACAAAATAAATACTTCATTGTTATCTTACAGAACTATTTCTTTTCTATTTAACCCACTGTAGATGATCTTTTAATTTTCTTTTATTTTCACTTCCATTCAACGAAAAAAACTGGCCGAAAACATTCAATCAATCCAACAATGCTGAATCCAATGTTTTTAGTTCAATGTTGAACATCCAATGTTGAATGCTGAAAGCTCGTTTGAATTATTTATAACCGTTAGAAAAAAGTATTCTGAAAAATTTACATTGACATCACACATTTCATAAAATTTTACGAAATTTGTCTTTATTTGATGTCAACTCTAAAATTTCATAACTTGTAAAAATTAAAAATAGTCAAATTTAACGCCTTATTTCTATATGCTCGTCAGCCATTCCTAATTCTTCTGTAGCAGCTTTGTTGCCTTTCTTCTTTCGTGAGTACCAGAGAAACATGATGAAGGAAAAGAAATTAATGNCAGAACCCTGAAGAAGCATAATCTAAGATTTTTCTTTAACATTCTTGCAAATTGAGTACACATCAAATATACATGAAGCAATTTTCACAATAAGTTTCCATCCGAAAGTCTTATCTCAGATACACTTCTATGCTTACTGAAGAGGTGCCTCAACAATAAAGTTTTGGCAACATTTATAGATATGTACAAGTGAGAATGTAAAGCTCATTTTCCGACTTAAGCTCCAATCAATAAACATGAAGTACATAAAAGCTTTTTCTTGATAACACTCGTCTTGTTCTCTCAGCGTAAATATCGATATCGATTGGAAATAAAATTGGCTTCCGTAGTTTAAGTGCAATACGAGCACATTTTTCATGATTCAATATTCTTTTCCCTTGAAGAAGTTCATTTGTTTTATATTGGATGCATTTTTGCGTAAGTAAAGTTCACATATCTATGCAAGAGATCCAATGTACAGATATGCGACATCATGTAGCGTGACTTGACTGAATGAGAACAAATTTCATTCAATGCGATCAAGAATAAAAGACATTTAGAATCAAAAGGAAAAAAACGTTCTTTTATTTTTTTAACATTGGTGACACAAGTTGAGTGAAAATAAATCATGAAAAGAGAAGTTTCTTTCATTTTTCCTTCCCCATCTCAACATATCATAAAATAAAATCTCAGCTCAAAGAGAAATTCCAATCTCCATGAAAAGACTTTTTTTTTACTTTGGTTTCGCTTTTCAAAGTCATTCAAACGAAAAATCATAAAAAATGATACACGCAAGACACGACAGTGCTTGAGGCAAGTTGAAGTCGATGTTTCCTTGCAGGAAATAAAACCGTCGCTTTTTTCTTTTCTGGAATCCAATTTGGAGGAAAAAAAGGGTTTTCTTATCGAATGAAAAGAAGAAGAGTTGATCAGGATGAGGCCTTTCTTTCTTCCACACATATTTTCAATGAGATTAAACGATGAGACTTGTGATAAATAATGAAAAGGTGTAAGGAACGAGAAATGTGTCTGATAACGAAAACCGAAGTGTAATCAATGAAACATAAAATATAACCTGATGTTCAACATAGCAAGAATTCCAATGAGTTATGATTCTTGTTTGTTGCCAGACATAAGAAAAAAATAAATAAGAGGCATGGGAAAATACTTCAGTTTCTCAACGAATTTCCAGTTAAACAACTTTAAATTGATTCAATTACGCTTTCGATAAGAAAGAAGGAATTGAATTATTTCACGTATTTCTTCAGTTTTTTTCTTTCTTTGTTGCTTTTACTTTTGCTCAAACCAGCCGAAGATAAAAAGAATGAAAAAATGCGAAACCAGATTTAGGTTTAAATAATTATCGATGCAAAAGAATTCCAAGGTCCATTTATAATGTGTTTAAGGTTTAAACCTTTAACGAAGATCGTGATTTGTGATATACAAGACTGACTATCGAGACTTATGATTATTTTTAATTCACAGATGTCAAATTGAGATGATGCAGGTTCGATAGCTTTACAACTTTCCTTGCGTGTCAAAATATCTGATGAATAATTTCTTAATGATTCCAACGTGCAAATAATTTCGTTTCTTTTATGATAATCCAATTCAAGGTAACTTACGTGATGATAAATGGAAGGATAAATTATTTAAGAACATGGAAATATTCTGCTAACTTAAATATCTGGTAAACCACATCATTACACACGACAGGCTGAAGATCTCATACTTCTCTTGTATTTACATGCATTTTAAGAAAGAATTATGATGATTGAATGCCAGATACTTGAATATTTGAATGTTAAGAAGGAATTTTTTCTCTTCATAAAAACTTAAGATGTTCACTTAAGAAGCAGCAATGGCAACACAAAGCAAAAGGTCATTCAAGGGTCGCATGTTTTTCAGACAATAATATATTTTTGATTAATTTCTTCTTTTCTTTTCATTTTTCTTCATCAGCAAGTGCACTTCGATGCTCATTATGACGATGAGTTCTATAAAGAGAAGAGAAAAATTGCAGTTTATTGAGTTTATGGAATGTTTTAAATTATACCGATGAAGAAGAATTTGAAGTTCTACCGTCATGAAATTATTCTTCATTTCAACGAAAGAAATTTAATGTTTCATGTTGATAATAATCAGATGGTAAATTAAGAATACTCATTTATTTCATGAAAGAAAATTTCTTTTCATCTCATTAAAGTTCTTCAACCCTCAGTTTTTTACACTCAGCAAAGAGATTCATAAATTTCCGAAATCATATCAAATTAACAAAATTTATGTTGCAATCTTATGTGTATAAACGCCAGCACGGAACATTAAAAATATTCTACAAATATAAACAGGAACGGAAATGCATATGAAAGTGAATATAAAATTTCATAATGCAACAGGCGAAACAAAACAGAAAGCTAAGAAATTATTGAAGGCTATAATAAGAATGTTCAACATAGCATCATCGGTACGATGTTTCTGCTTGTTAAATTTTATATTTTGTTATTTTTACAGACACCTCATTTTAAATTAAACCCCATTTAAAATCCAATGGAGAACAAACAACTCAGAAAAACATAAAAGTTAACGATTATCAATTTTTTTTACAGCTGTCTAGTGAGAAAGTCAGCGAAAGAGAAAAAATAATTAACGCAGTAATTAATTTGAAAATTATAAGTTGCCTTTTTCCAGGGTTAATTAAAGGTAGAAACGACCAGCCCCTATAGATGGAACAACCTTTTTATGATTTATTTTAGTACGGAAGTCATTTTAGAAAAGACGAAAACAAATAAATTTGTCAGACAAACATTTATACTTAATTAGAGTTAATGTAGCAACAACTGATGCCACCATATCATTGTTATTGCATTTTTATTTTCTATCGTTCTACTCGCTTTTCATTTACAAACATCTTCGAATGTCATTCAATGTTGGAATAAAGATTTTATAGTGAAAATAATTTCGCTTCTTTCTTTACACCCTTATGGCTTTTAGTGACTTAAGCACATTTGTAGCATACTTTGCACCATATCATTTCTGTGGTTTCTTTTATGTGCCGGAGGATTATATACGCTTGACAACCAATGTCGATATGTGATACGACCAACTTTATGGTTATTTTTTCTTACCGTATTCAGCTATTAAAACAATATGTTTTGCCTTTCTCTGCTTAATAATTGATTTTTTGTAGCAAACGGACGATATCGTCTTGAAACAAGCAACAAAAATTAAGCTTTAATTTTCTTCATTGAAAACCATTTTAATATGAACTTGAGCATTACTACTTTTATCAGTGATTAAGAATTTTATAGCTGAATCTAATTACGACATAAGAATTCACGTTTCGATTCTTGTTGTGCTCTCAACATGTGTTCTTATCTTGAAACAAATTAATGCATTTTTTTATGTGTTTAATTAGTAGCTTTGTTTTGTGATTGTGTCTGCGTCAACAATTTATCTCTTAAATTATTCCACATTCACTTTAAAGAGTTTATTCAAGTGAAAAGCAAGGACATAAACATCAACAAAGAGTCGAGAAATGAGTGGAACAAAGCAATTTTATAATTATTATGAACATTTAAAGAGAATGAACGTGTGCAACATGAAATATATTTGGGGGAGTTGAACATAATCTATGGACTTGCTTACATATTCATAGCATGGATAACGCCGACAATGTACGCCTCGTATTTGTTTCCTTTCACTGCAATTTACACATTTTCATGATCCCTACAACATAAATGTTTTATCATATTGAACCTGGCATACTAAACGTTGCTTTTGAATGGGAAAAGCTTTGTTTAACATCTACAAGGGATATCAAATATAAAGATATCATGTTAGTTGACCATTGTGTGTATACATGAAATTTTGACTCTTTATAGCTTCCTGTATTTCCTTTTTAACAATGTTTTGACAAAATAAATACTTCATTGTTATCTTACAGAACTATTTCTTTTCTATTTAACCCACTGTAGATGATCTTTTAATTTTCTTTTATTTATTTCACTTCCATGAACGAAAAAAACTGGCCGAAAGTTTTAAACATTCAGTCAACAATGCTGAATCCAATGTTTTTAGTTCAATGTTGAACATCCAATGTTGAATGCTGAAAGCTCGTTTGAATTATTTATAACCGTTAGAAAAAGTATTCTGAAAAATTTACATTGACATCACACATTTTATAAACTTTTACGAAATTTGTCTTTATTTGATGTCAACTTTAAAATTTCATAACTTGTAAAAATTGAAAATAGCCAAATTTAACGCCTTATTTCTATATGCTCGTCAGCCATTCCTAATTCTTCTGTAGCAGCTTTGTTGCCTTTCTTCTTTCGTGAGTACCAGAGAAACATGATGAAGGAGAAGAAATTAATGCCTGAGACAAGAATACCAAAGTAGAATCCAAATCCGTATCTAAACAAAATATTATAAACTTTGTGGGTAACAAAAATTAATATTTGAAAATATCTAATTAAATTTACGTGTAATGTGCCCCAGCTGGAAAAGCATAAAAGAGATATTCCCTTGCATATTCGACAGAAACATGTAAAATTCTGCAAACCGTTGCACTTGTGACTCCTGCAATAAAATGAATTCCACCTGCTAAACGTTTGAACATGTAGCGTGGATTCAAAAATGTATAAACGGTGAAAATGAATCCCAGGGACATTAGGAATATTGTAATGATAGCAAAAGTCGCAGCAGATCTACTTAAATCCAACATTTCTTCATCGACAGATGGATCAGATTTTAAATAATCCTCGTCAGCAAATAGATTGTGAAATGCGCAACGTTCTAGAAAAAATAAAAAGTTATTTTAATGTTGAAAATAAACAATGACAAACTCACTCCATTTAACATAACGAAATCCATTGAAACCTTTTTTTATAGGCGGCGGAGGTTGAAAAACAAATTTAGTGTCTTTCAAGTAGATTGAAGGATCGATTCGAAGGCTTTTTGCTAAAATATGTGTAAAAGTTTGAGAAATTTTCTGACGATTAATCAAAACTTATGTATCTACCGTAGTTTGACAGCAAGTGTACTAAATCCAATCCTTTCCCTTCCCAATCATCAAACAACGCAAAGCGTAAATCGTTTGGCACCACAACATGAAGAGAATGGGTTTTATTAACTTCCACTTCAGTGATTAGTTCATTAAGTGTGTGTTTGACTTGATCATAATTGGTTGGATCTAACATTTGTTTATGTTTGATGTGAGGTTTCTCCATAAAGCTGTGAAGTTTGTTTCGCAACTTTGCAAACTCAGGCTTATCGTCTTTATTCAGAATCCATTGAGCGAATAAATATTTGCGAAAATTCTCATCAATCGATTCAATTGACATGATATCGGGTGAATCAACTTTCAGGAAGTCTTTAAAGTAATCTTCCTGTTTGACTTTTTCTTTGGCTTCTTCTAAGTCATCCAATGACGATATCGAGAGAGTTGTGAAATTTCTGACAACAGATGTTGAAACAGGTTGTGGAACGACTGCGTATCTGCAGTTTCTGTTGATACAAATAAAGTCAAGTTAATTAAAGGTGATTTCAGTAAACATAAGTAAAAAGATCAAAAACATTTCAATGAATGCCTGTTGAATGTTGATGTTAGATTCAACTGTGAAAAGCGCCGGATGATAGACAACCGCAGTTGAAGAAATATTTTGTTACATTTATGTTTTTACCTCCAAATGCCTAAAAGAAAATGAATCGAGAAATAGAAATTGTTGTCTTAAAACACATAAATATTTTAATCTAAAATTAGATCCTTTCCTAAATGTTTCAGTTTCTCTCACATATTTTTCTAATCGCGTATACTTTCGCGTAACAGCAAAAACTCATGTTAACAAAGGAACTTAACTTGTCACTGTCGATAATCCATTTAAGAAAAATTATTAACTTATCTCACCTGTATGAGATGCTTTGAAGTATCGTCTATGACTTTCTACAAATATCCCAGCTGAAAATAAAAAGTCAAACAATCATGACAATAAAATAAAAATAAAAGGCGTTGGCAGATTGATTCAAAATTCTGATGATCATTAAATATGAGAAATGGAAGTTAAACGATCAACATCAAATAAATAAAATAAAAATATATATCATAGCAACAGATCGCTGATGTTTTCATAGCACGTTAACGATGTGCGGCACTTTCATCGTTATTTCATTTCTTTTCCTTTGTGAAACGAGTAAAACTCGATTAGATATATTGAAATAAACGTTTCAGAAGAGATTCATGAACTTAAAAAACTTTTTGTTTATACAAAACCATGAACAAGTCATCATCGTCAGATGATTACTTCATTTTTCAGCTTTAAGTAATAAAAAGTTGAAAATTTAATTTGAGTTTAGCAAAAAAACAAACTGAAAAGTGTCGGACTGCTATTAAAATATTTAATGAAAATGCTCTAATTATGTCTAGAGTTCCGTCTAAATATGTGTTCTTTGACGACAAAGTAAAATATGAAATATATCTGACGTCTGCAGTTTCTGTTATATTTTTACAATCAAAGCATGTATCAGAATATCCAATCTGAAGTTTCTAAGAAATATTTTCACTTACTCTTTCCACCACTGACAATGAACCATCGATTAGTTGATATGGCAATAATCCATAAAATTAATCCAAAGAAAAGACTTAACGTACAACCAAAAAGGATTTTCCTTTGAAAGTAAAATTCTTCCAATTTCGTTTTACGTTCTGGATCATCCAATGTCGACGCTTCAGACATTTTTTAATGCAATTAAATATTTTATTCACAATTTCTCACTTCTCTTATGTATTTTAAACTTTTAAGTGCACAAATGATGGACAATAATTAACTTTAGATTTAAAAATTCATCTCGTTGCGTTACTTTGAAATAAAAGTCAAACACCAGAAAATATACATTTAAGTTTTTTGCGGTGAAAAGGAATTCTTTTTATCTCGTTTTTCTGTATTTTTAGCACTAATATTTCACTACAACTTTTTTAAAGTGTCAGGTTTTTAAGTATGTAAAGTAGTCTCGTCTGGTCACAAGTACAACATTCAAGAAAAAAAAAGTCAGGAAAAATATAATAAATTAACAAATTTTCACGAAAGCCTAAATCACTAGAAGCTTAACATTGACATGTCTAAACTTTAATCACACGCGTAAATTTTCCAGAAAAAAAAAATCAAACACCAAAGGTTGAAAATGAAAACTAAAATCAAACTTGAAAATTTTCTCCTTTTCGTGATAAATCCGGGTCTCTGTTCAAACAGTAACTGAGCTCACAAAATATTTGCTTCTCACTGACACGAGATTTTGAAGATTTGTAGGAAAAGTGTGTTTGAAGATGATCACACCAAAAGAAAAGTCGTAACGTGAGTTTGTGACACAATAATTTTACAGAAGATGAGAGCAAGTGTCTCAACACATGCAAGAACAATAGATATCTGAAACTTGAAACCAACACAAAGATATTAAGCACGTTTAAAAAATAAATTATTTTCTTCAGGTCAATCACATAGTGAAATGTCAACACCATTATTTTGATTCATTTGTTATGAGAGAAAGTTGATAATAGTTCGATTATTTATAGTTGCATGCAACTCTTGAAATAACTCCAAGAATTTCTTTATTAAATATTTACTCAGGATGATGGCAAACAAAAAACTCATGCTGATGGGTAAATATCTTTAAATAAGTATCTTGAACTTGCAGATATCGATTATTTTTTCACTTCGTGGAACTTCCAAATGACATTATTGACTTTTTCAGTCATAAAAGAAGAAAAATACTTTTCATAGATGAGAAATCTTAATTATCAATCTGAGTAAAATCTTTTTCATAAAAGTATGAACAAGAAAAATGTTTCCGCTTTGAAATTTGACTCATTCACACTTAAAACCGTCAAAGAGGTCGTGCAATCTTTCAAACGTCTGTTTCGTGTCATATTTACAAAATATGCTGGTAATAAAATATTGCCAAGCAAAGTTCGAATATTTTAAAATCATAATAAATAGAACTAAGCGTTCTTGTTGGTCACAACAAACAAATTTTCTCACACTTGATTCTAAATATGTCTAAAGACTCTTCTTTTTCCAATTTGCAATTGTTGGCATATCTCCAACTGAAATACTTGATACCTTACAACTAAATCCACTTGTTTTGACTGGGAGATGAGAGGAGCAATTAAACGATTTCAATTTTATAATTGAAGTCGATTTGTAAGAACAGCAATTCAACGAACTATAACTTATCATCACAACAATTATGTGAACAAAAATGTTAATACATTTGAGTTGTTCTGTTAATTAATTCGATTAAAAATTTAATCCTTTGCTTTTTCATCTTATTTGTCTTTCGATTTGAATATTCTCTTGATAACAAAATATCCTTTGTATGCAACATCAAGTACACTTATGAATGAGAATCCAAAGAATCTGAAAATATATTTAAAATAATTAAAATCGATTCGATATAAATATTAACTATTTACAATCCAAGAACTCCTCCAATTGATATAACGAAGTCACTAAACAGAAAAAAATAAACATTTTCAATCATTTCTCGAGAAATTTTCATTTTACTTACACCATAGTTTTAACAGTTCTACGAAAATATCTCTGAAAACAATATTTAAAACGAGAAGAAAAAAATTAAATATTAAAAAAAGATTTACATGCGTTGGCAATGAAATCATCGAAACTGTGATGTCGGTTCCTTCCTCATTTCCCATTTCTTCGTTTGAATTGTAAATGATTCGATATTCATGTTCTTCACATGAAGAAATACAAGATGAACAAGCCTTTCTGATTTCCGATATTTTCATGAAATTCTCTGTCAAACAAAGAAGTCCTTTGAAGTCGCATTGAGGAATATCAAGACGAGCTGAGAGTAATCAGATTAATAAAATTGGAAAGTATTTCAAAAATATTTTCTCTTACGATTTCGTGGCATTAAATGATGAGTACAATTGCAGAAATCTATTTGAGCTTTGTTGTAGCAACTTGTTTGACATGTTGAAAAGCTGTATAAATCATAAACTGACGATGGTTCATTTTCCCATGAAAATTTGCAACGTCTTTGTTTGATTGGGACAATTGGGACTGTTTCGTCATTGGTGATTTCAGTTACTTTAATCATCAGTTGCTTTGTTGATCCCCAAAGAATTGTATCTTTAAGGTCTCGTTCGCTGTAAGCGAAAGGAATGTCATTTTGATGATGGATGTAGATTTGGACATCTTCCGAAACCATCATTTTCAATGTGCCTGGTCCATTTTCACGATTACAGAAAAGTTCCCTTCCATATTTAGGTACAGTCAAAGCTGAATTTATCGTGTAACACATGCCCGTCTCTGTCGCAAGTGGGCGAAACCCTTCACAACACTCGAAAGCTTCACCGTTCCATGAACAATTCTTTATCAAATCAGTACAGTTGGATCGAAATTTTTCAAGAATGTCTGAATAGTTTTTAGGGCAGTCAATTTCAACGCTACACAACTCACAAGTGTAACAAGCGCCGGTGAAAAAGGAAATTTCTGTTAGAAAGTCATCGATTCGCGTGTCGCGGTCTCCGCCAAAGTATCGTTCACTCAAATCCCAATTTTTCTCTCCATTGAACACTTGACACACTGAAATACTTGGAAACGAAGTATTGAAATCCAAATAAGCTGAATCGATTGTGAATGACAAAGAATTATCCCGAAATTTTTCATATAAATTGTTAGTAATCGATTTGAATGGATATCCTAATGCGAAAATCACAAACGTCCAGTAAAAGAGTTTAAAAGTTATTGAAAGTTTTTGTCTTCGATTCATGACGACTGAGCTTTATGAAATGATTGGTTTTTCTGGTAAAGCAACGTCGCTTTTTAAATCTAAGTTTTATCGAAAGCTTTTTATCACAAATATTAAACCGAAGAAGTAATAAAATTCCATTTGATGTTCATTTGTGATAAAAATTGAAAGGAAAAATGAAAATCGATTTCTTCAACATAAAACGAACTTCCTTAATTTAACAAAATCGTGCAGATCGATGATAAGTCGACTTAATACAAATTTGTTGAAGCTGAAAATGAACCAGAAATTGGAAATGATCGCAACTAACGTGACAAGTGAAACTCATGTTTTATTGTTTTTGTGTTTTTCTTGGTTTTAATATATGTATCGTTACATGTTGATCTTTTATTCGAACTTTACAAATTTCCTTCACTGATAATATGGCAAAAAATGTAACTAAAATAAATAAATACTTTTGTTTTTGTTTTCGTCACAAGACTTTTTTTTTACTTTTGCTACACTGCTTTGACTTTTGTGACTTTATTTCTTATTTTCATCCATTGCGTGCAAACTTGTCACTCGACATTTATTATTTATCTTGACTTGATTTTAAATTGATTTTGTTTGAATGAAATTAAAAAGAAGGAAAGAAATTTTAATTTCAATATTTCACAATTGAAAAGTTGAAGGAAAAAACTCAATTATAGAAAGAGTCAAAGAAATGAAAGTTTAACTTTTTAACTTTTTATAATCTGCTTTCGAAGGAGAAAAGCTTTTTCAAAAGTTGCAGCAGGATAGCAAGACAGCACTAGCAGATGAAGAAATATTATTGTTCAATCAGTATTGCAGTTAAGAATGAAAACTTCACATCTCTTCCATGACATGCAATGCAATTGCAATTACATATTTACTTGTAAGTGTTGAAAAGAATTTTTTTTCTTCAAACCGATGAAAAGTTTTTTTTTAGGTAATGAACAAATCTTTCAATATTTCAAAGGACGAATTTCTTAATCATCTTAAATTTAAAATGTGTGTTCATCATCTTTAGTTTAAGTTTTCAAAAAATGTTTGATTTCATCTTGTTTTCTTTTCTAAAAAATGCATTTTTTTCTTCTTTATGGTTTTAATAAACTTTGTATCAATTTTCATCATCATTAAATTTACATACACACACTTATCAATTGTATTTTTTTAAATGCTTCACTTCTATCGTCTGCTTGAAGCAGCAGCTTCAATTCTTATCTTAAATCAAAGTGATAGTTTTCTTCTCGTGGAATGATTTTTTTTTCTTTTCTTCTTTAAATATTCAGGGTAATAAATATTCTAGGAGTTTCCAACAGAAAAGCAATCAGATATTTAATAAGAATAAAAACAAACATTTAATGAGCGTTCTTCTAAGAGTTGTTGTCATGTGTGTTCATGTGTTCAGTGAGTGTAGGTGATACAAAAAGAAAACTGAAGCAGTTATTTGGTAGCTCTATAGTTAACAAAAAGCTTCTTTTTTGTCTCTCATTTTCAGTTACTAAATATTGTATATAATTCATATATAAATATTTTTTCAGCTATATATAACTTTTCATCCTTTTTTGTTTTCATTTTTATTATTTTTTTTCTCCATGATAAAAAGCGTAGAGAGCAGGTTAAATACAAAAAATATATGTTCATTATACGATATAAATTTTAATATCCATTTTATGCATCATTCCTTCCGTTTCATTTCATTCATCGGCTGTTAACAGATTCTTTTTTAAGATTCTTAATTCTTTTTTATATTTTCGGCTGTTTCCATGACGCTATCGGTGAAAGTTTCACTTTTTTTCATTTAAAAACGCTCAAGCGAAACAAAACAAGAAAAGCTTGATATATATATTTATATAAATACTAATGTATGTATGTTGAGAAATAAATAAGCAGCGCTTCAACTGTCACCGGAAGCATCACATCGAGAAGGAAGAATCCATCATGTATTTATGTGTGAACTTTCATACACGTTTCCTTATCCCATTGATTCTCAATCGGTGTGTCATGACACAAAGGTGTGAACACAAGAAATTTGCTCTTTTACATTTTTTCCACAGTTATTTGACGATTTGTTTCTTTTTTTTATTTCATTATTAAACATTATTTTTTTGTGTTTCTTTTCAAGAAAAGAGAGTTTTTTGGTTTGTCATAAAAACTAACATTTTGGATTCATATCCATCTTAGCGTTAGGTGTTTCTCTGTCAACTACTCTTAACCTTAACTATCTAGGTGTCGAAAGGAATCACAAATAGGGATGAGGAAAGGACAATAAATTAAGGACGATTTGTTTTTCTTTTTAAATCTTTTTTATGATGTCTTAAATGGGACCAGCAGACACATATTTTAAATCCATTTATATTTTCTTTTTTTCTTTAATTATTATTTATTATTCAGATTCTTATCAGTTTAGTTTCAATAAATAAATAAAAAATACTTTCAAGCGAGCATTCACGTTTCTTAATACAGAAAGTTCTTCATTTTCTTAATGTTCTCAACCAAAATTAATAAACATGCTTTAAGTACTTTCCTTTCACTAACATTTACAGCTACAACTTAAGAACATATGTCGAAGAGGTGAGATTATTCTTAACTATTCACTTTATTCAACATCTTTCTCGATTTACTAGCTTTTTAAGAAGATGCTTTTTGACTAAGTAGATAACAAAGGTTATAGCAGTGAATGAAACGGAAAATTTCATCATTTATTATTGTGTGTAGGTGGCAAAGAAGCAAAAGAAGAAGAAGAGAAAAGTTAAGAAATATTTCCAGATTTTCATCGCTTTTGTTTTCTAAACATTAAGATAGAATTCGATATTGATTTCCAAAGCTAAAACATTATGAAAATTTCACACATAAATTATAAAACATTTTCTAGATAATTCGGTTGAAATTTATCAAATTTCCCTCTTCTTCTTCTTTCCCTTTTTCTCTTTATTGTTTTTTTTTTCCTTTATTTTCTTTTTGGTGAATAATATTGCAAAACAATTTCTCATAGACTTAGACAACACATGACTCTCTTTGAATTTCACAGAAATAATAAAAAAAAATTGCAATAAACTTTTCATCTCTTTTGTGGTTTTCATTTCGAGTTAGTTTTCCTTTTTAATTTAGTTACTCATTTTTCATCTGTCAGATTGCTGAAAACTCTGATTTACACATTTGTTTTTCGAAACTGACTTCTCATTTTACCTTTTTTTGTATCAATTAATATCAATTTTTACATATACATGCAACTTGTGGGGTTGTGTTGCGGGCTCGGTTGGATTTATTTTTTCTCTATTTAGAAAAGAACGACGACGATGATGATGATGGTGGTGAGCTTTTTTATTCTTTGACCTCGAAATATTTGTAAGTTGGATTTTCATATCCATTGATTTGCATATTTGCTACGTGTCGTTCTTCAGGTGTTACAGGAACGGCGACGGTCTGAAAGGAAAGCATAAGAAAGCAAATTTGTAAGTAACAAAATAAACACAAATTCAATAAGAAGAATAACGAACCTGATCAACTTCAACAAAACCTTGTGCATGAGGTGAACGAGATGCACGATATTTAGCAACTGCAACACCAACAAAAACTGCTGCCATTAATGCAACACCAGCAAATGCCAATGTGAAGTAAACGTTACGTCCTTCACGGCCACTTGGACCATAAATTTGACGACGAACCGAAAAACTCTGTCAAAAGAAACGAAAGTTTTATTTAATTTAAAGTAAATCAAATTAGTGGACAACTTACAGCTTCACCATGTCCGAACTCATGAGCACGAGCATGATTCATTTGTGGCTCAGTTTCTTGGTGAGCGACAGCAGCAGCGACTTCTTCAACTGCACGCTGAACAGCAGCATCATCAACAGTTGGTAATGAAGTCGGAGAAGTTCTGAAAAAAGGAAGAATTTAATTAAACTTCGAATTGATTTCACTTTTTTTGTCTTCTCACATGTAAATCGACTCTTCAGTGTATTCAACTGTTGTTTCCTTGATATCAGAAATAGATTCACTGGTCTGTTCCTTAGAAGTTTGCTGAGCAGATTCTGTTTTAGATTCTTGTTGCTCTTGATCTTTCATTTGTTGAGCACGGAAAGCTTTTTCAGCATTTTTAGCTTGTAATCGCATTTTTTCTTCACGAATCTTCTCACGTTCGAGAGCTCGTTGTTCTTTACGTTGCTTTTCAGCAAGACGCTGTCGCTCTTTCTCATTCACTTTACGTTCAATCTCAATTCTATATTTATCCAAAATAGCGGATTCAGCATCTTCGGTCATTGCCAACAATGATCCAGGTGTGTCGTCTTTTGATCGAAGTGCTTGAATGTAATCTTCCATCAATTGAGACAACTTCTTTGAGAGAGACGGATAACGTTTTAACATTGTCATTGATTGATTTACAGCACGATCAATATCGATTAATCGTTCCAATGTACGAGGTTTTTCTTGGGCAGCTGCTTCCAACCCACCAGTTCCACCTGAGCTCAATAGATGGCGATAGTGAGCCAAAGCATGAGCGCGATCCTTGTGCAAAGCACGGAGAAGCTTTTGCAAACATTTCTCCACGCGATGACCCTAGGAAATTCAATATCAATTAAAAGTCAGTTCGTGACATGACATTGTTGGTCGCATGGTGTTAATTTAACTTACGTTTGGTGGAAGTTCAGTGAGCGCTTGTGTGTAGCATGTCATTGCCTCGCGTTTACGTTGATTGATATGTGCCAGCACGCGTTGTTGATGCATAGCTGCCAATTGATGTTTCTCAGCATTGCCTTCCTCTTCCAAAGCTTGTACAGATGTCTAAAAGATAAAATAAGAAAATGTTAGCTTTCTTCATGATTCAACAGATAAGAAAGTTGGAGCAAAGTATACTACTTGGAATCGCGCCGTCATCTTCTGCTTAAAGCTTTGAGCTGATTTGGGATCGGCTAAGCGCATGTCTTGATAGCGTTCCTCCAAATCAGACCAATCTTTCATAACTCGTGTCACCTTTTCACGATGATTTTCTTCCAGACGTTGTTGTGCCTCCTGTGAATTACAAGAAACATTTTAATGACATTTGGGTGAAGGGAGAAAACAAAAATAATGTTAAAAGCACTACTGAGAAATAATCTAATTGGAATTGCAGATACTAAGACTACATTATCGTGAATATTTAATAATTTTTTTACATCTAGTCCTACTTTATAGCTTTGATGTTCCATTCGTGGATCGAAGTGGGTAAAGTATGGATCTGGTGTGGGAATTGAAGTTCCGATTGCGTCATTCGAAGGAGCAGAAATCGGAATTTCCGATGGTTTTTCGGGTGTTTGTGTCGTTTGCGACGCAGCATAGTCAAAAGATGACGTTGTAGAAGTGGTTGAAGGTGCTGATGTTGAAGTCACGATGTCTGAATGTAAATTAAAAGAAATGAGTTTGCAAAATTTCTTTTTTGCTTCCGTTTGCAAAATTTACCGTCATTCATAAAGTCCTGATCAATGGCTGGCGTTTCTTCATCCGATTCATAGTCGTCATCTTCGTCTTCTTCTTCAAGAGTTTCTAATGGCTCATCAGCCATCATTTCATCCTGATCGTCTAAATCTTCATCGTCATCTAAATCATCTGAAAAGCTATCATCGGAATCATCTAAAGATGGCAAAATTTCTGACTCTGGTGGCATCACGGGCAGATCTGTCTTTTTGACCTTAGTTGGAACAGCTGTAAGAAGAAATAAAAAACGAACATGAATTTGGTTCGTATGTCAACAACTGAATTGACCTTCACCAATGCGAATGTTTGAAGGAAAGTCAAGTAAAGTGTGTTAAAAATTTTGTTCTAGGTTCACAAATAATTTAAAACTTTCATGTTCCTAAGTCTTCAACCATAAATTAAATTTCAAGAAAAAATCGAATAATTTATCACCATTGGCTTCGACCCAATCTTCAATTCAAATGGAATTTTTGATACTTTCGTACATGACAGTTTGGGAGAGAGAAAAAAAAAGTGAAACTTGAAAACTCATTTTTCCCTAATAGCATTGATTAATTATGCAACATCAGTGGTTTTCTTTCCTGTCCCTTCCTATTCTTCTTCCTTCCTTCCTCTGATTAAACGAACAGATATTCAAATAAGAGTTTCATAATCCAAACGAAATTCATTCAACGAAAAACTTTCCCAATTTCTTTCGCGATTCTTCCATCACCTCTTCGGGATCAAAATCCTCAAAAGCAAAATCGGCTTTAATTAATTGTCACCACTGAAAATTATAACGTCCATAAAACAAGCGAGGTTGGTATTAAATAATTAATTTCTGGTTGAATTTTTATGTGGGGAAAAAAATTACTTTGCGAGCCTTTTTTACGGGATCATGCAGAAAATGGGAGCATAGGAGAAGTGCCCTAATGAAAAGTTCCACAGAATTTATTCTTTCTCTCATTAAATTCGCCTTAACGAGGAAGTGTGTAGTCAAAAAACAAAAAATAATTAAATATTAATCCGAGATTTAAAAAACAAATTGAAGTGAGTGGAAAACTTGTGGGCTGTAAAAATATTGTTCACTGTGTTGAGTTGTGACACTTCGTTCAATGTATGTCAGGATAGAATGAGAAATTGATTGATTACAATTTGAAGAATGAGGTTCGTTTACAAATTATGCTAAAGTTAATATTCACAATATAACTGCAAACACATTTATCACAAAAGAAGTTGAAATTTAATTTAGCGAAAGTCTTTTTCATTGCGAACCCATCAACTATTTATTTTAAACTGCAAAAATGTGAAAAAGCTTGGGTTATGAAAAAATAAAACGAAAAAAGGATAAAAAATGACTGTGTTGACCATCCCTCAAGTTTCAACCGAGTCAGTCCCATTTTGACAATGGAAACATTTTTCATTTGATGTTAGATATTCAGTAAGTGTTCTGGTCTCACCTTCTTCTTCATTCTTTCACTCAAATTCATCACAAAAGTGAAAATAAATGAAATGATGCTTTAACAAGCGACTCGACTTTTGCAATGCAGAGAAGGAATTTAATTTCATGTTTCAGATGCTTCTGATGTTTCTGTTTAAAAAGCTTTTTCAACACGGCTTTATGTATCCATCCATTTACATACATTCGTAAAATATATTTATGGAAATATTTGCAGCATCGTCCACAAAATGAAAACTGGCAATTAATTTAAATCTTTGTCGTGTTTTTAATATTGCAACGTAATTAATAATGCTAATTGTCAATTAGAAACTCGTTACCTCAGCATTTATAGTTGCAGGCATAGTACTTAGCATCTATACGAGCCTCAATTGTATTGGATAACTTTGCCTAAAACAGATCCATAAAACATGTTCTGACAACTCAGACAAATTGAGGAGAAAGAGGGTGTAGCAGATGTCTAATTACACATTTCACAACGATATAATTTTATCAAATCAATGTGCCAATAAAATATTGTTGTGTTGTTCAAATTAGAAAATTGAAAATTTTCCACTACACTGAAGCCTCTTCGAATCAGAAAGGAAATCGATTTTTCAATCAGCTACGAAGTTTGAATTTAAGAGTGAACAGAATTTCATAGATGAATTAAAGAGAAGGAGGGAGAGAGATAGAAGTAGAGAATATTTGTAGCCGTTGATCATGAAAGCAAAGGCACAGCAGAGAAAATATCGGAAATAGATTGAAAATGTCAAACGAATAAATGAAAAATGTTTTCAAAGAACGAATTTTCATTCGTCGTTCTGTAGTTGAGTTGAGAATGAAAATAAATTGAGTGATAAATTTTTCCCACCCCCATCTTCGTTCTATTATTTTACGGCATTGGAGAGGTCGCGAAGGATTATGTACATGTTTAAAACAGAAGGCATCAACAATGAAATGTTCATCTCTCTACCTAGTTATAAGTCATAAACATAACTCACCTTTAAAGTGCTTTGGACAACAGACGAACTCAACACCCGAGAACAATGAAATACCGCAAGGTAGTAACATTGCAAAACTGCGCATTTGCATATTACGTTCTTGACATGCAGAAGCACCAGTTTGATTCCATCGTACGAAGGGCCAGCAACGTGAAGCATTGTGAATGTGATCAAACAAACAACCCTCCGGCACCAGTAAAGCATCCGATTGGAAAGGTCCTTCTATAGATATAGAACGAAAGAAAAAGAATTATTCGTTATTCTATCTAATCTCCGTGCAATTGAATTAAATAAAAACATATAATTAATTATTCTTAATTGGATAACAAAGGAAAGGAAAAGAAGAAGCTTCTCATCCGTAGCATCATGAAAATTTTAAATTTTCCATTTATTCAATTAGTTTTCTTCCCGTTGTCACATCTTAAACAAGCAAACACCTTAATTATAATTATTCGTCTTTCACTTTGCTATGTTCGCGCTTTGAAGCATATCAAGGTAAGTGCAAAGAATATTCTGCTCATTATTTCTCCATTTTTCCGTCTTTCATTCTCGTCGTTTGAAATGAAATAAAACGAAATGATAAATTGCTTCGTTGTGTTCACAAATATCTGAGCAAAAAAACTTTGACAAAGAAGCAACACAAAACGTCTGTGAAAATTGCTGGTGCAAAGCTACTGAAGCTTTTCAGTCGAGAATTGTTGTCGAGAAGGGAAAAAGCTGAGGTGGCATGTTTCTAAAAAGCTAAACATTTACACCAGCAACGAAATATTTAGTAGAGCAATAAAACATAAAGAAAACGAGTTAATGTCGTAGACAGGAGGAAATGTTCTGTAGCTTGTTTATTGAACATACGAAGCTTTGCTTTGTCATTTTGCACATATCCATCTTCAATTTCCTCTCCAGAATTTTCCTTCCCATCTTCGACACTTGACACTAAATATTTGTTGCTATTGCCAGCAATTTCCATTAGCCGACAACAATAAATAGAACCACAAAAAGAAAATAAAATCCCCGATTGAGTTGAGTTGTGAAAAAAAAAGTTTCAATTGAAATGTTAGATGGAAGTCAATTTTTTATTTCATTTTTTTCCACTTCAACAATTGCTTGTGAGTTTTGAACTTTTCAAATCTGAATAGATTAAAGTTTCACTATTGTTTTACAACAAGCTCTTGTCATTGATTCAAATGTAAAAATACATTACTGTCACGACAAGTTTTATGAGCTCTTAGCCATATTTGTTCTTGTTCATAATGTAGATGTGACACGATAATATGTCCATTAGTTGTATTTATTGCATTTTCTTGTTTAGAAGCTTTCGGTGCGTTTCATATTAATACAATATCGATTTTTTTACTCTTCACTTGACAGGTGACGCAGTTGCGATGTGAAACGTTTAATAAAAAAAGCTCTTTTGAAGTGGAAAATTTAATGAATGTCACATACACACACATTAGTAAAAGCTTGATGTATGATAAATTCTTCCTGGTTGAAAAGTTCATCTTATATGTTTGAAATTGTTGGAAAAGTTTCTGATTTTCTGACGTAGAATTATTCACTTTATAAACATAAATATGAGCATAAGCATAGAAAGAGTGTTATTTAGTTATTTTGGTCGATCATGTCACCTTATGTTACGATTTAATTTCGCAAACAAAAAAAAAGCCTTTTCAATTAAAACTTTTTATTCACAAGCATATCTATTTATTCATAAAACTTTGAAACATTTTACTCGTCACTGAAAATCTCTTCCGATTAAACTATTTGATAGTAAAATGAACTAATTTTGATTTATTTGCGGACATTTCAGACTCCGCTGAACAGTTTTATTACTTAAAATTTCAAATAGATATAAGCTGGAAACGGAAGATGACAAACTATGACTCATAAATGTTCACATTTCAATTAATTATAGACTTTGTTGTTGAAATAGTTCTGTTGACATGTGCAATGGCAATCTAAAGCAAATATTGGCGAAGCAAGGAGAATGAAAAACTGCGCTACACGAACGAAAATCAAAGCATCATGTAGAGTTGAATTGGCTTTTCACACTGCTACGATACATGCAACGGTTAAAGAAGAAGAAATAAACATTTTCATGAGCTTAAAGCACAAATTAGATTATTTATCTCCTATGAATGTATGAATGTATCTGCAAATGAGTATCTAGCATGGTTGTTGCTTTATTTATACTCGATAGGAATCTTTCGTCTCTTCTTACACTTTCTAAGATGGAAAACTTTACATCCAACTGCTGATGATATAATAAATTTATGTGTTCGTTGTGAAACATCAGTATGGTCATTTATTATCATAAACACGACCAGGCTGGGATGTAAATATTCGGTTAAGAAAATTTATTTCTTTAAATGTATAAGATCGAAACTTCTCTCGTAATGTGATTTGTAAACTTCGTGTTAGATGTGGTTTTGTTAGTGAATAAGCCATAAATTTGCATTGTCATTATTTATAATTGAGATCTATCGTTTTTTATCTTCAACAAAAAGCAAACGAATGTAAAAGTATCAAAAGGGAAAATAAATTTCAGGACAATGGGAAGAAGCCGAGGGATGAAGGGAGGGGGGGGGGGGAAGAAGCTTAAAGCTTAAAGTCACACTCACCCAAACAACGGAAAGGTTTAATCCAACGCTGGGCGCCCTTGCACTTGGCTGTGTTGGTTGTACCCTGTCGACACCATCCACCAATTTTCTGGTAATGTGATGACTCAACAATATTTGTGATATCACGTCCTGGATAAACCTGAATAAAAAGATTTATGGATGATGAGAACAAAGTTTGTTAAATGAAATTTTATGTTCTTTTCATCAGCAACAAAAGCAATTTTATTCATAAAACTCTTCGTGATCACAAAACGAAGATTGTTCATGTTCATCGAAAATTTTATTAGTCGAGAACTTAATTTAATTAAGAGTAAATTTCCAAAGAAATTTTCGCGGCAATGACCCCAAGTTACGTCATAAAGCTCACTCAACATTACGATATAATTGAATTAAATTAATTCTTATTACAACTCAGTTTAATGCAGCTCTAAGGATTTGTTTTTATGATCCGTTAGCAAGAAACATTATAAACAAATATGTACATAATCAAGCAGATATCAAATGAATGAATGTGAATGAATGAAGAGACTTTCAGATTATTTTCAGTCTAAACTGGTTAGAGATGCTTGAAATTAAAGTGCAAATAAAATCTTCATTAGATTAAATAAATGAGCTTTTTCAAGCAGACATTTTGAAATTTCAAATTTCAACAGCAATTATTTTCGATATTTAATTTTATCTCGTGACTCTCATTCACACATCGTTAATTTTTATGTTCAATGATAGCAGAAATGAAAATTAAGGGATAATCATATTGATCGAAAGATAGTTGCAATCATTAAAACAGACGCTAAATGTTAGTTAGAACTAAAAATAATCATCTGTTGATATTTCTCTCCATGATGTCGCGATTTCTGTTACGAGAAACTAACATCAGGCATTGATAGTGAAACACAATAAATCTTATAAAATTTACTCATTTACCAGAGCAAAAAATGAAACCCATTCGATTTCAGTCGATAACATAGAACAAAGCATTGTTGTGAGATTTGGATACGAAAAAGGGGAAAAAAACAACAAGAGACGAAGCCATTATATTCAGCATTCTGTTGTTAGAAAATATATTGACTGCTCGATAGCTACGATAATGTTTTTCGATTTCACTCCCAAATCTTTATGTGCTGTGAAAATCAATGATTCTAATACAGTACGTGGTTTTAAAATACAATATTTTGTTTTATAAACCACACCATACACTCCAAATCTGGGTCAGACATTGAAGTCTTTTTCTATACAGTTCTGATGTCATTATTTTTATGGGAGTTTCGCCAATTAGTATTTCTTGGCTCGTTTGCACAACATGATTATATTTATTGTTACTAAATAGTTATATTCGATAATATTTTCATACAAAGATTAATTTTAAAAGCTCCGGAAAGCAATGAAGAGAAAAAAAAGAGAAATTTACAGAAGCAGAATTTAAAATGTAATCTCGATTTGTGAAATCTCATTTCATAAATGTAAGTTGTATTAAATAGATTTTCGATTTCAAAATTCGAGCATATGAAAGCACATTTCATGAGTGGCGTGCCAAATGTTGAGCATATTGAATGAGATTATGATTTGATACTGCAGCAATACTAGCATAAAATGATGCTTCAGCTTCAGTAATGACTATGGATTTTCCATTAGCTGTCTTTTATCGTTCTTTCCTTTTTTGTCACTTTACTTTTCCTCTCTTCTTCATTTTCGTATTTTTTTGGAGTAACGAGCTATGATTAAATTGACTCTCGCATAAGCAGATCATAAAGAGGATGTATCATAATGATGCTTTTAACGAAAATGTCATGAACTTTTAGCGCTAAAATGAGTCCTCAGACTTCTCATTATTAATATGTCTGCAACATTCACATTGTTTAACATTCGAAAAGCATTTTCAATGTTATCATACTCGAGTGAATATCTTTGCAAAGTGTAAATACTCATTTAAGAAGATGTTCTGAAAATTTCCTCAATTTCATTTATTTTTTTATTAAATTAATGTAAGTAGCTGTAATGATAAAGACATTCCGTTCATTCCATAATGAAAGAGTTTCGTGACAGGTGAGAAAACCATATAAGGCCAACAGTGAGAGAGGTTAAAGTAATCCTTTTTAAAAATCCACACAAAAGCATTTCATTCAGAAGTGATGTAAGGATTTGGGATTGCTGGTTAAGTTCTCAAGATAAATATCCATTGATATTGTTCACAAACTCTCCCTCATAAACACAGCAGGCACAAAGCTCTCTCTCTTCACAACACACCCAAGTCAAAAACTCAACATGTAATTTTTCATCGATTTTCTGTCATAATTTTCCGACTGCCTAGAAAAGTCGGAACAAAAAAAGAAAATTTCCCCAAAAAATTGTTTAGATTTCGTTTCTTTCTTCTTATTACTCGTTCATAAATGAAAACAAAACGGAAATAAAAAATGACCATGGCAATAAAAAAGAGAGCGAAGCAACAAAATTAATAGCAAACAGGCAGGCAGCAAAGCTATTGTGTTGTGTTTATGGGAGTTGATTCAAATGGAATATTTGATATGCTTTCGTAATCCAGCACATAAATACATACATACATTCAAACAATGTTTTAACACTTGCCATCTCTTCCCTCGAAATGCCAGTTCAACTCACAAGCTGACTGACATATCAAATTCTATTCAAAATGCTTCCAAGCTCCTTCCAAATATGAAATAAAAGAACCTCGAAAGGGCCATCAAAAGCATATGGCGTTAAAAAGATTCTTGATAGGAGGAAAGGAAGGAAAGCTAATGCTTAAGGTTTTTTTACGCCTCTTGTTGATAAATTATTTCTCTATTCAATGTATCCGATGACGCAAGAGTGATGAAGTGGCAAAACTTTGCAGTTTCGTCGACAACAAAGAAAAGTTTGGTTTTTATTATTTGGCAGAGTTCACTGGCATCCATTTGTTTAGCATATGAGGGGATTTTCTTGAAATAAATATGAGCTTGAAAAGCATCAAGAGAAAGTTTCTGATTATTCCCTTGATGATTCAGCTTGACAAAAAGTGTGCTTAATCTTCTAGTGCCATAACAAGCACGTAAACGAATTTCCTATTTCGAAACTTGAACAAGCACTAATCATCACTGCGTCGACGACAAGTCTCGATTTGAAGCCAAAAAAAGTTATGAAATAAGATTATCATGATCCAAATGTTTCCATTGCCCTTGAAAAGAGTGCATGCTTGAGCTGTTTTATGCGCAATAACATGATAAAAAAAAATTTCTGTCAATTCTCACACGTTAAATTCATTGTGAGAATTTTCCGATAAACATTCGACTACACCCACGACTAATTTTTCATTCAATTTTCCACCATGTGGCATTCACAGATATATTTTAAAATATTAAAATGTTTTTCGTAAATTTCTTTTTCTAAATATTTGATAATGAATTGTGGTCATAGGAATGAAATACTTGCAAAATATTTCGTACAATATTTCAACATAAATATCCTGCCAACAAATTACTGACTTGACTCTCATGTATCGATAGACTGCTCTTATGTTGTATTAATTGATATTCTGGAGAATGATTTGGTATCTGAAGCTCGTCCACATGAAAACGAAAAGGAAAACCGAGGAAATAAAAAATCTTGCAAGACACCACCGAGATCAGAAGTTCAACATAAAATTTATGATCATGTTATGTATTGCAAGAAAGGCTAAAGGTTCTCAATTGCTTGCTCTTCATCTCCGATATATCGACTTCGTCCTTTTTCTATCCTTTATAATGGTCAAAGTCAGAACAATCCTAAGATTTATAACACACATAAATTACTCGCAACGGATATAAATACATACAAGTGTAGTATGAAAATAAATTCAAACGTGACTGCAGCCAAAAATTGTATTGATCTTTTTTTAAGAGCCCAAACCGAAGAATGAGATTCTCCACCCAACAATATGATTGCTTGAATATCCAATACATAAATGTGTTTAATTAAACGCATTCTCCTTTATCTTCCTTTATCGAGTAATTCTATGGTAATTCATTGTTTCCTATTTTCTCCACAACCAACAAGAATCAAATATCTTTCACCTTTAAGAATGGTTCTGAAATTCAGCTCTGTTGGCTATTTATATCGACATAAACATAAAGTTATAGCATTTTGAGCTTAGTTTGAAATATGTTTATACATATTTCTAATATCACTAAACATAACTTGAATATAATCCCATTAAAGCCACCAAAAAGAGAACATACAAATCCAGGATAAAACTAAAATCTTTGAAGTGAAAATACAATCAAATTCAATAAGAAGTAAAATTGCGATATTTGAAAGAAGAAGAGTGAAATAAAGTAAGAAAAAGAGCGAAAGAATCTTGACAGGTAATTTCTCAAAAGATTTTCCGTTATAAATGATTTTTGTTATCTTTTTTTATGTCTTGAACCAACAAGGGGACCGACCATTCTTCGTCTCAAAAGAGAATAAAATCCAAGAATCAAGAGCTTGAGTATTAAATCGTAATCCAACATTTTCCGTTCTTTCTTTTTTCTTTTTAATATCAGCAGTTTTCCTTCCTACTTGCTTACATTTTCTGACCCAACTTTGGGCTTTTTTTTTGTTATTTAGATATGTATTTTGTGCTCGTCATGAACTTATTTTGAACGACGGATCCCATGGCGCAAAATGAAATTATGAGTACTTTACTTTTCACTTGATTTTCATAAATTGGATGGAAATGCTTATGGCAATAAATAACAAAGGAATCACAAAAAAAAAGATTAAGCCAATTACAAATTATAAAAATTACAGTCTCATTTATCTCTTCTTGCTGAGATTGAAAAAAATAACGTCAGATCCTCGCGGTTCATTGAATCATTCCGAAACTGTTGATGATGAGTTTGGTAAGATTGTTGGTTGTATGAGAATGTCAAGTTATGTTCCATGTAGAAAAGCACTAAAATATTTACAGCAATTCCGGAAAAAGATTAAGTTTTACTGTTCATATTTCGCTCCTTTCTCTCTTTTACTATCTCTTTGCGTTCAAATAAATAATTAACAGAACGATAAGTTTCGATGGACGTGGTGTGGGAGGGAAGCATTAAAATTTCATAAAGTTGCCGTATAACGAAAATTAGTCCCACGATGACGATGGCAAAATCAATTTCTTCAACGCTCATCAGGTGAATTACGAGAACGATGAGAACCCTTAAAGAAATCTGTCATTGATGCTGCCAACAGACTGTCAAAACTTGTAAAAATTGGAATTTTAATTAAGCAACTTTATCTTGGAGTTAAATGGTGATGACGGCCATCAAGATATTTCGAATTGTATGTTGTCAATGATGAAATAAAAACCAAAAATCTGAGAATATTTAAATTATTGCTATGAAAATATGTTTCGCCGTTCTTTTTCTACTAAACATTGTACGATGTCGATCGAACTGTAACAAAGTGTTTGAGTAACAAAAATCAATAAAACTGATTGGAAATTTCGACATTCGTAGCTTAAGCAGCTCTTCGTTTGCGACAAAACTCGAACAAAAGAGAGAGAATTGATGTGAAAGCATTTCTTCTTGCTATAAACCTACATTATCATCGCAATAAACTGACTACGTAAGATGTTTTTGATCTAGATCGTTCAAAAGAAAAATTATGATATTATTTCCTTAGTTACCTAAGATTTTTCACTGGAAAAGCGATGAAAATTATTCGAAACATGAAACTTTTCATTTCAGAGCTGCTATCACATTCGACATAATAAAGTATTAATGCTTTCTGGATTTGCGCATTAATTAAAAACACCATCAGAATATCTGAAGTGGAAATTATACCGAACATTAATTACGTTCGTCAGCATTGCATAGATACTTATGAAAAGAAGCGGAAAATACGAAAAACAAGTGATAAACATGTCTAATGTTCGTTGTCATGAAGATATTTCCATGACAAACAAACATTCTCCAAGTCTAGCTTTTAATAGCGCGATAGATGCACATGACCTAATTTAAAATCTGCATTAGTTAGTTAGCTAGTGACTTATCTCGTCTCATGACTATAAAATGATGAGAAGTGTGAAGCTAACAAATCTCAGAATTCATTTTTACATCAACACGTTCCATTCTACCCGCACTTGTGGTTGTCTGCTAGAAATTCAAATGCTTTACAAAATATCTGCTGAGTAAAGAAAGTGAAGCTGGATTATTGAATGTTTGTAACATTGATTTAGCTTCTAAATGTATTTACACTAGAGAAAGGTAAAAAGTTAGCATGTGGGCGTCGTCGCTGTGAATACATGAAACCTTTTAATAGCCATTTGCCTGCAAGCATTCAATTTCAGAAACATAAAGCTAAGCGATGGATATGTAAATTTAATATTTTTTTGAGCGCCCAAGCGCTTCACAAAACTTTTAAATTAACATACTAATAGAAATATTTTCATTGATGTCACAGAGAAAAAAGAATTTCAATTAAATTATTCGGATCGTCTCTTTCTGATATAAAATAAAGTTGAAAACATTACTTGCATAGTTTCGATGTTCTTCATTTTATTCTCTTTCTCTGTTTTTTTTTTCGCTGACAGAAAACGAATTGAAATTGATCTGCAGACGTAGAATTTATTTGTGTTTCATAGCAGATGTGGAGAGACGAGATTATTGAACTGTTTAATGATGATTCTGTTTTTCGGGGTTTCATATTATTAAAGTAAAACAGACGAATCGAAAAATCTTTAAAAGCGCTATAAAAAAAAAGAAAAACTAAAAGAATTCAAGAGTACTTTGAGTACTTTTCACCATATTATGTCTGACGATCTCAAATAAGTATCCAAGCGAAATTTTGATAACAATCCTTTGAAGTTCCAAAAATATATCAACTTCATCAAAACAAAGGGAAAATTGAGTTTGTTATTATTTATCAAGACTCTTTTATTGTCATCTTCAAGCTTTAGTTTTGTCTATTTAATCAAAAATTTTATCTGACATCTTGATATTTATTAAAAAAAGAAGCAAAATAAAATCAGATAAGAAAATACTTTTTGAGAGGAAATATTGAAGTCAAATTGTAAATATTTGGCAGAATTTAGATTATTAATAAAATTTTTAATGATTATTTATTTATTTCCAATGAACGTAAGCATTAAGTTTTTAACTCCAGGAAGTTTAGACAGTTTTGCTGACTATTTGTATCCACAATTCTCTCATAATTGATGATGTAACTTTTGGTTATCAGGTGGAAAACATTCGTTTTCGTTTATTTATTTTTAAAATTATCGCTCGAAAAATCACACTGCCTTAAACTTTTATTTATTTTCACACAAATGCTAAAGTAAACTGTAATCATTTTGGGCTTTCAAATAATCTTCAACTGGACTTAAGCAGCATGTAGTCGTACGACATCATGAAGTTACGATAAAACAATCCGCAAGGCTTTTTGTTGAATTCAGGAGGAGGTTGAATGTATTATCATTGTGTTGATTGCCATACTCTAATGCCAATCAGTGAAGACAATTTCCTCGTGAATCGGAAGAACAAAGCAAGCAAGCGGAAAATGTGATAAATTTGCAACGCGGCAACGAGAATGATTTTTAATTATTTTCTCGCCTGCATCTTTTACCTTCGCTGTGCTTTCTCTCTTCTGTTGAAATTCATTACTTTTAAGATAAAGTGGAAAACTTGAAAGCTTTCTGAGGTAGAGTAAGGTGATTAGGCTCGAATGATGAAGAGGTAATCGTTTTTGTAAGCTAACAGACGATAGTGAGGCAAACAAATGCTTAATGAAGTTATGTGTGGGAAAATGAGTTTGTATACCTTAAGCAATGAAGTAAAATTGTGATAGAGTAAGAAGACTTTTTTTACGGTGGAAAATTAATTTTCTTAACCTTTTCTTCAGCTCTTTTCTCAGTAGAAAGCCTTGAAAATCTCTTCTGTACTTTTTTTTTTGTATTAAGTTAAACAGAAGCGAATGAAAGATGGTGAAAGGGAAAAAATATTAATCATGTTTACTCACTACTAGTCTATAGCTAACAAAAGATTTTTTATTGAAGCACTAACCGTAGCTTTCTTTATTATGCAAGAAAGTCAACGTGTAATAAAGTTTTATTGAGAACATTTTAAAAGGTTCCAAGTTCCTTCTACGCAACCCCAACCAAGTCATCCTTCATAAATTAACACAACACACAAGAAGAAAAAAGAAGACAGAAGAATTTTTGTGAAGCGAGGGTGGATAAAGTAGAGAAGAAAAAAAGATAATATCAGTGGAACGTGAAGCATTTTTTAAAGCATAAATTAAAATTTTATGAGCGTAGAAATCATTAAAGTCGTCACTTTCAATATTCATCATCTTTGCGTTCGCACATTTTCTTTGCTCCAACATCACAGTGACATTTCATGAAATTAAAAAGCTCTCACTTTTTTTCGAAGCAGCAAGCGAACCTTAAGCGATTTTTGTCCGTTTTTCTGTCTTTTTCACCCCTTTTTATCGTAGTCTCCATTTTCTCACTTCTGTCGATCCATAACGAGCAACGAAGAATTCATTGCGAAAGGATTGTTTCGTTTCAACGAAGGAAATTTAATTATGTCGACTGTTTTAGTTCATTCTAGCTAGCGCTCTTTTGTATAAAATTCATTGTTTATTATTCTCTTTATAGAATATTTTTAATCAGCGATTCTGAAACTTAATATCCTAAAAGATTTTTAATGGGTGATTCTAGATTTTTTCACGATAAATTCTTTTTCTCCTTTTTGTTGTAAATGTTGAGCGCGACTAAGTTTAAAAGGCTGCTTTTTGTTGATGGAAAAATTATATTTCACGTCTCTCAAGCAATCGAACACTTCACGTCTAATTTATGTCAACGTTTTACGTTTCAGTCAACTGAAGCGTAGCATAACAAAAAGCGTCATAGCGAAATTTAATTTATGTATATACTTCATGAATTATTCTTTATTGGATCTGATTGTCTTATGTGAATATTCCAAAAATTTCATGATGAAACTGAGAACGGAAACATGAAGACAAAAGATTCCCTTTTATGATTTTTCGTTTTCTTCCTGATGATGATATAAATAAAATTTCCTTTTACGCGCCCTCAAAGAAAATCGATTCGAGCGAGGCAGAGCGAGTAAGAAACGTAAACCGGATAATTTTGATCACACACACAATTGGTGGAGGTAAATTTCCTAGTCGAAAGTACACAGAATGAAAGCTTTTTACGTTTTCGTTGAGTAAAAGTCGATTCTTTGGCATTCGATTTCACCCGCACCTTCCATTTTTATTTCCCACCCCATTTCGCATTTACACTGATGTTATTTTCGCTTTGTCATCAGATTTTTTGGTTTGTGATGAATTCGATGTGTAAATTTTATAAGATGGTTGGATTGTGATATCCAAGAAAAGGAAATTGCTTTTCTCTCGAAGAGTTTTTGAATTTTTACCAACAAAAGCTGATGATAAAGATAAGCAAAGGTTGAATGTTTTATTTGACATCCAATTTCGGAAGGAAAAGTGAGACATTACAATGCTTTTGTGGCTGATTACTACGACGTTGAATGATTGAACACGATTAAACTTACCTTCTTGCAATAATCCAATAAATCCATTTTGTCACGTAGACATGATACTCCGGGTACTTTCACACTCAATTCCGATGACCATCGACCATCTTCCGATAGATATTGAGGCAAATATTGCTGACCAGCTTCGCATAGAATGGAAATTTGCGGTTCCCAACGAGGTGATGCACTCTAAAAAGATGAAGAAAAGAAACCATTTTGATGTTAGTTAACGATCACATGTTTAAAAAGAATCTTTCTGTCATTAAACTTTTTATTACTAATATTTTCCACAACATTACGTCAAGATTTAAACGTGAGGTTAAAAGACAATAAAAAGTAGGAAAAAAAGATTCAAGCGACATGAATTCAAAGTAATGTTTGTTGACACGCTTCCTACACTGCTAGAGAGTAGAAGAATTAATGGAAAGTGTTCATAAAGCTCCATGAAATGAACGGAAAAAAGTTTATTGTTTAAATTAGGGAAACGTCTGATGATAACGTAAAATTTTTTCACTCGACTTGATTCCTAAAATCCAAGATAAGAAAAGTTAAAGTTTGTAAAAAAGTTTTCTTCTTGCTTTATAAACATTAACGTAAAGTTTGTATAAACTTAATGAGTTCCTTAAGCTCTCATTCCTTCTTTAAAGGAAGATCAAAGGTTTGTGAATTAATTGCCTCGCTTTGTTTGTCTAATTTAAACCTAAAACGTGACGTTGTTATCGAATAATATCACTAAGCATAAAAAAGAGGAAAAGAAAAACCTTTTTTCTTAATGAAGAGAAAGATTTCCATTATGAATATTTTTTGTTATGTTTTATCGTCTTTTCGTTTTGGTTCAAAAGAAATTTTTTTATTTTTACGATTTTGTTGGATGTTTTCAAAAGTTTCAAATTTCATTATGAAGATAATACGAAACTGCGCCCACAAGATGATTCGGAATATAAATTAAAGGTGGTTTCATTCCGCTTTCGGAAATGATTCTCGAAACTGAATAAGATAATTTGCCCCTAGAAGAGCTTGATTTCAAGTACAACAAAGCATTTGTTGACAGACAGTTTCCCATTACTGTAACATTTTCATCGTTGATCGAGTGCTTATACTTAGCTTTCAATACGACACATCATATTTACTTGTCTTGATGTCAACGAAAAAGGGAGAAAAAAGAAGAACACAAATTGAATGTCACTTGAAACTGTCATTCATCTCGCGTTCTCATCTCTTTCGACAAGGCATCAGCATCAGCATCAACATTGGCATCGTCTTGACAGTAAATATTTTATGAACACTTCTATTGATGTTTACGTTTAGTATTGCGCGACATTCTCGGATTTTATAACTTGAAGGCTTTTTTTTCATTTCAAAAATAGCAGCTTATGCGTTTGTGTAAACATAATGATATTGTGTAACAACAAACAGACGAGACTCTTTGACTGGAGATTTACTTTCCGACTTTCAAAGTCTTGTTAACCTGTACAATTTTAAAGCAAGTACTTTGACTTTTTCGCATCATTTATAAGTTGGAAAGCATTCTTGAAAACTTTCCTAATTTCTACACACTTTGATTTACTTTCTTCGGCATATTTATAAACAGCCGCCCTCAAGCCATTTTGCTTTTTTGTGTAGGAGAAGAAAATTCTTTCCAATTTTGTTTGCATTTTAATTTCTGCTTATTTTTATGATGAAAAGAGAGAACATGTTATAAAAGAAAAACGCCATTAAAAGTTGTCGGAAGAAGAAAAGTTTTAAGCTCGTTCCATGAAATGCAAAATCATCTTATCTAAGCGTAATTTTTGGTTAGAAATATTTTCTTATTCTTTTAAAGAAGAAAATTCTTAAAGCATTTCAGCTTGCGTTTGTTTCCATCTTCCATAATAAATATAAGTAAAAAGGAAATTTCAAAAATGTTCCAAACACTTTCTTACTGTCGTCCATTCCAAAGATTCCATTTGATTTCAGTTGTTTCGTAAAACGAGAATCAGTGAACAAAAAATAAAAGAAGAGCAGAAGAAACAGATAATAAAAAGCTTTAAAATCCAGCCAGCTAAAATTTATTACCCCTTGCAGTTTACGAGAGATCATAAAAAAAGAGGATCTAAAAAACTGCTGCCTCGCAGCCCGGCATCTTGAAAAATGAGTTGTGTTCATTGTGAACCTTTTTCTCGACGTCCCCGTTCTGTCCTCTTCCTTTCTCCGCCTCCTTAGATCGCGCCGGCTGCTTCGTTATCATTATTTATAACATTCAGTTATTCTTCTTTCCAAGGAACAGTGTTTTCTTTCATGGATTTAATTACATTGCCTTCAATACACGCCAAGAGGATCCGTGATAAATTTTGTCGTGCGTTACGCATGATGGAAATTCTCTTTTTAACAAGTTTATTACACGATGTGAGAAGGAAGGTTAATGTAGAATTGGAACGATGTGTCTCTGGGATAAGATCTCCGTCTTTAACTTATGCGTGAGTTATGAGAACTCGTGTGTGTATATGTTCTTGTATATAAATGCGCATGGTATTATTCTTTTCACGTGTAATATCCTTATTATGTTATCCATGTTTCAGAGATTTATGTCAAGAAAGAAGGAAAGGAACGGAGGGAAAAAAAAGAGAATTTCTCCTTCCACACTTTTTCCCGCAAAACTTCTTTTTTCTTCTCATCCTTGACTCGTATGACACATCCACGAAAGAAAAATTTCTTACTTCACATAAATTTCCGCCAAAGAATTATCTAACTTTATAATACCGTTGTGAAGCTGAAGCTCCTTTTCAAACAATCCAAATCATCCTCAAAGCGGGTAAAAGTTTTTATCAGAAACGAAACATTTCGTTGCTCCCTTCGACTTCGTTTGAGAGAAGAAACTTTTGATTCTTGTTCTTCTTCTTTTTATTTTCCTTTATCTCCACCCCTCCGTTTTACCGTCTTGTGTAAAATTTAATTACATTTCACCGCTGTAGCTCTGGCGTTTGAGAGCTACATCGTCTACAAATGCGTTGGGATATCACATTAATGTTTGCATAAATGAAATTCATATCAAAACAATATCATAAAGTTCTCACTCCACACTCCTACTTCTTTGTCGTTTATTCCCAAACAAAATTAAAATGTTAAAGGCAACATCTGTATCCTAATTTTGTAGTAATAATTTGAGTTATTATGTGAATGTCTGCGAGAACAATTCGGAAGCTTTTCGTACGTTTGAAGATGGCGAAATGAGATGTTTCTCTTCATTGTATTTCTAACTGGCATTTACATCGCTATGTTGAAAAATTAATTGCGTTTATATGTATGAATGAGGGAAAACCCAACAAGTTTTGTTCGGATGCTAAATAAATCCTTTTTCTTTCATTTCTAAGTAGGATTGAGAAAAGCTTGTTGGCTGAATATTTGTTTTAAACCAAATAAAAAAAAAAGGTTAAAGTTAAAACTTGGAATAATTAAAAGCATTTTGTTAATGAGATTTCTGTGAAAGGAAAGCTATCAACGTATATATGTTTGAAAGTTTTCAAGTTATTTTAACATTTCCGGAAAAAAACCTTCTCTAACTACATCCGAAAAGTTTAAAATAATATGAGAAAATTATTTAAGTATCTACCACGAATGTAACAATAATTTTATCTAACAATTTTCTCAAGATTATCCTCATCACAAAGTTTTCCTCGTATTCTTTCGGTTAGCTACTACTGTGTCTTAGTTTAGATAATAATAACGAAACTACTGAAATCCCTACGTCGTTCTATGCTTGTTTAACAATAAAACATTTATGCATAGCATGATTCAGACTCAAATGGATAAATAAGACACATATGGGGTGAGCAGATTCTCTTGAAGCTCAGCATCTAATTATTGTTGTTACATTTTGAATGAAAAATTTATGTGACTTTTGAATATTTTTCTTCCTCTTTCCGTTTAAAATAATTCTATTTCTATATCTTCTACTCTAACAAGGACATTACAAATTTATTATCGTTTAAGCCATTTGTGGAGTTTAAACTAATTTTAGGAAAAGTTTTTCTGTCACCAAGGATTTATAAATAACTTTTGTTACGAGAATATGATCGCCCTGAGGGATTTATCAGCGACTTATGGAGCCATTTACATTGAAATAAAACTGTTGAACTTTTAATCAAATTTTAAATTTTTCATCTCCTGAGATTATCTTTAAAATATTTTCAATAATGAGACGTCACATTTTAAATTTTAAATTGTTTCATGTCTCGAGACAAAGCTGATGAAATTCTTCATCGGACAGAAAAAAATTTGAAGGCGCAATAAAAATTAATTTTATTACAAAACAATAATCCTAGGGACTAAACGAAGTTGATCCTTTTTCGACCTTTTCTAAACGAGTTTTTCGTCTCCATTTTCGATCCGAGAAATAATGAAAATTGTCGTTTTGAGAGTTTTTTTTTCATCATCAATTTTTCGTTGCAAACAATATCAACGTTTACCCTAAAAAAATTATTTTGACAATTTATTTAGTTTCCACCGAAAATTCAGATGTAATTTATGTAAAAATTCACATTTAAATTGGGTGCAAATAATTTGTTTCAACTTTCGTTATGGCTGACATTTAATATATCAAAAGTTGCATAATTCAGAAATATAGCCCTGATCACGAAACAATGGAAAAACAACCTGAAAAGCTTGAGATCTTTGAAATACCTTATCAAGGTATTTTTATACATCTAAAGCCCATGTATCATGACACAATAGAATCGTTCAGAAAACATCATGACAATAGACTCTTCTTAGATCTTCTTTCATTAGAGTCATCCCCGTTCATTTTCCTTTTCATCTCTTATCTCATTTGTTTCATCATAACGAGTCCTTTATCAGAATTATTCTTTCTTTCACTCAAGCTTTTCTTCCTATTCCCGTCTTTACCCCGCAACGTATTTTATTGTTTGCATTGTTTTATCGTCCCTGTAATGTTTATTGAGAGTGTGTGAGCTTACAAAGCGAAGAATGGTTTTGGTAACAGTCATCATGTCTTATGTTTGTGCATGAGGTTGGACCGTTATAACTAACCCAATATTCTTTCACGGAAGGAAAAATTTAGAAAAGTTAAAGCTTGAAAATAAGAAGCAGGAAGGAATAAAAGCAATCTATAGAGAAAGCCGTCGACTTCATTAGCACAAATAATGCTTGCAGAAAAATTCAGTTTCGCACGACGTCACTGGCGCGAACGAAGCGAACAAAACTCTTTTTCTTATTGCATTGCCATGAAGGAAGCTGCTCTCGAGGGTGAAGTTCTGTTTGAACATTGAGAATAATACGAAGGCTAAAATGTATATTTCCTTCCACATTGCTCTCGTCTTCAACCATAAAATAAAGAAAATCTCTTTTGTCTTAGTTGTTTTCTTCCTTTTCTTTCGCTTCTGGAATACTTCACGGCTTTTTTTTTGTTTGTTTTCACACCACTCCAAAAACACTATAGCAAATATCTAAGGAAGCAAAAGAATTTTTTCATTCAATTTAGTTTTCACTGTTTCCCTCGTGCATGAAACTCAATTTTTTTTGCATTTTTTTGGTTGTTTGAATCTTGAACTCAAAAAATTGCATATTTATTCAGCACCATCACTATCTGCGATGAAAAGCCATAAAAACGTTTCAGTTTAAAAGTTTTCCTATCTTTTCCACTATCTACTTCAGTCAACGAACAAAATGTGGATGGAAAGTAGAATTTATTTTGGCTGCTTTACTCTCATGATTGCGCTACATGCAATGGCAATATTCCATGCCAAAGATTGCATGGCATGTCACTCCTTTTTTTACATATTTTCTCGCCTTATCTGTGCGATATTCTTGCAACATGTCTGTAAATATTGATCCGTAGTTTGCTGTTTTCCTATTCGATCTTTTTATTAGTTTTTCTTCTTTTCCTACCGTTCCGATTACGTGGTTGAAATTCTAAGCATTTCATGACTTTCTTATTTTCCTTTTTTTTATTTATTTCATTTTATTTTGTTCTCATTCGAAAAAAATAAATATCTTTACATACACACGCATATTGAGGGAGAGAAATGAAAAAGAGAAAAACTTCACTTCTCATCTTCGAAAGAAGTTGAAGAAAACTTTTCTAAAGTATGATAACAACGGAAAGGAAAAAGAGGAATCCTGAAAAAAGTAATAAATAAAGAATTTCTCGAAGCATCTTAAGATATCCGCATCCAATCTATATTCCTTTACCATCTCTATCTCCAACATTCGCTTTTATTATCAATCAAAGAGAAAAATTCCTTCCATTATGAGTCATTTATTATAATATTTTGCCAACAATATCAGCCAGCACCAAGCGATTTATTCAAAAATCTTTTATTTCGATGCTTGACGTAACTTTCCATTCTCGCTGGTGCTGTCAACCAGCACCATGTCCTAGCGAAACAAACAACTGCGCAAAATCACGCAAATTTTTCTTTACGAAGGGAATGTACACAAAGTTATCGTGATGCTTTGGAGAATCGGTAATGTAGAAGATATACATGAACGATGGTTTTTTTGGTAAGAAAAGAGAGAAACAAGACGAAAGGAAATTACACAGATTCGTTTTACAATTTTTCTTTTCACCCCTAAATGAAGCTCGTGAAAGATAGAAAATCGGATCCCCTCTTAAAATGGCCTGTAGAATGCTAAAGCAATTTGTGTATGAGACACTTTATTATTGAAATATCCATAAGATCTCATAATGTAAACATTTTTTCGTTCTCAACGGAGAAATCGGAAACGAGAGAAGAAAGTAAAATACGAAAATTTACGGCCGAAAAAGAAATAAAACATGCGACTATGTAAATGACTTTTTATCGAAATTTATGTTTTACAATTTTCTTTTTCATAATTCATTTTAATTTTTCTTACGTTTCAAACTCTTACGTTTCCTGATAATAATATTAAAACTGGTGGATGAAACAGCGGTTTTTCTCAGATCTAACACATTTTTCATATTCATGATTTACGTGATCCAATTTTAAACTTATCTTTAAGCAAATCAATAAATCATTTTCGTTTTTCTGTTTGCCATTTTTAACAGATTTTGACTTCTTCTTACCATCTTATATTGCGATATGTATGCTTGGGAAATGTATGAAGTAAGAAACATAAAGATTCTGAATTTCAAGCAAGAGAGTTAATTAAATTATATGAAAAGAATTTTTACGTTTTGAATTCAGAGCTAAATCTCGAAATGAATGAAATGATAATCTTGAAAGTTTGAGAATTGAAATCATGAAACATCCAACATTACTTAAATGAGCTTTTCCTAAATATCTTCAAGCTAAATCCTTCTTATGCTAGATTTCAAAGATTCATTCATGAATTGAGTCACGTTATTGCAATCACAATAAAACTTTTTAAATTTCAGCATGTCTTCAAGCAGTAACGATATGCAAATGATGCAACGAGAAATTGAGGAATATAACAAAGCTGCTTGTGACACAATGGCTATATAAACCCACCTATTGAAAACAGAAATGAGGCTATACATGGAAGGAAAATGATGATGAACATAGAAGCGACAAAAAAGTAAACACAAATTTTCCGCAACAATTGAGTATATCTCTCAAATTTCTAAAGCTGTTCTTGTATTTTTTTCTGTTACAACGAAGACAGTTCTCTCCAATTCCAAGCGATGATAATGGCCAAACACAGTCCAGTGATTTTCTATTAATCGTTTCAAGCGCTTGACAAATCGTTATCGATCGAAAAAAGGCAAAATTTCAATTGAAATAAAAGAAAAAGATAAAAAAGATGAAAACTTTTGCCTACTCTCGTAACTTATTTTACTCAAATATATCGTAATCCAAATCTCTTCGTTGATGTGACTTCCCCGGACACAAATAAGAGAAAGAAATGAGAGAGAGAGAGAGAGAGAAGACATTCAAAAAAGCGACCCTTGATGATGATGATAACTTATTTTTCGATTTCTATGGTATTCCTTTTGTGTTTCTTCATGTACGTTATCTCCACTTCTGGCCCTGATCGATCCTCACTCCCACTCAATAGAATATCCCAAAAAATAATAATCAGAGTGAAAAAATCAAAAAACTTGTAAGTATGACGTGTTTATATGCATGTATAGGAATGTAAATATCAAATGGGAGATCTTCGTAACGTCCTAGTAGCCTTAAACACACCTTGCCCAAATATATTTTATGTAAAAGGACATTTTTGTTCAACCTTTTTCTTGCTTTCTTTATTTTTTCTTCTCAAGAAGTGACGATGAGATGGAAAAAATGGAAATTTCTCACTGTTCAGTTTCGACTCCACTCTTCCATTACGGGGCAAAACAAAACAATGGCACTTGAACAATCAACCTCGCTCAGCTAAGCTTGGCTACATCCTACACAGCAAATCGATTCTGAAATTGTGTTCTACGCCCGAAATGGTTAAAAAGCACATATTTTTCATTTTCTTTTTCTATTTGTTGCAAACCATTTCTTCCTTCTTTCTAGCTTCTTCTACAATGCTAATACACTTGACATTCCATTTATTTTTTTATAGCCTGGGATGAAAACAATGAAAACTGTTATGCATTGCCATTTGACAATACTAAAGGATGTTGCGAATTCAGAACAATTTCAACATCCCCCGTCATCAACAAAATGAGCAACGAGAATGGGAAAATTTAATTTCCACAAAAGAAAAAGAAGAAACATTTGTTTTCTATCTTATTTCATTCTTTTTCTCTCTTTTTTGTTTTGAAAATCACTGAATACATTTCGCAAGATGATGTTGAGTTGAAGTCATCAATTTCAACTGATAGTTCATCACTTACACTCAATCGCTAAATCCATTTCCAGTTCATAAATCCCAAAAATTTTATCAGAATAGCAATAAATGTTCGCTCAATTCTTGAGTCTTTTTAGTTCGATTTCTCGTAAAACCCACTGTATTTATATGTATATAAAAGGAACGAACGAGGAGTAATATTCGTAGCATTTTCCTCCTTCGTTTAAACAAAAACGTACCGGAAATAAAGCGCTTGTATGATGATATTTAGATAACTTTTGAATTTATCGCATTTGATGAAAGTTTACTTTTTTAAAGAAGAAATGGAAGCTTTCATTTGGTTGGGAAAATAAAGCGAATGTCAAAGTTTGGTGGTGGGTGGTAATGAGAATTTTGAACTGTGAAAACATTCACTATCAGTTTTCCTAGGGCTATTTGGACTATGATTGCTTAACTAACTTAGTTAAACGAATAAATAGCAGAAATTCGATAAATTTCGACATGTAAAATATTTAAACGAATTTAATTGATATTAATTAAAGTTCAAAGAACAAACAAAGGTGATTATACGATAAAGGAATAATTTGACTTTTCAATTAATCCCAAACAGTCGTTGATTTTGCATTTCAACTAATTGAGCTATGATGACCTTTATCTCTCTGGAATTTGTTTAATAGAAATCTCTTAAATTGAGACCAGAGTGGAGGGAAAGCAATAAAAATTAACGCGATAAATTATTTACTTCTTATTCGTACAGCGAACGACGACTCGTTGACAATTCCCATTTCAAAGCTTTTTATGTTTATTTTCCTCGCAATATTTTGTGCTACAATGTTTCTCATTTCCCCCATTTTCAAAAAAAGTACGACGGAAAATAAATTTATTCTTATAAGAAATCGATTTTTATGTGCAATATAATTGTGTTGGGGAGAGAAACAAAGTAAGAACATTTATGAATTTTTCATAGTGTTAGTATTTCTTATGTTCTGTTTTTCTCGCTCTTTCATAGCAATTCTTGTTTTGTATGTGATTTCAGATTAAAGTATTAAACTCCACCAGATGACTTGAGTTTTACTTTTTTCAATAACGATTTTAGATATTTTTTTGGAAAATTTCCTCGTACAACTTTCCGCAAAGCTATTGATTTTCTTTTATGTGTGCGGTGGTTTCATGTCCCTGTCGTTTTCCTTTTTTTCATGCCTCTTTTCATGTTATAAAGGTGAGTCATCGGCTCCAATATTACAATGAGTGAAAGGAAAAACTTATTTTTTTTAAAGCAGCGAGACAAGGACGAAAGATACTTCCAGGATTTTTCATATGATTTTGAGTAAATAAAATTGGAAAATTATTATTGTACCTGAACATAGTCGGCTTGTCCTAGAACAGCGACAACAAAAGCTGACACCAATAGTGTAGGTGTCATGCTGATAGACTTATTCCACAGAAAATCCAAAATTTATTTTATAAATCCAAATTTAAATTCCACCACTGATATTGGAATTTCACTGATTTTCACACTGATTTATCACTTTCTATTTAGTTTCAATCACTTTTTCCGGTCTGATAGTTTCTTTAAATCACTAAATAATTTATGAATTAGATTTTTACTCAATTTACTTTGAAAAATCAATTTTCTTTCAAATGTTCACACCCGCCGCGAAAAGAACGATCTTTATCGCATGAAAGTTTTCAATCGAGTGAAGAGTAAAATTACTGAGAGAGCATAGATTAAGAAGCATATGAACATAAAAGAAGCAAAAAGTGGCAAGGCCCTCGTTTCTTTCTCTAGCTCTAGAGAATTTAAGATTTCTTATATATGATTCAAACAATCATGTTTGGCTTTTTTAAAACACTTAAAAATTAAGAAAATGTTTACAATTTTTAGCTAAGCTTATTTATGAAAAAAATTATTCAAGCCTTACATATTTTACAATTGCGTTCCCATGTTTCGCAACAATATTTCACCCTTAAGCATTCTCTCATACAAGAATAAAAGAAAATTTTGAGAGAATGAAACGAAACGGAAAATGAACCAGTAGTCTATACATAAATATCTGAGTTAATATAAGTTAACATTCTTACATTTTCCATAAAAAAAACTTTTTTATCATCATTTTTAATTAAAATTGTCTGGAATTATTTCAACTAGCTAATATGACATTGCAATTATGAAAAGAATTAAAAAATTGCTTCAACTGGAAAATTCATGTCTACTATTTAATTCATACATTCTCGACGTTGACAGTTTATTTAGACAATTTGCTTGCACAATCCTAGAAACTCTGTAACTTATGTACAACAAAATCCAATTATTATTTATTAGCTATTGTATTTACCAACAAAATAAACAACAATTCAACAACTCTTAATAGATGTTTGAAGTGGATTAAATTTATAAAAGAAAAAGTAATTAAAAGTAGCATCCATTTTCTGCATTAGAAACTTGAGCCATGCTTATATTTCTTGACATTCGTCACCAAGGCCTAAAAACAGACTTAATATACAAAAAGGAGGAAAAAATAAGAAGAAACTAACGAAGAAAGGAGTAACATTTATAATGGCACAAGCTTTCCATTTCGTTGGAAGAGAAATGTGGCTCGAAGTAAAACCCATAAATTCGCTGTGTCACTTTTTATAATTGAGATTCATTTCTCAGGCAGAACGTTGAGCTTTTTCCGCAAAAATCGCATCATAAGAACAATGGGGAAAAAGCGATGGAAAAACAAAAAGATTAAAGTCACTTTTTTGTTTGCAAGAATACTCGACACCGGGCGCGAAAAGAACGTCTGCAAATGCCAACATTTGTATAATTTCAGTATCTGACTTTTCTGTTTTCAACACCATAGTTCAAAATATATCTTCTGCCTTCACTTTCGATATCTATCAAGATTGCGCTTCACTCAACCTAAGCTTATTTTGGGCTTTTTGAAAGCTCAGAAACTAATGAAACTGAATACTTTTCCTATCAAATTTTTATCTGTTGAATCGTAAAAATAACACTCCATGAAAATTCAATGAGTCGGATTTTCTCTATCTATACCGAAAAAAAAGAAATAAAATCAAGTTGTTGAGAAAGTAGGCTCAAAAAAATAATGATGGAATGAATAAAAATCAATCTTCTCCTAAATAAATACACACACGGAGTCATACACATGTTGCCATTCATTAAAAGCGTCAAGTTTTCGTAAACAATGAAATAAATGACATCGCTGTATCCCGCAGCTCTCTTGCCTCACTGTATTCGTGAAAAAAGAAAAGTTGTAGCATTTTAACGTTATCATCGCATATGTCGCTAACGCTCTTTTTTTTCTTGTACGGATGATTTAATAATTAAATGGTTTGTGATGATTCGCAGATGGTTTCGTCTTTGATTAAAACGAGAAGATGGTGGAGGGTGAGTTGGGAAAAAACTTCAACAATGTGAATTGTTTGGGTTCCTAAAACAGCTAAAAGTATAAAAGAGCTTTTTGCCAAAACATTAATTTTCCATTTTTCATTTTAATGTTGTTTTGAAAATTGAAAATCAAATCCCGTCATCTGGGTGAAATGAAAAATTTAAGGGATCAAAATTCTTTTTCCTTCCTTTTCGACTTCTGTACCCGACGCATTGCCTTTACCTGGTGTTGCTTTATTTGATGAAAGGAAAGTTTATGTTTGGCCATTATTTATGATAAATATAAAAAGGAGTTCGAGAGCCCCATAAACATTGAAGTATAACGAAAACTGACCGAAAAAGTTTCCCATTTACACATCTACTACATTCTCGACATGAGTTTCTTCTTTTTTTGTAATTTTTTGGTATTCAATGGATGAAAAAGGAAGAAAAGCTCTAAAATACATCCAGAGGAAGGATGTTCTTGTTTGACCTATGACTGAATTCAAATTATAGATTATTAGATATTCAGGGTGTTTTTCTTTTCTTCTCAAGCACTGTTATCTGCCAATCTAATACAGAAAAAAACGAAAACCTTTATTAGCCTGAGGATCTAGAAGAAAGTGCTTCGAGATTGATTCAATTTCTTATTATAACATCATAGTCGGCCTGATGGAGAGAAGGTTTGTTGATTTCTATTTATGCAGCAGAGCAGAATTCGTTTCAAATCATATTCAACTTTTGATTGGGAAAAGTGAACAATCTTTGATAATTTGATGTTTTTATTCATGTCTTCACAATCTGTAAACAATTTGTTTACAAATAATTATTTTCATAGGAAAACTCATTCATTGAATAAAAACATGAAAAACATTTATAAGTGTCGCTAAAAAGCTTCTTCAAATTATCATTTATGCGAGTAAATTATAAAGAAAAATTAAATATGAATTTTATGCTTTCTGACGGTAGTTATTATAATGAACATGGAGATAAAGAAACTCATTGAAAGGTTGAAGATAAAACCGAGTTTACATTGAGGAAAATTTCAAATTTCCATAATTACAAAACTTGCATAAATTCTTGTCGTAAAATTTGTTCTTAATTTTTCATCATCACGATGAAAAAATTCAAAGAATGAGTAACATGCAAGAAGACAGAATTTTGCTCAAGCGAAAACATTGAAGCGGAAATTCCAGTTGTTATTTATATGTACATAAATATTTCTAAGTACGACAAGTAATCTCGGGGTTTTATAAAATACTAAAGACATTCATTTGCTACATAACACTTGACATTGTGGAAAATTTAAAAGGAAACATGTTTATTTACAAAAAATAATCTACTAATGAGCATCCTTGAACGTTTTCAATTCTCAAGCAACCTCAGCTCGTATCATGCAACTGGGAAATATTTAAGAAGAACGAGGCAACAGACAATCAACGATAAAGAAGAGAAACCTAATTGAAAAGATTCTTTTGTGGCTTAAGAGATAAGGCTGATGTTGTTTTTACAAATCAAGTAATTTTAAACTTATGTTGTTCTTGGGTTTTTCTTGAATGTTTTCATTAGTTTGTTAAGTTTTTAAAAACTTTCATATGATTAGATTAATATGTTGTTTTTACTCAAATTACTACATTAATCTCATTTTTCTTATTTCTACATTTGATAAGAGTCCAAAGTCATGCAGCATGACATTTATACCTGGTGAGAAGTCAAACTTACAAAGGGTGTTAAGGTCACTGTCATGTCAATCAAGAAAGCATAAAGTAATCAATAAATAATTTAGACAACGTCACGTCATTTTCCTAAAATAATAAAAACACTCATTCAACTGAAATTGTTTCTTGAATTTCGCTTCGTTTCGCTTTTGCTGTTTTTTCTTTTTTTACCCCCAAACAATTTCTTGAGAAAGAAGCAAACTTTTTTTCATCAACTGCGCACAATCATAAGCAAAAGAGAAAACGTAGGTTCTCGCTCGGTTTTTTAATTTCTTCGCTTTACAGGCCGTGAAAACAAAAGCTAAACAAGCATTAAAGAAAGAAGAAGAAAATCTTCGATTTTGTCAATTCAGAATTTATTGATTTCTTTTTTGTTTCGCTTCGTTTCATTCTGAAGCTTTTACAAGTTGAACGAATATTTCTGTTGTTTCTTGCTTTTCTTTTTTGAGAATGAAAATTGATGTTCCCGACGGATGTTATTAATGGAAATGAAGTTGGAATTTGACTCACAATGAAGAATATTTTGTCTTAAATATTTTCGTTGGTGAATGAAAAAAAAAAGGATCTGTTTAAACATCAAACTTCTTTAAATTGTCACATACAGCAATGCGGTCGTCCAAAGGACTCTCACTCAATGGGTTTTATTTACGAATGGCTCATGAGAATTGCCAAGCTTGTCTGTATGATAAATGATTGGCGAGAGAAAAAGCCATCGACAAAAGGAAAAAACATTTTGGTTTCATCATTGTTTGCAGAACAAGAACAATCTTTACCTTTATCTTCTTTTTCTTTTGATATCATCTAAGGAAAACGATACTCCCTTCAATTGACGAGGAGATAATTAATCAATCATCTCAGGAAATAAGAAGGATCCTCTTGATGTGACATGATAACAATGGTGAAGAAATATTCATTAAAATTTCATCAGGACCATATTGGATTTGTCGTTGATGACACAACTTTTTGTGCTGTCATAATTGAAATCTTTTCATTTTTTCAAAGTATTTGATTTTCATTTTATTTATTGTTATTTGAAACAACTGAACATTTACCTTCATTTTGAAGTCGCAAAGACGAAAAGCTTTTTTCTTTTTATAAATACTAGAAACATACTTACGACGACAAATCTTAATGACTTCACCGTTAACATTTTGAGCATCTTTTTCTTATAGTAGATATCTTCATAAAAAGAATGAGAAAAATTCTTTTTTGACTTTTAATGAGATTCTCCAACGAATGAGGTCAAATTCGTATAGAAAGAGAAAAAGCTTATTAAACATGAAAATTCGTTCAATGTTCGTTTTCACATTAGCAAGCATGTCATTGAGTTATAAAAATTACAAACTGTCGAGAACTGTCTCGAAACTTAACTTTGACTTTATGATGGTAAAATTATGCAAAATTGTTTTGAAAGAAAATAAAAGAAATAAAAAAACGACGACTATGATGAATCGAAGGAGAACTTTTCAATATTTTTTCAACTCTGAAAAGTAGCAAGAAATCTTACAACTTCTTTCTATAAAAATTTTATACAAGAACATTAACTTTATTAAAAACATTAAGATAATTCTTTTTATTTTTCTTCGTTACAACAGAGTAATAAAAGATGAACATAAACTTTAGTAAACATAATTTGGTGAATTCACTGACATTGGTTGATATGTTGAGGATTATGCTAAGCAATATCTGAAAAACGAAAAGAAAAATGAGAATTATTTAACAAACAGAAAAAAATTATTATTGAAGGCTTCCAATGGACGAGAAACATTTGAACATAAATCACGTTACAACCCTTTTGGTTCACCACAAACATCAACCATATTACACTTAACTATTTTAGAAATTTGTATTAAAAACCTCAATCCCTTCGAAAGAAAGGGGAATCTATTTATAAATTCCAATAGCATAATATCATCATGTACAACATATGACAAAGTCTCTCCGATAAGCATACACAAAATTTTTCGACATAAATGCTTTTCACGAAATCATTTACCATAGTTGAGAAATTGATATTCAGAGAGAAAGATATAACTCAACTCTGTCTACATAGATATTACTTTCATCAAATATTTGCTACTCTCTGCTGTTGCCATCCTATGTTGATACCATTTTACAAGACATTATATGAATATTTTCTTCTTCTTCTGCTTTTTTTTTATATTTATCATAAACCCAAACACAAACTTTACGTAATTAAATCGTTTCAATATGAATGTACAAGACTTTTCAAATTCAAGGCATAACCACTAGACCAACTCCATCAAAGATTTAAGTTATGAGAATAAAGTGGCGAAATGTTTAAAATTTAATGTTGAAAACTATAAAGTCCTCAAGCATTTTGTCCCTTTATCAGTTGAAAGTGGAAAAGTTTAACAATTTCCACTCAAGTAGTCTTTCTGTTATCTACATTTCTAAATGTTAGAAATTCTAAAGCCATTTTCAAAGTTCAAAATGTTGAAAATCTCATGATTTTAGGCATAATAACCCAAGTCTAATGCTTTAGCTTTTTTACTTTCTGTCTATCTAAATAGTTATGTGAATAATCATTCATACTTATTAAGGTGTAAGGAAGAAAAGAATATTAATGTGATTCTTATCGCCTAATGTTACGAATGGATGAATTCGAAATGGAAATTTTTCTCCATTACAACAGTGTAATAAAAGTTAGCTTAGTTAGAGATGAATCGGAATCAAAGGAAAGAAAAGAAATTGTCTTAACGTATCCGGGAAAAAAAGTAACGTAGTGAACTTCAAATATTATTTTATCGCTAAAAGAAGAAAGGCGAGAGAAAAGAAATGTAACAAAGAGAAAAGTTTTCTTTTCTTCCAAAAACTAATTAATAAGAAATGCTTCTTATCACTTCACCAGCGGTTCTTCTTGCGCAACATCCACACTTTCTTCAAGCCTTCAAGGTCATAAATCTTCTTTTTCTTCTCCATCTCTTATAGAGATTTTCTACATCACTCAATTTAGAGCAAAAGGAACATTTATCATCACTCAGTGATAACGTACATAAAACGCGCAATTAATGTTTATCGTTTAACTCCCTCAGCGAGATATTTCCACCATTATATTTCATGGCATGTCGAATCAAATGTCTCCATATGATAGAAATTGATATTAATGAAACTTTTCATCGATTGGAAATTGAATTAAAGCCATTTTAATTTCCATATAGAAACCTTACATGGCACGCTTCATCAGACATTCTATGACACAATGTGATCACAAAAGAAGAAAATCTTCCAAGCGTTGATGTAGAAAGTTCACTCATGAGAATATCGAAAAAAGGAAAGGAAATTGACGCTTGGAAATATTAGTCATCATCATTATCGTTCATCTACACACCAACTCTCCACCCACACACCCACCAATGATAGTCAAAGGCAAAAATCGTTGAAGGTGGCGGATTAAAATGTGTGTGGGTGGGAAATTCGCTTGTACCCTTCAATTTCCTATTTCACATCAAATTCTCATCAGACTCGATCAATATTCGGAGCGAAATCAATGTTGTTGGCTGTTGTCTCATCAGGAATGTGTTTTCATGGTAGAAGTTGACATTCTGTGGATGAATTTGAGGAGAAGTTAAAAATTACAAGAATTAACTTAAATTACTTGATGTGGGAAAATTTATGTTTTCATTAATTCCAGACATTACTCGTATTTCCAAGAAAATTTTAACAAAAATGAAACTTTTACCGCTTCGTGCTATAAACTTGAGTTGTTTTTTACACATTTTCTTTGGAACTTTTCGCGAATGTTTTCTCTTCTGTTGGTTGAACAGAAAAGTTTTTTTATGAAAAATCATTTAAGAAGAAATGAGTCGTAAACAAAAGTAGAAATCTTTTCCCGCTTCTAAGAACTTGTTGGAATAAAAATGAATTTCATTTCAATGTATAAAGAAATTCAATCAAGAAGACTTAAATATTTTAGAACATAAAACATTCGTCGTTCGATTCTCTAGAATTTCGTTATTTTGACCTCAACACGCGACAATATTCGTTTAACATCTTGCAATAGCAAGAACTATTACTAAGGGGACTTTGTCGTATTTAATTCAGAATAATAATCTACTGAATATTTCCTTGACTCAGAAAACTTTTCATGGGATTTTTTATATATTACATTATTTACGAAAGAAAATTCCCATTGAAAGCACTCTCGAAAGAAGAAGAAGAAAAAAATAGCAAACCAAGCATTATCGTTTTGGGATTGTTTAAAAGTTACGGGAAACTTCCAATTATAAAAAAATATGAAAAATCTCTTTCGTTTTTCCACCCTCATTCTTTTTTTTTACTAAATTCAATGCTGTTAATTTCTTTTTCCATTTGTCTCCAGGCTGGACACATAATTTATTACTTTTTAAAAACATTGTTTTCCGCTAGCGCCTCCATCTTCTGTTTTATCATCGGGCACTTAGCTTTTTGAGTTGGGCTAAATGTATTGTCGTTGTCGTTCTTTGTCTCACACCAAACACCAGAAACAAAAGCAACATAGCGACTCTAAAAACTTTTATTTTTTCTCGAACTCTTGTCGTCGTTTTATATAAAATGAATCAGACAGAAAAAGCTTTAAAAACCGAGGACGAATGTGTTCACATTGCATATGGCGAGAAAAGTAATTTCGCGTAGAGAAACATATGTAAAAAGCAGTGAAGTTCGCAATTCTTTCTTTTCATTTTGTGTCAACTTTTCCCTCGCTACCACTGAAACAACTAACTTCAGATTATCATGAGTCATTTTCGTTTTTCCACCAACTCCCAACCAAGAAAATAAAGTTTAAAGTTTCTTCTTTTTTTCGGTGGTGGATTGGATAAAGCAGAATTGGAGTAAGCAAAACATTTTCAAGATTAGATATAAGTAAAATTAAATGTCTCGTTGTATCATTCACAAAAACGTAATTTGAAATGGTGGGAACAAAGACAGAATGGGGAAAAAAGGAAAAACAACAATTGTTTGCATGGCATTCTCGAGCGAAAATGTAATTACATTTCATTCCACTTTTTTCATGTCCTTTTTTATTCTGCTGACAAATGAAAGCAGGGAAAAAATTGCGTTTCTCCAAGTCATCAGCTCCCTCTTTATAGCTTTCGATAACCGAGATTGAAGCACAACAAGGGAATTTTATACGAAGGAAGGAAAAAAGCACACATCACAATAATTGAATTTAATTAAATTGAAAATTAATTGAGTTTTTCACTTACCCTCCTGACTCCTTTCTCTCGTCGAATGATGTTTTGTTAGTGGAAATCACTTCCGTTACTTCATTTTCTACTTTTTCTCGGGGATGTCGAAAAGACCGCATTCCTTGTTGGCTGGAACTGCTTTGTCTAGATTGATGCCAGCAGATAAATAAAAGAGAAGAATAGAAATGTTTAGCAATGAAATTTTTCTTCCGTATCTCTACTCGAATAAATAAATATTTGATAATTTCATTTTGTATTCCGTAAATGTGAGAATTTCGCTCTTGCTTTAGTCTTTGAGCACACCGCAAGGGTGTCATTAGAACGCTTCTCCAGAGGGATCGTTTAATGATGAACAATTGACACAACACACTGACTCTGAGTTATTTTTTATTCACTTATGGGACTGACCTTTGAATAAGAGAGCAACGGCCCACTCGACACCAAACTATGAGACTTTGGGACGAAGCAAACTTTAACCCTTTCAGATTTCAAAGTGGATACGTGTACATATTTAATAGCATATACATATAAGTAAATATAAAATTCGAGTGAAGCACGAAACAAACAAAAATATAAAGGAAAAAAATCGATCATAAAAACATGTGAACAAGTACTGCAAGCAAAGCTTATATGGATACAACAATAAAATGCAGCAAAAGACATTTAGTATTAATTTACTGTTCTTTTATTGGGTGAAATTCCCTCGTTACCCCGTGAGCTGAAGAAGGAAGAAGCAGAAATGACAAAAAGCAGGAAAACTAGAAATTTATGAAGTTTTAAGCGCAATAAACTCCAATGTTATGTAGCATGCATATGACTTTAAAATGGAATTTGTTATCGCAATCCTCCTTTTTTCCTCTGTTTACGATTGTAAATCTTTTGAATTCTTTTAAGAATGGAAAGAGAAACAGAATAGGGAGACTGTGAACAGAGTTAGGAATCGACAAAAGTGTTTAGCAGAAAAAATTTGCTTTTTATGAAATTAGAATTAATGACTTGTAAAGTCAAATTTTTATTAATTGATTGACAATACGATTTTACATAAGCACAAAATGTTTTAAGCTCACCTCTGATTAAATGTTTTATGTTAAAAAACCTCACGGTTTTAATTACAAGCAAAAACCACAGAAGGTTTAATGGAAAGAACTGAAAGCAGAAGAATAAATATGAAATAATGGTGAAAACGCATGAAAGTTACAGTGAGTTGTGAGGGTGGAAGCGAAGCGTTATGAAAATGATTCACAATTGTGTTTTAACACATTCTGTAATCATAGAAAAATTGCGAGTTTGCTTATCAGATTAATGTGCTTTTAAATCATAAGAAGAAAAACATTCATTTTTGTCATTTATGTTTAAGCACAACGAGGAAACTTTAATTAAGTCGAGTGTGTTTGTTATGTAAATGATTCAAGTTTGTGATAAAAATGACTGAAATAATGATGAATAATTTGTTGACTCTCTCTAAAAATAACAAACTTTTTCACATGATGTTTCACAAGAAATCAATTTCCTTGAAATATTTAACAAATAATTTTTGAATTTGTCAGAATATTAAATAATCAACTCGTGAGATCAATTTCTTGTGATTGAAACCACAACTTAAACTCTAGACAGTGTTCTGGTTCTCATAATTTTGTTAGAAGTAGAAAGGAAAATAAATGAAAATTTCTTGAATGATTTATTATGCTTTAAATGTCTCATTAAATCCTCGTAACAGACACAAACTCTCAATACAGTAGATTTTAAGCGGAAAGGAAGGAAGAAAGAAACGAGTTTTCAACTTCAGGTACATAGCATCGTGCACGAAAAGCAAACCGGAAGAAAAGTCTTAAGCAAAAGCACGTAACGAGCAGTTTTTCTTATCTTTTCTCTCTTCCTTTCCTTTCCTTTAACAACAATCATCGATTTTGCACCAATTAAACAACAACAAAATATAATAAACGAATTTTATGCTTTAAATTCATTGGAGAAAATGCGAATGATGATGGAAGGATACAAAATTGTTTAAGAAATAAATTAAGTTTACGTCATCTCACGATGGATTATATCATCATCATCGCGCAGTGAACAAGTGCCGTTAACTGTGTCATAAGCTCTCACGCCTCCCCCGCAAAAATGCCGCTCAAGAGACAAATCCTCATCGTTCACATGAAATGAACATGGAAATTATGTCAATTATTATTTCTCTTATTTTCTTCATCGCATTTGTTACTTTGGAGTATTTTTTAGATGAAAAAATAATAATTTATGGTCTTCTCCATGCCAATAAAACTTCATAGTTATTGATTCTTTTTATCTTTCTCCCCTTTAGCAAAAGTCTACATGAACTTTTAAATGTATGAAGAGGAAGCACTTAAATTGAAGTGTTGCATTGGGGGAGGAAAATTGTAAGTTGCAAAAATTTAATTTGTCATCAGGCCAAAATGGGGATTTTCCTTGAGGCCAAAGGGATGACGAATCAAGTCTATTGACCTTTTATGTTGACACTTTCAACATGGATGTGTGAACATAAATAACAAACGACTTTATCTGCCTTCGTTTCTTGTTACGAAGGCGATAGATAATGTATTGGAGTAGAAAAGAAATGTCAGAAGAAGATGAGACTTGTCATGAGAGAAATCGTATCGCTCCACAATTCTTTTATATGTCCAATGGAGCAAATGACAAATCTATGAATCATGCCAGGAAATCCCACAAGGAAAGGAGAGTGAAGCGAGGAAAAAATTAATCGAAATTTAATATCACTTCTATCGCCTGAGATTCAAGATAGTTCTTTTATATTTTAAATGACAATAAATTGGAAAAAGAAGATTGGAGATGAAGAAAAACTGATGATTGTACATCTACGTGAGGAAATGAGATTTGTCTAGATAAGAAACCCAATTTTTACGTCATTGATTGAAGTTTGATTTGATTTTTTAACAAGAAATTAGAATTAAATTGCTTGCCCTTAGAATGTCAAATTAAAGAGAAAAGTTTGAGAATCTCTGACATTTCTCACACTTAGATATTGATGAACGATTTAATTATCTTAATGCAATGGTGACGGTTCATTTGTTATCTAAATCTTTTCAGAAGTTTTCGCAGCAAGTCAATAATAAAACAACTAGCAACATCAACTCACCAATTTGTTTTGGATACGCCAATTTCAAATTGTTCATGATTTCAACAAATTCATCCAAAGATTTCGACAAGCGTGGATTGTATTTTTTTTCTTCTTCGACTGTTGTTTCTAATTGCCCGCTGTAAAGATTTATTTTATTAGGTAAAGCGATATCAAGGTCAGAAAGAAATAATGACGAAACGAACTTGTAATCGTGTGCAGGGTAAAGACGGAAATTGTCAGGCAAGCTGAATATTTTGCCATGCACAGATTCGTAGAGTGTTTTCGGATTGCCTTCTTGGAAGTCAGTTCGACCACAACCACGAATTAAAACAGCATCTCCAGTGAACGCCATGCCTTGTTCGTGAACTATGTAAGTCATGCAACCGTTTGTATGACCTGGGGTTGAAACTCCAACCAATTTATGCTTTCCAAACTCCACGGTTTCTCCATCGTCAAGCCAACGATCAGCATTTGCACATGAATATTTCCCTATGACACTCAAGGTTCCAGGTAAAAGCTGCTTAAGATATCCTGTCCCAGTTATATGATCAGCATGGCAATGAGTGTTCAGAGCGAATTTTAATTTGAATCCAAGCTCTTTAATTAATTTCGCATCACGCGGAGCTCTTTCTAAAACTGTGAAGTGGAAATAATGAAAAACGGAATAAAAAGAGAAAGTTTTATGGAGTTATTTCAATGATAAAAGTCATGAAACCAAACCTGGGTCAATTATTACAGCAGTTTTACTTTCAACATCTGCCAATAAATAAGTGTAAGTCCATGAAACATCGTCAAATAATTGACGAAAGAAGAAATCATTGCTTAATTGATGGCGTTCTTGCATCACTTCCTTACTATAAAATCTAGTAAATAAAAGCCTTGGAAATATTGCTTGTCTCTCTTTAGAAACCAGCTCCGAGCAACTAAACTTCCTCGCGTGTTGAGCTAAACTTTTTCCCACAAGCGTAAATGTATTCATCATAAAGTAATTTTATTACAAAATCGATAAATGCTCTACAAAGACAAATAAATTTCAAGGTAAGATAACAGTGATTATCTAAAAAAAGAGTTTAGAATTAGGCTCTCGCGGATTTGTTTGTTTTTTAACTTGTTTTGATTGCGATGATCAAATCACGTACACAATTTTGTCTTCTTCTTCTTAATATTTTCCAGAATTTGTCAATACAACTTAACCGGTTAATTGAGTACGTTTTGCAACTACCCTTCCCGAACTTTAATTTGTTAATGTTCATGACAATGCCTCAGGTCAATTATTAAGTTAAAAAAAGGCACTTTGAACACACGTTTTTGCTTGTGATTAGATAAAAAAAAAGTTCAAAATATTTGTTTGGAAATTCCTGAATTAAAAGTGGTGATTTTCTTTATTTATTATTATAATTTTGTATTTCTAACATGTATTTTTATCTCAACATTTGTTAGTGTTTCAAATTACGTGCCTAAACAATAACGTTAACGTAAAAAAACAAAAAATTCTAAGCAACTGAAGTTAACTTCCACTATTTTGTACGTACACCCTGTGCCATGTAAATGCAATCAGATGTTCACTCACACTTTCGCATTACAATTCAGTGTTGCCGCATGAAAAGTTTCTCGTTCAATCTGTAGATATTGCTGGCAACATCTTCTGACGTAAATTGTCTTGTTCTGACATTTCATTTCTTACTCACGAAATTTCTTGGAAACTTCTTCCAAACTAAGTTTAGTTTATCTGAAGTGATTCACTAGTTAGGTAAAAGTTAAAGACATCTTAATAATATACGATTAAGTGAGTTTAAAGACATTTTTGAATTGAATTTCGTAACTATAATAAATTTTATCTCCGACTTGCTTGTAGATTAATTTACCAAAAAAAAAGAAACAAAAATATCATCATGTTGAGAGCAATTAGTAAAACAACACCGTTATTGACAGAATCAATATTGAAGAAAACTCTGTCACTGTCAGCTTGCAGTCCGAAAAGATTCGTAATTAAAGATCATTTTGATTTTGATAAGAAGGTAATGTAGGAGGAAGTATTTCAACATCCTTGAGATTTACAGTTGCAATATAAATGACATTTCTCCTTCGCATTTTTACATTTTCTCTAGGTCATAAATGCGGATAATGCAGTTGTCGTGAATTTTCACGCTGAATGGTGTGAACCCTGTAAGATTCTTACGCCAAAAATGACAGAACTACTCGAGGACAATCCTGATATTGATTTGGCTGTCGTTGACGTCGACTCAAACATAGAGTAAGTTTAAACGGAAATATTGACATTCCAGAAATTTCTTAATCACGTCTCTTCATTCCCTTTTGTTCTTTCTTTTTTAGATTAGTAAACTTGTTTGAAGTGAAAGCTGTGCCGGCAGTGCTGGCATTTAGAAATGGTGTGGTAGTTGATAAGTTCATAGGCCTTGTTGATGCAAACATGATTGAAGATCTCATCAGTAATCTGCAACGAAAAAAAAAAATATAAACGTTTTTTCGCTGCAATTAGATGAATACATAAATATAACAAAAAAAGAATTGTTGATTTAATTTGTGGTGCCCATGATAATTATCTATAAACAAACAATGCCGAGACAAAAGAAAATAAGAAACAGAAAATTAATGTGATAAGACGAGATGAGCCTTACTAACTTAATAATAACAAGAGTAGCCCTTGTCATAAGCCTGTAACTTATGTATATACATATATCTGGTCACTCCCCGTATACACACACTTAGACACCCACACACACAAACTTTCTCCTAGGCAGTTCTTCATATATTTTGTTTTTGTTATTAAGTAGTAGCGGTCATCAAAGGACGATATCGTCTTATCTTACAGTACAACGAATATTATTTAAGTTTTATTCCTAAGGTCCTTCACAACGCCACTGTATCGACGGAATGAATGAATGAACTGGGTCAAGGATATGAAATCACTTGATAAGCAAATTAATATTTCTCAGGCAATAGCCGATTAGATCACTCAAAAAATAATTGTCAATTTATTAATTCATTGATTGAAGCTTATGATTAAAAAAAGAATTTTTTTTCTTCTTTAAACAATTTTCTTTACTTATTTTTATTTCCTATCTTTCAAAATGTTTACCTAAGTAGTTTGTTAAGCAGTGATTTAATCAAACAAGAGTGTTTGTTTATTTTATTTTCAATTAATGATTAGAACTTTTTTTACATATTTTGTCTTTATATAAAATGATTTGGTGTGGGAAGAAGTTTATTTGAAATTGTGGCTTGTTAGTTAAACTTTTTGATTAGAATTTTATGATTTTACGTGAAGTTTTCAGTTTTCTAAGGATTACTGAAATTGGAGTTTTCACCATTTTCCATTTTAGAAAATCATTCGTCGAAACTTTCTCAGAAATAAATTTAGAAAAAAACTTTTAAAATGGCCACTTTTTATGAATTAAGAAAATAAAATTAAATATTTTTGGAAATTCTTATAATTTTTAAGCGAACTTACATTGGAGAACTTCTTTGATCAAGTTAAGAAGAAGAAAAATCAGAAAAGCTTTTTTTCTGAGTGTCGCTGCTTTATCGACTCAATTTTTGCGTAAACTTTCATAAATTTAAACTGAGCTTTCAAATCTTTATCAAACTGTTCTCTGACAAGAATCTCTTATTAAAGTAGGTTGTTATTCGTGTTTTGTAGAATAAAAAATTAATTAAACACCTATACATGAATGAAGTTTTATGACTTTCCGTTATGTTCTGAACGTAGTTTTAATAGTTCTGAACGAGAAACAGTTCAATTAAAATACCTAATTACCGAGATGATGACGAAGATAAGCAATTAAATTATCAATAAACATTTATTAAACGTTTATTTATTTCATTTATTTATATCTTAATGAAATTCCTGTAAGGTTGAAGAAAATAAGAACTTTAAGCGTTTTCAAAAATCACCGGAAAGAATATCTTTTTGAGCAATATGAGATTAAGCTTTGCGAAAGAGTTTGTGTAAGTAATTGTTTTTGTTGCTTTTTTTTTCATTGAAATAATGTTGATTAAAGTAAACTTACCTTAGCTTTGTAATTAAAAAATCTGAAGATCTGAAGATAAAGATAAAGATCTGAAAATAAAATAAAATCTTGCTCTGTTTTTATTTTTTTTTTATTTATGTCAACTTATAATAATTTGGTTCATTGTAAGAAAATACATAAGGAATATAAATAAAAATAATTAAAAAAATTAAA